AGCAGCAATTATGCAAATGAAACCTGGTAACTGACTTTGGGGTCAAAGGCCGGTTACAGCCTATCAGAACTAAAGGAGGGGTATTTAGGCCCAGTTCTCAGCCTGCTCAGTGCCCTGTCGTGGTTTCCCTTGTGGTTGTCCGAGAGCGCGTTCCTGTTTATAGTTTTCTACCTGGTTTTTGACTTTGGCTTTGTTTATTGACTTCTCTATATTCTGGTATCCTGACTCCTGGCTTTCCTCATCGCTGTGTCCCTTTCTGTGTTCCCTGACCTCGGCTAGTATTTTTGACTATTCTTTGTACGTTAAATCCGGCCATTCTAAGGACCGGTAATACGTTACTTATTTGCCATCCGTGCTGTACAGTTCTACGTGCTGGATCAAACAGTAATCCTGACAGAGCCATAGTGTTCCAGCCAAGGAGATATTTTAAATCTAATGTTCGCTGCTCGGGACTCCCATTCTACTCCCTAGGCCCCAAAAAGAAGGGCAAGAGGGGGAGCAGGGGCAGAGCCGAGAGCCACCATCAGGAGAGTGGCATCAGAGAGGAAATATTTACAAGGATGGAAGAGAAACAACTCATATAAAAAATAAAAAAAAAATGTTAAAAAAGGGAAGAAGACCAGGCCAAGGAAAATGGATCCTCATCTAGTACTATCTTTAAAAAAAAATCTCTTTCATCTCTGTGACTTATCAGTTTGTGCTTCTCTATAAACTAAACTTGATTTCCCATTTACTCTTTGATCATTATTGTGTTGCCCGCTCTTATTCATCTTTCTTATTATTTTATTCTTGCTTGTGGAAGTCTAGTGAAAAAACCCAAACAAAAACACAGCCATCTATTTGTTTCGATCTATGTTGGTCCTTTAATTTGTGTATTCCCTCCTCCTTCCCTTCCCGTCCTTCATATGTGTTTCCCAATTCTTCTTATTATGTAGTCCTCTCCTGTGCAACGTAATAGTGTTTTTGGTTACTATTGATTGTATTGGTATGATTTGTGCGCTTCATTTCTATGTCCCCTGTCTGTGTATTGCTGTATCAACGTGAGGGAGAGCAGACCCTTCCTCCTCCCATTCCCTTCTTTTTTAGTGAACCATTAAATGAATATGTGAATAAACCATGTGTTATCCGCATTCCTCTTTTCCCTTGTCTTCTCTTTCTATCTCGCAAAGGATAACTTTCCATCTCACCAAGGATACCTTTCCATCTCACCAAGGATAACTTTCTATCTCACCAAGGATACCTTTCTATCTCACCAGGGATACCTTTCTATCTCACCAAGGATACCTTTCCATCTCACCAAGGATACCTTTCCATCTCACCAAGGATACCTTTCCATCTCACCAAGGATAACTTTCTATCTCACCAAGGATACCTTTCTATATCACCAGGGATACCTTTCTATCTCACAAAGGATACCTTTCCATCTCACCAAGGATACCTTTCTATCTCACCAAGGATACCTTTCCATCTCACCAAGGATAACTTTCCATCTCACCAAGGATAACTTTCCATCTCACCAAGGATACCTTTCCATCTCACCAAGGATACCTTTCCATCTCACCAAGGATACCTTCCCATCTCACCAAGGATACCTTTCCATCTCACCAAGGATACCTTTCTATCTCACCAAGGATACCTTTCCATCTCACCAAGGATACCTTTCCATCTCACCAAGGATACCTTCCCATCTCACCAAGGATACCTTTCCATCTCACCAAGGATACCTTTCCATCTCACCAAGGATACCTTTCCATCTCACCAAGGATACCTTTCTATCTCACCAAGGATACCTTTCTATCTCACCAAGGATACCTTTCTATCTCACCAAGGATACCTTTCTATCTCACCAAGGATACCTTTCTATCTCACCAAGGATACCTTTCCATCTCACCAAGGATACCTTTCCATCTCACCAAGGATACCTTTCCATCTCACCAAGGATACCTTCCCATATCACCAAGGTTACCTTTCTATCTCACCAGGGATACCTTTCTATCTAACCTATGTTAATAGGGTTATTTCACCAGTCAGGCTCCCTGGGAGCTCTGTGATATTATGTTAATAGGGTTATTTCACCAGTCAGGCTCCCTGGGAGCTCTGTGATATTATGTTAATAGGGTTATTTCCCCAGTCAGGCTCCCTGGGAGCTCTGTGATATTATGTTAATAGGGTTATTTCTCCAGTCAGGCTCCCTGGGAGCTCTGTGATATTATGTTAATAAGGTATTTCCCCAGTCAGGCTCCCTGGGAGCTCTGTGATATTATGTTAATAGGGTTATTTCCCAGTCAGGCTCCCTGGGAGCTCTGTGATATTATGTTAATAGGAGCATTTCCCCAGTCAGGCTCCCTGGGAGCTCTGTGATATTATGTTAATAGGGTTATTTCCCCAGTCAGGCTCCCTGGGAGCTCTGTGATATTATGTTAATAGGGTTATTTCCCAGTCAGGCTCCCTGGGAGCTCTGTGATATTATGTTAATGGGGTATTTCCCAGTCAGGCTCCCTGGGAGCTCTGTGATATTATGTTAATAGGGTTATTTCCCCAGTCAGGCTACCTGGGAGCTCTGTGATATTATGTTAATAGGGTTATTTCCCCAGTCAGGCTCCCTGGGAGCTCTGTGATATTATGTTAATAGGGTTATTTCCCAGTCATGCTCTCTGGGAGCTCTGTGATATTATGTTTTTGGTTACTATTGATTGCATTGGTATAATTTGTGCGCTTCATTTCTATGTCCCCTGTCTGTGTATTGCTGTATCAACGTGAGGGAGAGCAGACCCTTCCTCCTCCCATTCCCTTCTTTTTTAGTGAACCATTAAATGAATATGTGAATAAACCATGTGTTATCTGCGTTCCTCTTTTCCCTCGTCTTCTCTTTCTATCTCACTAAGGATACCTTTCTATCTCACCAAGGATACCTTTCCATCTCACCAAGGATAACTTTCTATCTCACCAAGGATACCTTTCTATCTCACCAGGGATACCTTTCTATCTCACCAAGGATACCTTTCCATCTCACCAAGGATACCTTTCCATCTCACCAAGGATACCTTTCCATCTCACCAAGGATAACTTTCTATCTCACCAAGGATACCTTTCTATATCACCAGGGATACCTTTCTATCTCACAAAGGATACCTTTCCATCTCACCAAGGATACCTTTCTATCTCACCAAGGATACCTTTCCATCTCACCAAGGATAACTTTCCATCTCACCAAGGATAACTTTCCATCTCACCAAGGATACCTTTCCATCTCACCAAGGATACCTTTCCATCTCACCAAGGATACCTTCCCATCTCACCAAGGATACCTTTCCATCTCACCAAGGATACCTTTCTATCTCACCAGGGATACCTTTCCATCTCACCAGGGATACCTTTCCATCTCACCAAGGATAACTTTCCATCTCACCAAGGATAACTTTCCATCTCACCAAGGATACCTTTCCATCTCACCAAGGATACCTTTCCATCTCACCAAGGATACCTTTCCATCTCACCAAGGATACCTTTCCATCTCACCAAGGATACCTTTCCATCTCACCAAGGATACCTTTCTATCTCACCAAGGATACCTTTCTATCTCACCAAGGATACCTTTCCATCTCACCAAGGATACCTTTCCATCTCACCAAGGATACCTTCCCATCTCACCAAGGATACCTTTCCATCTCACCAAGGATACCTTTCCATCTCACCAAGGATACCTTTCCATCTCACCAAGGATACCTTTCCATCTCACCAAGGATACCTTTCTATCTCACCAGGGATACCTTTCTATCTCACCAGGGATACCTTTCTATCTCACCAAGGATACCTTTCCATCTCACCAAGGATACCTTTCTATCTCACCAAGGATACCTTTCTATCTCACCAAGGATACCTTTCCATCTCACCAAGGATACCTTTCCATCTCACCAAGGATACCTTCCCATATCACCAAGGTTACCTTTCTATCTCACCAGGGATACCTTTCTATCTAACCTATGTTAATAGGGTTATTTCACCAGTCAGGCTCCCTGGGAGCTCTGTGATATTATGTTAATAGGGTTATTTCACCAGTCAGGCTCCCTGGGAGCTCTGTGATATTATGTTAATAGGGTTATTTCCCCAGTCAGGCTCCCTGGGAGCTCTGTGATATTATGTTAATAGGGTTATTTCCCCAGTCAGGCTCCCTGGGAGCTCTGTGATATTATGTTAATTGGGTTATTTCCTATTGAGGCTCCCTGGGAGCTCTGTGATATTATGTTAATAGGGTTATATCCCATTGAGGCTCCCTGGGAGCTCTGTGATATTATGTTAATAGGGTTATATCCCATTGAGGCTCCCTGGGAGCTCTGTGATATTATGTTAATAGGGTTATTTCCCATTGAGGCTCCCTGGGAGCTCTGTGATATTATGTTAATAGGGTTATATCCCATTGAGGCTCCCTGGGAGCTCTGTGATATTATGTTAATAGGGTTATTTCCCATTGAGGCTCCCTGGGAGCTCTGTGATATTATGTTAATAGGGTTATTTCCCATTGAGGCTCCCTGGGAGCTCTGTGATATTATGTTAATAGGGTTATTTCCCCAGTCAGGCTCCCTGGGAGCTCTGTGATATTATGTTAATAGGGTTATTTCCCATTGAGGCTCCCTGGGAGCTCTGTGATATTATGTTAATAGGGTTATATCCCATTGAGGCTCCCTGGGAGCTCTGTGACTCAGGTCATGTGATGGCATTCCAGGAGGTCTCTGTAGATCCAGTCCAGAGCTCCTGGCTGTCACTCACCCCCCGTGACGTCATTCTCCCCGCCCACTGTTTGACAGTTGGCCCCCGCCCTGTGACGTCACTCTAGCCAACCTGGAGGCAGGGGGCGTGGCGGGGCTCCGGTCACGTGACGGAAGCCAAGATGGCGGCGCTGTGGTGAGGTAAGCGCTGTGTGACTTCCTGATGGGGCTGCGCTCGAGCTCCGAGTGACTGGCGGCGGGCCAGGACTGGACAGGCGGCTGTGCCACCGGGAGATGCCGGAGGAAGGGACCAAGACCAAGAGCATGTTCCTGTCCCGGGCCCTGGAGAAGATCCTGGCCGACAGGGAGACCAAGAAGGCCCCCAGCTCCCAGCTCAGGAAGGCGTGTGAGGTGGCCCTGGGTAAGGCTGTCACAAGGGCCCCCGGGAGCGGGGATACAGACTGACAGGGGCCCCCCCGGGGAGCGGGGATACAGACTGACAGGGGCCCCCCCGGGGAGCGGGGACAGAGACTGACAGGGGCCCCCCCGGGGAGCGGGGACAGAGACTGACAGGGGCCCCCCCGGGGAGCAGAGACTGACAGGGGCCCCCCCGGGGAGCGGGGACAGAGACTGACAGGGGCCCCCCCGGGGAGCGGGGACAGAGACTGACAGGGGCCCCCCCGGGGAGCGGGGACAGAGACTGACAGGGGCCCCCCCGGGGAGCGGGGACAGAGACTGACAGGGGCCCCCCCCCCCCGGGGAGCGGGGACAGAGACTGACAGGGGCCCCCCCGGGACAGAGACTGACAGGGGCCCCCCCGGGGAGCGGGGACAGAGACTGACAGGGGCCCCCCCGGGGAGCGGGGACAGAGACTGACAGGGGCCCCCCCGGGGAGCGGGGACAGAGACTGACAGGGGCCCCCCCGGGGAGCGGGGACAGAGACTGACAGGGGCCCCCCCGGGGAGCGGGGACAGAGACTGACAGGGGCCCCCCCGGGGAGCGGGGACAGAGACTGACAGGGGCCCCCCCGGGGAGCCGGGACAGAGACTGACAGGGGCCCCCCCGGGGAGCGGGGACAGAGACTGACAGGGGCCCCCCCGGGGAGCGGGGACAGAGACTGACAGGGGCCCCCCCGGGGAGCGGGGACAGAGACTGACAGGGGCCCCCCCGGGGAGCGGGGACAGAGACTGACAGGGGCCCCCCCGGGGAGCGGGGACAGAGACTGACAGGGGCCCCCGCGGGGAGCGGGGACAGAGACTGACAGGGGCCCCCCCGGGGAGCGGGGACAGAGACTGACAGGGGCCCCCCCGGGGAGCGGGGACAGAGACTGACAGGGGGAATGGGGGCACGGGATGGTGATGGCACAGGGGGTAGGAGGATTGGGGGCACAGGATGGTGATGGCACAGGGGGTAGGAGGATTGGGGGCACAGGATGGTGATGGCACAGGGGGTAGGAGGAATGGGGGCACAGGATGGTGATGGCACAGGGGGTAGGAGGAATAGGGGCACCGGATGGAAATGATACAGTGGGTAAAAGGAGTGGAGGCACAGGGTGTTGATGGCACGGGGATAGGAGGAATGGGGACAGCGGATGGTGAAGCTAAAGTCTTTCAGTGTTAAGAAATTTGCCTTAGTAGTGAGTATAATCAGAGCTCACTCCGCAAGGCTTTATTACACAGTAAGAGCTATTTACCTTCTGGTATTTACTTGTCATTTGAGCAAAGAAATACCATATAGGCTCAATTCTAGGCGTTACGCTGATGGGTGGCTGTCACATTCACTGTGTGGATTATCTGTTATGGGATCAGTTTAGCATATGTTACCTGAAGGGTGTTTTTCATTTTCACCTTGCCGGTGTGTACATAGAGAACTTTTCTGCAAGACGTGTTTCCAGGCAGCTAGGAGCTTACTCTGTGAGTTAATTATTCATACAAGTTTATTGAGAAGATATTGCTTGTGTGCCTAAACTAGTCCTATATTAGTGTTATCAGATTTCAAGCATATTATGACCTATATTACTGTTGTTTAGTAATAAAATAGCGATGGGAGGGTAGGAAATTCTCCGTCCCCCTTATTTAGATTTAAAGATACACATAACGGAAATGCTGCCCTAGCCACCTTCTTGAAAGCTGTCTATTGACTTATTTATTTTTTTAGTGGTGGAATTTCCACGATAGCCAGGCTGCTCATCATTCCAGTTTAACCAGTCTATCAAGTGTATTTTAATGGAACGCAATTAACTCTGTTTGGTTTTAGATATCAGCTGTCATCATGCGTTACAGCATTCTAAATATTTTAGGGGTTTTGTTGTGAGGTTTACAGTGTTGTTTGGGCTTTTATATTTTAATGTTATTAACATGCAAAGTCATTGAGACATCTCCAATCATTCTACTTTAAGCCCAGATCCATAAACATCGCAGATTAGTATTTAACATGTACCTATCATGCACGGTCGGGCATGCAGCTGATCTCTACATTGTGCTGGCAAAATCACCAGCAAAATGATTTCTGGGAATGGAGAACCACCAATCGACACGCAGCTTGCCTCTCCTGGAATTGTGGGATATTTCCCAGTCACATTGTAGAGCCGTGGGTTGCTATCCTTGGATGTCATATCTGTAGTTTTATCTCTACTAGATAACATGAGGATACGTTCAGATAGGAAAACAAGATATAAATCCATGCATTTGCAAACAAGTTCCATGTATAGTGACACAGACAGGGTTCTTTACTAAAGTGACAATAGTCGGCAGTTTATAGTGAATCTCAAAATTAAGACCAAAATAGCCTCCAACCTAAATCAACTATACATCCAGTTCAGCTATTTTTGTCTGCAATTTGCAATTCACCTTAGTAAATAACCCTGCAGGTCATTTTTTACAACAGGCATAGGCGTGTGCAGCCTATTGCATTAGGGTGTGCACCCTAAAGCACAAACACGCCGTGTGTGTGTGTGTGTGTGTGTGTGTGTGTATATATATATATATATATATATATATATATATATACATACACACTGCTGTGTGAGGGTGCTGTTAGTGTGTGTGTTTGTGACTGTGCTGTTTGTGCGAGTGTCGTGTGCTGTGTGTGAGGGTGTTGTGTTTTTTTTAAAGGTGCTGTGTGTGTTTGTGAGGGTGCTGTTAGTGTACTGTGTGTGTGAGCTGTATGTGTGTAGGTGCTGTATGTTTGGAGAGATTGTGGAGGTGGTGGCAGATTAGTAAATCCTTGCTGCCATGTGCCATCCCTGGTGGTCCAGTGGAGAGTGAACTCTAGCCTGCGGGGCTAGAGTTAACTCTCGCGAGATCTGAGCGTTGCCGCAACAACGCTCAGATATCGCGAGAGGAACCTGGCGGAACTTCTGTCTAGAGCTCCCTGGGTCCTCTCCTGCCTCCCTCCATGCTGCTGTGGGCCGGTGAGGTAGATCTTTGGTCTCCCCGCCGGCCCATGGAGGCTTAGAGCAGAGCCGGCACTCAGATAGCGCCGGCTCTGCGTGAGCCGACAGGGGAGATCGGGATTCCCACCCCCCCAAAAAAATAATATACACGTGTGTGTGTGTGTGTATGTGTGTATATATATATATATATATATATTTATTATGCGGCGTACACACTCACAGACACATTCAGACACACATACACTCACACTCACAGACACACACTCACACACATACAAATTATTATATTTTAATAATACAATGTCCACCCAGCCTCCCTACCTGGATTGCTGGCGTGGACTTTTCCCTGGGGTCCAGTGGGGCGGGCGCCTCTCTACATCTCAGCCGCGGCGAGGGAGATGTATGCTTTCTGCTCCCTCTCGCCGCGTGGGCTGTCTGCTGTAGCTGTGAGCCGGAATATGACGACATATTCCGGCTCCCGGCATCAGCAAACGGCGCGCGGCGAGAGGGAGCAGAGAGCAGACAGCTCCCTCGCCGCGGCTGAGATGCAGAAATGGGGGATCCATCACCTCTTGCCCCCCACCCATGACAGGGGGCGCTGAGTGCCTGCCGGAACAGCGTTCCTGCAGGACTCAAACCATAGGCGTGCCATGGGGATTAGGGTGTGCCCAGGCACACCCGGCACACCCCGTGCGCACGCCTATGACAACAGGTACACTTTAAAGGGTAGGGAATGGCATGCCACTTTAAAATATGTTAAGGTTTTTCCCCCATCAGACAAACTATTAACTCTATTCTTTTAACATCTCAGGGAAAAGGCAGTGAGATGGCTAGGTATTTAGGGATTCAGCTGCGATCATATGTTTGATTCGTTGAACGATCAGTCTGCTATCCCTTCCAGAGCGATGGATACAAACCTCTAGAATTGACAAGGAAATTACTAATTTGGGCCAATGTATCTGAGCTGGGTAAATAGACCATTATGGCATGCATATATATATATATATTATTATTTTTTTTTTAATTTGTATTTTACTTGTCAATTCTCTACATTCCTTGTTATAACAAATAAAACCTAAAGTGATTACTCCAGAACTTGGATTTTTTTTTGCTTTTCCTCCTTTATGAAGTTATAAATGTGTTCTTTTTAAGCGTGTATGTGTAGCAGCTCTGTGTTTGTCGGCCACTGTAAAAACCCCCAGCTTGTGAGTCACAGACACTCACATAGTGGTTATTCACCATGCAAGGAATCGTGGACAGTTGACAAAAAAAACTTTACATTTTAGATCAGTTTGGTTAAGACGCCTGATGTTGTTCGTGGTGATATTTATTGTGAGTATTAATCATTCATAATAGGAATCTTTAACCCCTTAAGGACCACGAAGCTCAGGGAACCGCTAGTTTTTGTCAAACCTTTCATAAATGGATTGACTGAGAAATGGTGGAATATCGGCATATATCCATAAGGGGTTAAGCCCGTCCTACATTATATAATGATGGGGATATATCCATAAGGGGTTAAACCCGTCCTACATTATATAATGATGGGGATATATCCATAAGGGATTAAACCCGTCCTATGTTATATAATGATGGGGATATATCCATAAGGGGTTAAACCCGTCCTATGTTATATAATGATAGGGATATATCCGTAAGGGGTTAAACCTGTCCTGTGTTATATAATGATGGGGATATATCCATAAGGGGTTAAACCCGTCCTATGTTAAATAATGATGGGGATATATCCATAAGGGGTTAAACCCGTCCTATGTTATATAATGATGGGGATATATCCATAAGGGGTTAAACCCGTCCTACATTATATAATAATGGTGATATATCCATAAGGGGTTAAACCCGTCCTATGTTATATAATGATGGGGATGTTTCCATAAGGGGTTAAACCCGTCCTATGTTATATCATGATGGGGATGTTTCCATAAGGGGTTAAACCAGTCCTATGTTATATAATGGGATCTATCCATAAGGGTTAAACACGTCCTACGTTATATAATAATGGGGATATATCCATAAGGGGTTAGACCCGTCCTATTATATAATAATAGGGATATATCCATAAGGGGTTAAACCCGTCCTACGATATATAATGATGGCATATATCCATAAGGGGTTAAACCAGTCCTACAATGATGGGGATATATCCATAAGGGGTTAAACCTGTCCTATGTTATATAATGGGGATATATCCATAAGGGGTTAAACCCGTCCTATGTTATATAATGATGGGGATGTATCCATAAGGGGTTAAACACGTCCTATGTTATATAATCATGGGGATATATCCATAAGGGGTTAAACCCGTCCTATGTTATAAAATGATGGGGATATATCCATAATGGGTTAAACCCGTCCTACGTTATATAATGATGGGGATATATCCATAAGGGATTAAACCCGTCCTATGTTATATAATGATGGGGATGTATCCATAAGGGGTTAAACCCGTCCTATGTTATAAAATGATGGGGATATATCCATAATGGGTTAAACCCGTCCTACGTTATATAATAATGGGGATATATCCATAATGGGTTAAACCCGTCCTACGTTATATAATAATGGGGATATATCCATAAGGGGTTAAACACGTCCTATGTTATACAATGGTGGGGATATATCCATAAGGGGTTAAACCCTTCCTATGTTATATAATGATGGGGATATATTCATAAGGGGTTAAACCAGTCCTATGTTATATAAGAATGGGGATATATCCATAAGGGGTTAAACCCGTCCTATGTTATAAAATGATGGGGATATATCCATAATGGGTTAAACCCGTCCTACGTTATATAATGATGGGGATATATCCATAAGGGTTAAATATGTTATATAATGATGGGGATATCCATAAGGGGTTAAACCCGTCCTATGTTATAAAATGATGGGGATATATCCATAAGGGGTTAAACCCGTCCTACGTTATATAATAATGGGGATATATCCATAATGGGTTAAACCCTTCCTATGTTATATAATGATGGGGATATATCCATAAGGGGTTAAACACGTCCTATGTTATACAATGGTGGGGATATATCCATAAGGGGTTAAACCCTTCCTATGTTATATAATGATGGGGATATATTCATAAGGGGTTAAACCAGTCCTATGTTATATAAGAATGGGGATATATCCATAAGGGGTTAAACCCGTCCTATGTTATATAATGATGGGGATGTATCCATAAGGGGTTAAACCAGTCCTATGTTATATAATATGGGGATATATCCATAATAAACCCGTCCTATGTTATAAAATGATGGGGATATATCCATAATGGGTTAAACCCGTCCTACGTTATATAATAATGGGGATATATCCATAAGGGATTAAACCCGTCCTATGTTATATAATGATGGGGATGTATCCATAAGGGGTTAAACCCGTCCTATGTTATAAAATGATGGGGATATATCCATAATGGGTTAAACCCGTCCTACGTTATATAATAATGGGGATATATCCATAAGGGGTTAAACCCTTCCTATGTTTTATAATGATGGGGATATATCCATGAGGGGTTAAACACGTCCTATGTTATACAATGGTGGGGATATATCCATAAGGGGTTAAACCCTTCCTATGTTATATAATGATGGGGATATATCCATAAGGGGTTAAACCAGTCCTATGTTATATAAGAATGGGGATATATCCATAAGGGGTTAAACCCGTCCTATGTTATATAATGATGGGGATGTATCCATAAGGGGTTAAACCCGTCCTATGTTATAAAATGATGGGGATATATCCATAATGGGTTAAACCCGTCCTACGTTATATAATAATGGGGATATATCCATAAGGGGTTAAACCCTTCCTATGTTTTATAATGATGGGGATATATCCATAAGGGGTTAAACACGTCCTATGTTATACAATGGTGGGGATATATCCATAAGGGGTTAAACCCGTCCTACGTTATATAATAATGGGGATATATCCATAAGGGGTTAAACCCTTCCTATGTTATATAATGATGGGGATATATCCATAAGGGGTTAAACATGTCCTATGTTATACAATGGTGGGGATATATCCATAAGGGGTTAAACCCTTCCTATGTTATATAATGATGGGGATATATTCATAAGGGGTTAAACCAGTCCTATGTTATATAAGAATGGGGATATATCCATAAGGGGTTAAACCCGTCCTATGTTATATAATGATGGGGATGTATCCATAAGGGGTTAAACCCGTCCTATGTTATAAAATGATGGGGATATATCCATAATGGGTTAAACCCGTCCTACGTTATATAATAATGGGGATATATCCATAAGGGGTTAAACCCTTGCTATGTTTTATAATGATGGGGATATATCCATAAGGGGTTAAACACGTCCTATGTTATACAATGGTGGGGATATATCCATAAGGGGTTAAACTCTTCCTATGTTATATAATGATGGGGATATATCCATAAGGGGTTAAACCAGTCCTATGTTATATAAGAATGGGGATATATCCATAAGGGGTTAAACCCGTCCTATGTTATATAATGATGGGGATGTATCCCTAAGGGGTTAAACCCGTCCTATGTTATATAATGATGGGGATGTATCCATAAGGGGTTAAACCCTTCCTATGTTATATAATGATGGGGATATATCCATAAGGGGTTAAACCAGTCCTATGTTATATAAGAATGGGGATATATCCATAAGGGGTTAAACCCGTCCTATGTTATATAATGATGGGGATGTATCCCTAAGGGGTTAAACCCGTCCTATGTTATATAATGATGGGGATGTATCCATAAGGGGTTAAACCCGTCCTACCGTTATATAATGATGGGAACATTACAAAGCTTTGCTAATTTGACACTTTGATCCAGTGTTGTGTGTATTACTGTTCTGACACTGTGATGAGTATTTCTCAGTTCTATCGGCCTGGACTGAATCCCGCTGGCAGTTCTGTTATTTGTTCTGAGGCTGACAGATTGTGTCACACATTACTTGTGTTTACTTTAAGTGCACTTTGTTATTTAATGACCTTTTAGGTTAATGTCATCCCTTCCAGTTCTGTGAACGTCAGTCCCCGTGCCAGCTGGGCCCGCAGTCCATGTTGCCGCGTGGTTATTACTTTATACGATATGTAAAACCCATTCTCCAATAGAACTTGGAACCTGTTTGGACTTAGAGAGGTCGAGCAGATATGATCGCAGTTCAAAAAAGGGATTAAAACTGAAAGCACTTTGAAAGGGAGAAATTCCTTTACTGTTTGCATGGATAGAATGTGAGGTCTTGGTCAGTCCTACCTGTTAGATGATCTACTTTTGTTCTGTTTTGTGTATTTCTTTGGCTGATTATACTTTCATTCCGAGCTGAGATGTTGCTGTATATTCAGACCATGTGTGAAGTGCTAAGACTTTCCTACATTGAATTGATTTTTGGCATGCCTTGAAGAGTTGTTGGCAGATTGTAAAACTTCATCAGCAAAAAAAAGGAAGCCAAATGTGTCCCTGGAGCAAAATTGCACTAATGTACAAATAGTGTCTGGAAGCACCTAAAAAGTGGCTGCTATTTAGGAATATAATTATTATAATATTTCACCGTGCTGTATACAAATGTGTAAATAAACACATATGGCGCAGTATGTAATGCAAAATATAAAGCATAAAGCAGCAGACGGGTACTCACAAATAAAACCATAATCCAAGTGTGTTAGTATCGCCTTGCCTCTTAGGGCCACTTATCTCTAATCAGTCCCCCTCCTTGTAGTCCAGTTGATCTATGTCGTACAGGGGCGTGCAGAGCGGGTTGGGGTGTCATGCCTTCACGTACCCCACGGGGCGTGCAGAGCGGGTTGGGGTGTCATGCCTTCACGTACCCCACGGGGCGTGCAGAGCGGGTTGGGGTGTCATGCCTTCACGTACCCCACGGGGCGTGCAGAGCGGGTTGGGGTGTCATGCCTTCACGTACCCCACGGGGCGTGCCGAGCGGGTTGGGGTGTCATGCCTTCACGTACCCCACGGGGCGTGCAGAGCGGGTTGGGATGTCATGCCTTTACGTACCCCACGGGGTGTGCACAGCAGAGGGGGAAGCAGTCTGAGCTGCCAACTATGTCAGCAGATGTAAAGAGCGCAATGCCATTGTAAATGCGGTCATGGTGTTCCTATTGTGAAAAAAAACATGAAATAACCCAGTAAGGCAGTACAGGTTCCCAGCCAAGTCAGGAAAGTGGAAAGCATGCTGGTCTCTCGCATTGCAGATTGCATAGAATAAAGGCCAGAAGACTACATTAGTTTATTTTTTAGTGCAAAAATATTTTGCATTGTAACCTATTTGAAATCAGAAATAGTTCTTGTGGAATGATTTTGTTAGTTTTTCACACAGTTTTCCAATGCAGTGCCCACTTCCTTCACACCCCCTCTGTGATCACCTTAGCAAACACTAAAGTAAAGTCGCACCAGCTTCCGTTTGATATTTGTAGGAGGTTTTCCACCAAGTTATGACAAATGTTAAATGATCAGTCGCTGGGTTTATCTCTGTCTGTTATTATATTACGCTTGCCAGATTAACATCACTTTTTCATTAGCTAAGGATTCTATTTTGGTGTAAAATTTGCTGCTTACGCACATTAACTGTAAAAAGGTCATGTTCAAAGTGGAGCTTTGGAAACCAACTTTTCACCACTTTCTCTGAGAGTTTCAACTGACTTCTGAAGGAGCAGGGTCAGTGTAATTATTCCAGTATTACCAGGTCTCTTTCTTGTGCGGTGAGGCGAGGTCTTATCTGCGGTAATTTAGCGAGCATGCAATTATAAGCTTGTTTTACCTGTGCCTCAAAATTTGCTGGTAAGAATCCCTTGATCGCGCTTCCTCAGGTATTTCTATAATTAGCATAATAAGATCATAGAGCGGTCCTTCTCGCATATCTAGCTTTGTATATGTTACAGAGGTCCTGATCTCTGCGGGCATGTTTTATTAGGAAAGGTAGAACATTGTGATCATTGAATCTCCAATTTAAATGCCCACAAAGGCTGGTGATTCCATTTCACAATATTCTACCTTTCCTAATAGAACATGCCTGCAGATACCAGATCCATGATCTATTTACTTGCCATTCCTAGAATGCCTAGCGCAAGGCTGCAAAGGGTGCAACGCTTGGCATTGTGGGAAATACTCCCACACCTCGTGCAGACAGCATATCTTATTATTTATACCAATATATTGATACAAATCACAAAATGGAAACATAATTAAATCCACGTTTGCTAGTGAATAAATGTCACCACAAGCTATGTGGGGGAAAAAAGGGAAATATTAAAGGGAAACTCCCGTGCCTGGCACTGCAGGTCCCCTCTCCCTCCCACCCCCCAATCCCCAGTTGCTGAAGGGGTGAAAACCCCTTCAGTAACTTACCAGAGGCAGCGACATGTCCCACGTCGCTGCTTCTTCCTTCGCACTGCTCCTCACCTTCATTACGTCAGCCGGCGGAGGAGACTGATCCTGCCCACCGGCTGGGGAGACCTAATGCGCATTAGGGCTTCCCACAGGAAAGCATTGAAAATGAATTTCAGTGCTTTCCTATGGGGAAATGAGCAACGCTGGAGGTCCTCACACAGCATGAGGACGTCCAGCGACGCTCTAGCACTCTTTCCTGTGCTAGAAACCAGGAAGTGCTCTCTAGTGGCTGTCTAGTAGACAGCCACTAGAGGTGGAGTTAACCCTGCAAGGTAATTATTTATTAGTTTATAAAAAAAACTGCAATAATTACACTTGCAGGGTTAAGATGCAACCGCAGGTGGTTCCCTTATTTACCACTATAATGTCTTAAAGCATAGAACTTAGTAGGGCTAACCATACAGATATCTTAGCCATAATTTTATATAGTTGGTAAGAGATACTCTATTTAACATATATAAGTACTTTTTAATACAATATAAAATAAGGATGGTCTTGGAAGCAATAGTTTTGTCTTTTAGATATTTATTATATAAAAATATAAATAGACATATAAAATCCATTATAGCAGAGTTTATAAGATTAAATTAAATGCTTGCAAATATCATTAATAGGTTAACATACCCTTCTGAACATGTCATCATGTCAGCCTCTCTGTCATTTTAAGATGGAGCAGCGTCTGTCTCCAAGTCTCTCCTCTGTGTCTTAACATTTAAAAGTACACCTATTTATACCTTAGGTGTCTCCATTTTAGGGTTACCGTAGTTCATATATGAAAAAGTAACACTTCTTTTACTTTATTCATTTTAGGACCTCCCTTAACTTGGCAAACGTACAAGGCCATAACTAAAGGGTGCATACGTCATGGAAATTTTCCTGACTTAGTTCAAGATGGCATCTTAAAGTCTGAACATCCTTATCTACTTAAGGTTACCACAGTAGCATAGCCTTGAAGCTTGGTTATGCATTATTGTTATTGTAATTCGTCCGGGACAAAATGGCGCAAACATATTATGCACTGAGGTTATTGCTTAAAGAAACCTCTATGAAAAACAATATGTTCCATTTCTAACACCTTGTCAATTTGCAATATTTCTTAAAGACAAAGTACACAGTTTAAGAAATACAACATTTAATTCTAAAACTTGTAATATTTGCATTTGCCCATAACAAAGAGTAGTGGGAGTTGGCACCCAGACCACTCCAATGGGCAGAAGTGGTCTGGGTGCCTGGAGTGTCCCTTTAAGGCAGGACTGTCTCTTCTCATGATTTTTTATATTGTTGCTCTTCCTTTATATTTAACAGATATGTGTTTATAATATCTGGAAATGTAAATAAAAAATGTAGAAACCCACACATTGCTATATTATCTCTGGGCGCCTCCATCTTGGCCCTGTCAGTCCTTGTTATAAGCTTTCTCATTTCAGTCAGCATAGAGAGAGCTTATGGCGAGGAGAAGAAATGGAAACGGGGCAATGTGTGGCTCTGCCAGGACCGAACAGGATTGTGATGGCCGTTGTTAAATGTTTAATATACATTTAAGTGAAAAGGGCAGAATCTCATGAAAATAATGTTAACACAAGTTGTCAGTGGTTTTCAGTGTTCTGTTCAGTGGTGTAATTTCCTGAGAAGTGACTGTTCCCCTTTAAGGAAACTCGCTGATTAGTTCTAATGATAACGCTGTCTGAATGTGATGGTTTAACAGACAGTTCTTATCACTACTGTCCTGTTACTGTACTACATGTGGAAAGACTCGATGCAGTGTAAATAAAATGCCTCAATCTTGTTCTCAATAATATTCACCTTTACATTATTAGCTAGAAGCAAAATGTCCCCTCTTCCCCTAATAATTGCCTTCTTTACTAACCTCCTAAAGGAAGCCATTTAATACTAGCCCACCCTTATATATAAAGCCATTGACTAGGGAGCTGCAGGGTAGACCTGTCTCTGCAGGCAGCCCCTCTGATAAATGGAGCTTAAATCTACACTATTAATTAGTTGTGTTTACTAGATTAACTGTTTCATAGGGTAATGATTGTATTAGGGGAAACCTGTACTGCAGATCTGCAGGACCACATTTGACTCAGTGCTATAGTTAATTGCCATATATGCTGGGATAGTCCACAAGCTGGGTTCTATAAGGTCGGTCAGTATTATTATTCCAGAGCAGTAAATGAACCCACTGATTCTTTACCTCTGGGTTGGCAGTCGGTGCCATGTGATTTTATTGGCTCTCCAATGGTTGGAAGAGGCTCTGATATTGACCCGATCACATGTAAATGAGTATGATAGTCACTGCCTTCTACGGTACTGGGGAGAGACTAGTGAAGCTGCTATTACAGATTCTTATATTTTGTTCTGTATATTCTAAACCAGCTCCTGAGTTAATTATATAATTAGGTAAGAATGGATCCGCCATGTGAATGCTTTGCATTTTATTTAGGTGCTAATCAGAAACGGTAAGCGCTGCCAAACTGAACCCTATGTTTTTGGTTTAGTTAAAAGGTGCATGTTTTGATAACTCATTATCTTGCGCTTTATAAGAGCGCTCCACGGCAGAGGCTTGTTCAGTAAATAGAGGTACGGTGGAGTGTCAGACAATGAATTGTAGTTTATAGGAGTAGCTGCATTATAGAATGTTCCCATTTCAGCTAATAAACCCTTACCGTGCCACACTTTCTTTATCCTGGACTTCTCTCGGTTTGGCTGCTTTTGTCTCGTATTTATATTCCTCTAACATTTTAATTTTTTTTCATTGCAGAAGAGATCAAGTGTGAATTTGGCCAGCAGAAGTAAGTAAAGAACCATGTTTCCAAACTAAGACAGTGTCTTTGTGTAATATGTGGTTAGAAGGTAAAGCATTGCAAATATGTTAAATGAGAACTCGTGTGAATAGGCCTATTAAATTCAGTGTGAATTTTCAGGAATTCAAAGTTCATTTTACACTTCAGGCCAATGTAGTCATACTGAAAGAATTCTCAGACACCGCTTCAATTTTGAAATTCACTCTTAATTCTCAGCCTTTCAATCCGTGATGGTTTGAGTGGATTCTTAATGCCTCAAACGAACACAGTTGAAGAACAATGCAGAAACACAATGAGCTTAGTCTACAAAGCGTTGTGAACAATGAAAGACACAAAACAAGCTTTTGCAGCAATGAAAAGGAAAAAAAACATAACCACTTCACAAGCAATGAGAAAATACAATTCCTAATGACAATGCAAAATACTTGACATCTGAAATTTCATCACAAAATCAGTTCACTTAAATGGTTAAAGGTATTGCTACGCATTGCTATGGCAATGTTTCTCAATTTCAAGTGTCTCTAAAACCTATTACTCTAGTGAGTGCCCGGGAACCATTCCGCTGTAAGATGTCAAACATACCTGGCTCCCACTGAACACCCACGCCATTGCATGTGTTCTTCATAGCTAGCGTACCTGCTGGAAAGGCTTATATATGGCATTGGTATCTGCGACACTCAGGTTAGTCTTCAAACAGTGCTCAAACAGTTTAACGTCTTACGGTGAATGGGCGCCATGGCATTCCTGACACTATAACCACTACAGTGGCTAATTTAGTCTAGATTTAATTTTTCTACAATTTGGTGTTCAGTTTATAAAATTCCCATGACTACCATAAAGTTCACACTCTAGTAAATAACCACGTAATTGTATATCTGTGTAATCTACAGGACAGCACCCTGACTTAGTGATGGTTTACTCTGATAGGGAGATCTTGTTCACAAACACGCTGTTTGCTATAGAGCAGCTTGTCACATGTATTGAATGGAAATGGCAAGCAATGCTCGCTCCATCAGTCAACATGTCTCGTTCACACACTGCATTCTTGTGGATTGTGCAAGTTGCCAGAGTGCAGATACAGGTTCTTGTTGCACATTTATTGTGGACTTACAAGCTAAACCTGTTTTGCAACTACAAAAATAACACCGGACATTCAAGGAAATATTGTACTTTTTTTCTTTTCTTCATTCATATTCCAAGCAACTACAGTATCTAAATTAAACATCCTCCTTGCAAGGCAGAGATCGTGTGCTGATTGATAGGATTACCTTTAATGTTGTTTGATAGCCTTTTGTGTCTGCTGCTCTGGGTTAATTGTTTGCGTATAAGGGTGCGACATGCAGAACTCGCTTGCTCCCTTTTTAGAAAGTTCTTGGAACTGCATCGCAGAGTTTAAAACCCCTTTGCTCATAGGTTTCTTTTTAATCCAAACATGTTGGTCTAAATTGCTGTAATGATAACATAGCTGACTTAGAGATTCTGAATTAAAATGTTGAAATTCACTTTGAACTTCTCACGTTTCACCGTTGGTTTAGGATAGTGTAGATGAGCTGCTCATACTTACCGATTTAAAAAGTCAATGCCAGGCTGCTAATTTTACCTGTGATTTCTCCAAGTTGAGCTGATTAGCTGTCTGGGTGGGATAGCAAGTCTACAACATATGCCAGAAATCTAGATCAGTTAAAAATATTTAATCTGTTCTGATGTTTAGACCCAGTTAAATTATCAGCCCAAGATATGAAACATATAGTGATCATTTTAATTTTCTTCAAAGAGGGCAAAGCAGACCTCCTGTCCTATTGTGTTTTACACCCCACCGCCTATAGACTGTAAGCTCGTTTGAACAGGGTCCTCTTCAACCTATCGTTCCTGTACGTTTTTTGTAATTGTCCTATTTATAGTTAAATCCCTCCTTTTTATAATATAAAGCGCTACGGAATCAGTTGGCGCCAAATAAATGGCAATAATAATAAGTTAACCATTGTGGAATCCTGCAGCATATGAATTCTGCATGCATAAAGGAGGTACTTTTCACGCTCTGCCCATCATTCTGTATAAGGGACATGTTTACAGGAAACCAGGCATGCTCTCCCATCTCGAGCCTATCTAACATAGTAAATGCTATTAGTGATTATTTATTTTAAAATGAATTATAATATAATTTGTGTATTTTTGCCTGTTTTTATTCTTCCAGAGATGGCTCCTCAATACCCTCCAAACCTCAGTTCATTGAAGCCGATAAGTATTTCCTTCCATTCGAGTTGGCATGCCAACAGAAGTCTCCACGCATTGTCAGCACCTCGCTGGATTGTTTGCAGGTAATGAGTGTGTTCATCAAGCTTTGCTGCCATGTGACATTTCTAATTCACTGCCTTGGAGATATCCATCCAACTATGGGGTAAGCATGGGGGTCACCTGAAAAGCAGGCCGAGAATCCCTGTAATTGGGCAGAGCCAGATAGAGGACATGTGGGGCATGTTTGTTTTAGTCCAAGGCTAGATAATCCAAGGAGAAAGGTAGTCAGGGTTTTATTTTTTTATTTTTTCTTGCTATGTGAAGTGTTGGCATTTCTTGCTAAATTCATCGTTTTTGGTGACTATAATTCTGTCAGGTCTGAAATTGCACTTGGTCATAGCTGCTCATGCTGGAAGGACATCAGATGCCTGATACAGCAAGATCATTCTAAAATGGGAACTTCTAGCACCATAATCTTGCATTTGTTATGGTGTTTAAAGTGTCACTTAGCGCATCACTCAATGAGCCATTTGCTGTTACTTCACTTTTATTAAGGCCTTAATTCACAGTGTTAGAAGCGCTTTGTATTTAGGCCTTAACCCCTTAAGGGCACATGATGGAAATATTCCGTCATGATTCCCTTTTATTCCAGAAGTTGTGTCCTTAAGGGGTTAATTAACAGTGTTAGAAGCGCTTTGTATTTAGGCCTTAATTCAGAGTGTTAGAAGCGCTTTGTATTTGGGCATTAATTAACAGTGTTAGAAGCGCTTTGTATTTAGGCCTTAATTCAGAGTGTTAGAAGCGCTTTGTATTTGGGCATTAATTCACAGTGTTAGAAGCGCTTTGTATTTAGGCCTTAATTCACAGTGTTAGAAGCGCTTTGTATTTAGGCCTTAATTCACAGTGTTAGAAGCGCTTTGTATTTAGGCCTTAATTCACAGTGTTAGAAGCGCTTTGTATTTAGGCCTTAATTCACAGTGTTAGAAGCGCTTTGTATTTAGGCCTTAATTCACAGTGTTAGAAGCGCTTTGTATTTAAGATGCTACTTCGGATCTGGTGCAGAGAGTCTGTAAAATAATTGGAAAGACCTTGTTGACTTTAAAATTGTCTAACATTAATCAATCTTCTTTTAAAATCCCATTGTTCCATGCAATAAATATGGAACAATAACTTGCCCTGCTTCAGTTTTTTACTTGGAATGTAGGATCAGATTTTATTTCCAGCATTAAACTTTAATATTTTCCGTGTACTTTCAGAAACTCATCGCGTATGGCCACATTACTGGAAACGCACCAGATAAAGGAGCCCCTGGCAAGCGCCTTATTGATCGCATTGTTGATACAATTTGCAACTGCTTTCAAGGTCCTCAAACAGATGAAGGGGTACAGCTACAAATTATCAAGGTAAATGAATCATTCTAGCTGTGTTCGTCATCTCAACGTTCTTTGGGCAAGGCGCTGTTAGAATTCGTGGCCTGCTGGAGCATATTGACAGCCAGTTAACATGGGGCACCGAGACGTGCCGATCATGCTGGGATGCTTCCATTAGTTTGATAATAGTGAATCGCCTTGTTTTAATTTTCTCTTTTGCTTTGCTGTTAAAGGCTCTTCTCACTGTGGTAACCTCACCATATGTAGAAATCCACGAAGGGACAATCTTGGAGACCGTTCGGACATGTTATAACATTTACTTGGCAAGCAAAAATCTGGTCAACCAAACTACTGCCAAGGCAACACTCACTCAGATGCTGAACGTCATTTTCATCAGGATGGAGAATCAAGCGGTAAGTAATCTCATGGCTGTGTATAACAATAACCATCTTACTCACTGGATCACTGTGAACGTGCTATGGATACTCTAGGCTTGCAATGGCAGTATCTTCTAAAACCTGGCTAGTGATTTAGGACTTGAAATTGGTCTCTGCATTGTTATATCCAAGTTTATGGTAGGGGATTTGACGTAAATGCCATAATGGCGTCATAAAGTTGGCTGGAGTAATCTATAGTTATGAGTTCAAGATGACTAAATAACAACCTACAGGAAGAGGTTGGTTGTGGTGTTCTGAAACTGATGTGTGGGTGAGTCAGTACAAAAAGAGGACTACCCTAAGGTAACACCCAACCGGTAGCTAGAATAATTTGGTTAAAGGAATCAGCTGAGCATCACTACTACTGGCTGTGAAGAATAAATAGGCCAGTAAACCCCTCCCACAACTCTAGGCTTACAGCCTTTCCATATATGGATTTATTTTAATTTCGTATACAGCGCTGGCTCCACTAAAACTAACCATACAAACTACTATTTTGGCAAGTGCAGGCATGGGATTTGTATCTGTTACCCATAATCCTCTGTTTAGGAGCATTTAGGAACACAAAAGTATGTTTGCACATTCACACTTTAATGAATAACTGACATAAGGGATTACTGGAACATGGATTTAAAGAAAACACACTCTTTATTGATATGATCTTTATTATATATTTTTATTTCTTGTCCTTTTTAATATACATATATTATTTTTTTTTTTTATTATTTTTTAGCTTCAGGAAATCGTGAACCACGAAAAGCAGCAACAAAAACTACACTCTCCCGCCCTCCGCAAACCAGCAGAATCCCCGCGGGCTTCGCTGCACACTCTCAACTACCCGGAAGCAGTGCCTCCGTTACCGCAGAACTATAGTAATGTTGGCAACGGTGACCAAGAGAGGGGCAGCAGAGCAGAACCGGAGGGCAGCGAGGATAGTGTAACTGCTGAGCCCAAACTGAATGAGTACAGAACTGACGATGGACCCAAATACAGTGAGGATCCTGAAAGAATAGAGGACAGAACCGATGGCGGACCCAAATACAGTGAGGATCCTGGAAGAATAGAGAAGAGAACCGATGGCGGACCCAAATACAGTGAGGATCCTGGAAGAATAGATGACAGAACCGATGACGGACCCAAATACAGTGAGGATCCTGGAGGTTACAGAGAGGATCTTGGAAGGAGAGAGGACAGAGATGATTCTGAGATTAAATCAGGATCAGATCACACTGATGATGGTGACAAGCTCAAATCTACACAGGAATCTGATCTCTGTGAAGAAAGAATGGCCATGGAACCCAAGGGCAGCACGGATGAAATAGTCACAGAACTAAGTTCCAACCTGCCTGGTAAGACTTCTCTTAGAGAGAGACGATTCTCCCCACCTCAAACTTAAGTGTTCCAGCGTTACCTAACGGGACACTCCAGGTACCAATACTTCTAATGCATTTTAGGTTTTTGGACTCATTCATTTGCTGGACTTTGTTGCATGTTTAAATCTTTATAGTTTTTGACTGTCTGTAGTCAGGCTGTGAAGTAAAAAAGCCGCTCACTCAGTACTGTCAGTGGCTGAGCTGTGTACATACATTTGATAAGGAAGTATTTCTGGCATGAGGGGGTGTGGCCAGGGAGGCAGGCTTAGGGTGCAACATGTGAAGGTGTGCAACCAACCCTCTAAATTAAATGTCTTCTTTAAACCACCCTGTAACTGAAGCATGTGTGTTTTATAGTGCTGTTCCATTGAATGCACAGTGAATACCATGTATCAGCCAAGTCTGGAGTACCTTAATACCTGTACACCTTGATGAAATGATCGGGAGCTACGAGAGCCTTACAAGTCTCTTAGGAATTGTCACAGTCCTTCTTTATAAAAAAAATATATATATATATATATATATATATATATATATATATTATATATATATATATAATTTTCTTTGACGTCTGAAAATAAATATTGGTAATTAATATATTTTTTAACACAAATAACGGAAGATGTTTCTGCTCCTGAAGATAGTATTCGGGATCCAGTTGAGCCTGGTGTTAGAGGTGCGTGTTACCAGCTCTGTGTAGTTTACCGTTCCACAGAAAGCTCTTGGAATATGTACTGGGGTAATAGTAACAGGTGATTTGCAGTGACTGAAGTCACTCAACGGAGCAGCTCAGACTCTTTAAGTGTAACGTGACCACAGACGTAGTAAATTAGAAATGAGCTCAATAACCTGTTTGGTTTTGATGTGACACATTGCAGGATAGATTTATTGCCTATTTTAATTATGCATCACAAAAAGAATTCATATAGAAACACAAAAGGTGGGGAATTCAGCCATCCTAGAGCTTCCTTTATATTTGTTTTTCATTGTTTTGATCAGTAACTTCCCTTTCAGGTAAATGAGACAGGATTTTCACGCTCCGTAGACCTGCATGTGGCTGCTTGTGCACAATAATAATATCCACAATTACTCTCTTTTTATTATTAAAGTAAACTGTGCTGTTCTGGATAGATTCACATTTACTACCTGTGTAACGTATGTTTTGGATTTAAAATGTCCTCTAGTTCTCAAACAGTTGAAATGAAGTTTAAAATGATAGATAACACCTTTTAAATGTCCTCTCCTCCCACCCTCTATCCATTCCTCAACATTGAACACTTCCTTAAAAGTTTGTTTCTTTTATGTTTGAATTGGAAGGTCCCGGAAATGTTGATGAAACAGTTGCATCCGAAATCCCCCCATCTGCTGAAAGGAACCAAACCAACGGGATTGCAGACGATGGGCAGTCAGTGTCCTCTACTGATATTATGGTACTGATTCACCAAAATCTTATCCTTTCCATTTGCGAAAGATTTCTGCAGAGCGCTTGACACTGAACGTACATAGAGCATCACTCCTCTGCGTTGGTGGTCTTTTCTAATGAAACGTGGACTGATGCTACGCTGGCATTGGGGCTACACGACAGAGGATATTCTCTGAGGACCTGTCTCTCCTCTGATTTCCCCTGTCCTGCATTAACCAGGACTACGGTGTATATATAATGTACACTGCTGGTTGTTTCCTGACAGTTTAATAAATAACGGTTTTAATCCACGTGGATGGTGTTATATCTCTTTTACATTATTTCACGTTTCTGTACCCTAACACAAACTGTGTCAGACTTCCTTCTCAATAAATAAAATTACTTTTTATTGCTCCAAGAGAATAGCATAACCAGGTTCTGTTCTAATAATATTTGAAGATCAGCGCAGGTCTGTCCTTGGCACCTCTCCACAGAACTCTTTGCAGACCATATAGTAATATTTCCACAAGTTATTTTATTAAAGAAACACTATAGTGTCAGGGATACAAATGTGCATTCCTGACACTATAGGTCTAAATAGCTATTTAACCCTCTCCATCCCCCCGTCTCCCTTTTCACCAGTTAAACTGGTGTTAAACTCCCCTTTTTCCATGGCTGGCCCTGCCCCTTGGGTGAGATCATCAAACTTGATGATCTCAGCCAATCCAATGCTTTCCCATAGGAAAGCATTCGGAGGCTATCGTGCATTGACTCAGTGCATCTCTATGAGGAATGTTCAGCGCCTCCATGCAGAGCGTGGAGACACTGAATGTCCGCACTGCCCCAGGAAGCTCCTCTAGTAGCCATCTGAGTGACAGCCACTGTAGGTGTCCCTAGGCAGTAACGTAAACACTCTTATCTTTGAATAGGCAGTGTTTTAATTAAAATGCACGGACAGGATATAGACACCTTAACAACTACATTAAGCTGTAGCTCTTGTGACTATAGTGTCCCTTTAACTACAGTATCCATTGTATGCTTGGTGTTTGCTGCACTTTTTATATCTGTTTTATTTTTTTTCAATCATGCAAGTTTAGGGAAGAAAGTTTAAATTTTTTTTTTAATTTTTTTTTATCAAGTTTGCCTTCTTTGTGTGTTTGTTTGTTTTTTTGTCTCTAAGTGGAAAGTTTGCTGAAGAAATATACCACGTTATTTTAACATAGTTGTTTTTTTGTTTAGGATTCAGAGTCCGTCCACGGGCACCAGTCCGGAGCTCGGTTCTCTCACATTCTGCAGAAAGACGCATTCCTGGTGTTCAGATCTCTCTGCAAACTTTCAATGAAACCACTTGGCGAGGGCCCACCTGATCCCAAGTAAGCAACTGATCAGAAAGAAACTGGAAGAACTTCACAACCGTTTGCTTTTCAATATTAATAAACAGATTTGATGTCTTTGGGAAGCTGCCGAGCACTGAGCCAGAATGTGTAAAGAACGGACATTGATTTACAAAGATAAATAAGATCATATATTAAAAATACTTAAAGTGCAGAAGGTTACACTTTTTAACGTTTGATTCCAAGAGTACCAATGAAAGAAGTGGACCGTTGATGTTTCACTCTAACACGTCTTTCTGTTAATTTCAAGGTCCCATGAGCTGCGCTCGAAGATTATCTCCCTGCAGCTCCTACTGTCAGTATTGCAGAACGCCGGCCCTGTATTCCGAACGCACGAAATGTTTATCAATGCAATCAAGCAATATCTCTGTGTGGCACTGTCAAAGAATGGTGTGTCTTCTGTGCCCGATGTGTTCGAACTTTCTCTTGCCATATTCCTTAGTTTGCTGTCAAACTTTAAGACTCATTTAAAGATGCAGGTAGAGGTAAGTTCTGGAAAGAAAAGCTTTTTAATAACCCGTGATTTAGTATCCTGTGATTAGTGTAATTTGCACATTTGGTTTGAAATTCTCTTCAAACCACAGCAAGGCTGAGCCTGAGGAACAAATCTCCAAGATTTTATAATCATTTTCTTTTCATTCACGCAGCGTTTGTGTCATTTTATGCAGGTATTTTTTAAAGAAATCTTCTTAAACATACTGGAGACTCCAACAAGTTCCTTTGAGCATAAATGGATGGTTATCCAGACACTGACAAGGATTTGTGCAGGTATTGTTAAAAACAAAACAAAACTTTTAATAAGGGATGCATGTAAATCTACAAAACCGATAACTTTTCATTTTCTTTCTGCTTTAGACGCCCAATGTGTGGTGGATATATATGTGAACTATGACTGTGATTTAAATGCTGCAAATATATTTGAACGACTTGTTAATGACTTGTCAAAAATTGCTCAGGGGAGAAGCGGGCATGAACATGGAATGACTCCATTACAGGTAAAAAGAATGAATGGTTCACGGCGTTTCTCATTTATTTGGCATTTCTTGGTCTGTGGGCAATGTTACAAGATTTTTGAAGACTTCATTCATGACCATTAAAAGCACCCACTCCATCTTAGTGAGATGAAGTTTTAATCATGCTATGTAAAACACTGTAGTTTTGTAGAAACTGTAGTTTTCTTTCTTGTGGGTAAACAGCATGGCTTTTTCCCTGACTGCTACTAGAGGTGATTCCCTCTGAGAACTGAGTCAGACACAGCTCTCATTCAAATGCTGCTTTTAAAGATTTGCGCAGCAGCGATATGCCGCACATGGGCACAAACCTTCTAATGCTTTCCTACGGGGGAAAGCGTTGGATTGGCTGAGATCATCGATCTCGGCCAGTGGAAGGATCAGCCATGGTGAGACCATCGCTCACCTTTTAAACCCTCATGAGGGTAAGTATAATGTTAGGAATACATATTTTATAGCATTACTTTAAGTGCTTAATTTTCTTGTTTCACTTCCAGTTTTATTCATTTGTTATCCTTGTTCAGGTTTGCACTAGTTGCAAGTTGCAGCTTTTATTTCTTTATTCAGCTGTAGCTAAGCTGATCTTTCATTTGTCAACAAGTTTAGAGTCTATAGACATCAGTATTGACTGGAAGCCCATCATTTGTAGCCAAACACCACATATATTACCTGTATGAATCTGTTTCTATCCGATTTTTATCAAACTGACATCTTATTTTCCTAATAAAAGTTAGATCAGCATACTTACATTGTGTCATCTCCATTGTTTGCAGGAGATCAGTCTCAGAAAGAAAGGCCTGGAGTGCCTTGTGTCCATATTGAAGTGTATGGTAGAATGGAGCAAAGACCTTTACGTAAATCCCAACCACCAGTCCAGCCTTGGTAAGAAACAATGACTCTCAAAGCTTCTAAACCATGTCATGACATTTCTTTAGTATTCAGCTCCATCACAGTGAAATCCTGCTCATTTGAAAGGGATAAGCTCTGTGAATGGGAGGCTTGTGAAGATGTACCTGGTATTAATAGGGACGAATCTTGATGCTTCACGTTGGTGTCATTTTTTCAGGTGTAGAATACCATTTCCGTGGTAACTTTTAATGGTTTTAATTAATTGACTTTGTCAAGTCACACAATAACGAATGTTAAGAAATAACATTGTAATTACTCTATGTAAAGCATGTCATGCTTGCATGATGGGTAAATAGGTTTTATGTTTTCGGTTACAGCCTCTGAGGCCTTTCTAGCTCATGCTTAAAAGATGAAAAAAGAAAGTTATATGTTTTGGAATTGTCATAAAAAGATTATAAAATAAACCCTGATGTCATATTTTTAGTTTAACGGTTCTCTGATTCATTTCTAGGTCCGGAAAAAACATCCGATGTTGAAAGCAGTGAGAATAAACCCTCAGAAACATCAGGGAGGAGAATTAGTATCAGTTCAATGGATTCCACGGTCTCCTCTGGAATCGGCAGTATCAGCACCCAGGCGTCTGTCCCTGATGATCCTGAACAGTTTGAAGTGATCAAACAACAGAAGGAGATCATTGAACACGGCATCGAGCTGTGAGTTTAATCCCCCTTATCACACAGCTCTTGTGAACTGCGTGAGGGTTAGCTATATAGAGCTCTTCAAAGCTGTGTTATAACCCCGTGTGCATAATAAATGTAACATTACCTAAATAGAGCTCTCCATAGCTGTATTATAACCCTGTGTTCATATTAAATGTAACATTACCTATATAGAGCTCTCAATAGCTGTATTATAACCCAGTGTGCATATTAAATGCAACATTACCTATATAGAGCTCTCCATAGCTGCATTAGAACCATGTGTGCATATTAAATGTAACATTACCTATATAGAGCTATCCATAGCTGTATTATAACCCTGTGTGCATATTAAATGTAATATTACCTAAATAGAGTTCTCCATAGCTGTATTATAACCCTGTGTGCATATTAAATGTAACATTACCTATATAGAGCTCTCCATAGCTGTATTATAACCCCGTGTGCATATTAAATGTAACATTACCTATATAGAGCTCTCCATAGCTGTATTATAACCCCGCGTGCATATGAAATGTAACATTACCTATATAGAGCTCTCCATAGCTGTATTATAACCCTGTGTTCATATTAAATGTAACATTACCTATATAGAGCTCTCCATAGCTGTATTATAACCCTGTGTGCATATTAAATGCAACATTACCTATATAGAGCTCTCCATAGCTGTATTATAACCCCGTGTGCATATTAAATGTAACATTACCTATATAGAGCTATCCATAGCTGTATTATAACCCTGTGTGCATATTAAATGTAACATTACCTAAATAGAGCTCTCCATAGCTGTATTATAACCCCGTGTGCATATTAAATGTAACATTACCTATATAGAGCTATCCATAGCTGTATTATAACCCCGTGTGCATATGAAATGTAACATTACCTATATAGAGCTCTCCATAGCTGCATTAGAACCCTGTGTACATATTAAATGTAACATTACCTATATAGAGCTCTCCATAGCTGTATTATAACTGTGTGCATATTAAATGCAACATTACCTATATAGAGCTCTCCATAGCTGTATTATAACCCTGTGTTCATATTAAATGTAACTTAACCTATATAGAGCTATCCATATCTGTATTATAACCCTGTGTGCATATTAAATGTAACATTATCTATATAGAGCTCTCCATAGCTGTATTATAACCCTGTGTTCATATTAAATGTAACTTAACCTATATAGAGCTATCCATATCTGTATTATAACCCCGTGTGCATATTAAATGTAACATTACCTATATAGAGCTCTCCATAGCTGTATTATAACCCTGTGTGCATATTAAATGTAACATTACCTATATAGAGCTATCCATAGCTGTATTATAACCTCGTGTGCATATTAAATGTAACATTACCTATATAGAGCTCTCCATAGCTGTATTATAACCCCGCGTGCATATGAAATGTAACATTACCTATATAGAGCTCTCCATAGCTGTATTATAACCCTGTGTTCATATTAAATTTAACATTACCTATATAGAGCTCTCCATAGCTGTATTATAACCCTGTGTGCATATTAAATGCAACATTACCTATATAGAGCTCTCCATAGCTGTATTATAACCCTGTGTGCATATTAAATGTAACTTAACCTATATAGAGCTATCCATAGCTGTATTATAACCCTGTGTGCATATTAAATGTAACATTACCTAAATAGAGCTCTCCATAGCTGTATTATAACCCCGTGTGCATATTAAATGTAACATTACCTATATAGAGCTATCCATAGCTGTATTATAACCCCGTGTGCATATGAAATGTAACATTACCTATATAGAGCTCTCCATAGCTGCATTAGAACCCTGTGTACATATTAAATGTAACATTACCTATATAGAGCTCTCCATAGCTGTATTATAACCCTGTGTTCATATTAAATGTAACATTACCTATATAGAGCTCTCCATAGCTGTATTATAACCCCGTGTGCATATTAAATGTAACATTACCTATATAGAGCTCTCCATAGCTGTATTATAACCCTGTGTTCATATTAAATGTAACTTAACCTATATAGAGCTATCCATATCTGTATTATAACCCCGTGTGCATATTAAATGTAACATTACCTATATAGAGCTCTCCATAGCTGTATTATAACCCTGTGTGCATATTAAATGTAACATTACCTATATAGAGCTCTCCATAGCTGTATTATAACCCTGTGTGCATATTAAATGTAACATTACCTATATAGAGCTCTCCATAGCTGTATTATAACCCCGTGTGCATATTAAATGTAACATTACCTATATAGAGCTCTCCATAGCTGTATTATAACCCCGTGTGCATATTAAATGTAACATTACCTATATAGAGCTCTCCATAGCTGTATTATAACCCAGTGTGCATATTAAATGTAACATTACCAATATAGAGCTCTCCATAGCTGTATTATAACCCTGTGTTCTTATTAAATGCAACATTACCTATATAGAGCTCTCCATAGCTGTATTATAACCCCGTGTGCATATTAAATGTAACATTACCTATATAGAGCTATCCATAGCTGTATTATAACCCCGTGTGCATATTAAATGTAACATTACCTATATAGAGCTCTCCATAGCTGTATTATAACCCTGTGTGCATATTAAATGTAACATTACCTATATAGAGCTCTCCATAGCTGTATTATAACCCCGTGTGCATATTAAATGTAACATTACCTATATAGAGCTCTCCATAGCTGTATTATAACCCAGTGTGCATATTAAATGTAACATTACCAATATAGAGCTCTCCATAGCTGTATTATAACCCTGTGTGCATATTAAATGTAACATTACCTATATAGAGCTATCCATAGCTGTATTATAACCCTGTGTGCATATTAAATGTAACATTACCTAAATAGAGCTCTCCATAGCTGTATTATAACCCCGTGTGCATATTAAATGTAACATTACCTATATAGAGCTATCCATAGCTGTATTATAACCCCGTGTGCATATTAAATGTAACATTACCTATATAGAGCTATCCATAGCTGTATTATAACCCCGTGTGCATATGAAATGTAACATTACCTATATAGAGCTCTCCATAGCTGCATTAGAACCCTGTGTACATATTAAATGTAACATTACCTATATAGAGCTCTCCATAGCTGTATTATAACCCTGTGTGCATATTAAATGCAACATTACCTATATAGAGCTCTCCATAGCTGTATTATAACCCTGTGTTCATATTAAATGTAACTTAACCTATATAGAGCTATCCATATCTGTATTATAACCCTGTGTGCATATTAAATGTAACATTATCTATATAGAGCTCTCCATAGCTGTATTATAACCCCGTGTGCATATTAAATGTAACATTACCTATATAGAGCTCTCCATAGCTGTATTATAACCCTGTGTTCATATTAAATGTAACTTAACCTATATAGAGCTATCCATATCTGTATTATAACCCCGTGTGCATATTAAATGTAACATTACCTATATAGAGCTCTCCATAGCTGTATTATAACCCTGTGTGCATATTAAATGTAACATTACCTATATAGAGCTCTCCATAGCTGTATTATAACCCTGTGTGCATATTAAATGTAACATTACCTATATAGAGCTCTCCATAGCTGTATTATAACCCCGTGTGCATATTAAATGTAACATTACCTATATAGAGCTCTCCATAGCTGTATTATAACCCTGTGTGCATATTAAATGTAACATTACCTATATAGAGCTCTCCATAGCTGTATTATAACCCCGTGTGCATATTAAATGTAACATTACCTATATAGAGCTCTCCATAGCTGTATTATAACCCTGTGTTCATATTAAATGTAACATTACCTATATAGAGCTATCCATATCTGTATTATAACCCCGTGTGCATATTAAATGTAACATTACCTATATAGAGCTCTCCATAGCTGTATTATAACCCTGTGTGCATATTAAATGTAACATTACCTATATAGAGCTCTCCATAGCTGTATTATAACCCTGTGTGCATATTAAATGTAACATTACCTATATAGAGCTCTCCATAGCTGTATTATAACCCGTGTGCATATTAAATGTAACATTACCTATATAGAGCTCTCCATAGCTGTATTATAACCCTGTGTTCTTATTAAATGCAACATTACCTATATAGAGCTCTCCATAGCTGTATTATAACCCCGTGTGCATATTAAATGTAACATTACCTATATAGAGCTATCCATAGCTGTATTATAACCCCGTGTGCATATTAAATGTAACATTACCTATATAGAGCTATCCATATCTGTATTATAACCCAGTGTGCATATTAAATGTAACATTACCTATATAGAGCTATCCATATCTGTATTATAACCCTCTGTGCATATTAAATGTAACATTACCTATATAGAGCTCTCCATAGCTGTATTATAACCCAGTGTGCATATTAAATGTAACATTACCTATATAGAGCTCTCCATAGCTGTATTATAACCATCTGTGCATATTAAATGTAACATTACCTATATAGAGCTCTCCATAGCTGTATTATAACCCTCTGTGCATATTAAATGTAACATTACCTATATAGAGCTCTCCATAGCTGTATTATAACCCAGTGTGCATATTAAACGTAACATTACCTATATAGCTAAATTCTACCTGGAATATTGATGCCAACTCTCTGCCAGCTTAGCCATTATTCATTTTTCTGTTAATTTTTTTTAATCTATATTTAGTTATAACTTCCTACATGTAAGTTGGCAGACATTTTGTCCCCAATATTTTAGGTAGCATTTCTGTGGTCCGCCGTTCCAGTCTGAATGTAATAAATATGAATCTAAAATGCACTGAACCTATTTATCTGTTTTCCAAAATGAGAGAAATGTCAACCCTTTCCTTTATAGATTTAACAAGAAGCCAAAAAGAGGAATTCAGTATCTTCAAGAACAGGAGATGCTTGGTGTAACCCCCCAGGACATTGCACAGTTTTTACACCAAGAGGATCGACTAGATTTTGTAAGCAGATTCTTCTTTCAGCCTCCCCCCACTACTATAGAAGCTGCTAATGCTAATAATTAAGTCCTTGAGTGCCCATGTCACGTATTCCTGATTAATGTTTGATATAAACTGGGTCTCTTCTCAGCACCCATGCACCAACCCCTGTCTTGTCCTCATTGCTAATTCAGAATAAGCAGTACTTCCATATTATCCGTGTTTATATTCTCCAACGTGGATGGCCTTGATTGGCTAAGGCAGGGGACAGTGCCATGGCAATCTAGGCACCATAACCACTACAGGCTGATCAAAATATGCATGTTAAAATGTTTTACAGACTGTGTGAAATTACCAAGTACAGGCTAACTATTCACAGCAACAAATGACACATTCTTTGACTTCAGTAGAAAATAGAGTTCAACCATGAGAGAATCTGATTTTAACAACTTTATTTTCAGACACAAATTGGAGACTTTTTAGGGGAGAATAATAGATTTAATCGTGAGGTGATGTACTCCTATGTGGACCAGCTGAATTTCTGTGATAAAGACTTTGTGTCGGCACTGCGCATGTTTCTGGAAGGATTCCGCCTCCCGGGAGAAGCTCAGAAGATTGACCGGCTGATGGAGAAATTTGCTGCTCGCTATTTAGAATGTAATCAGAGGTACGTTTTAAACACTCCGTCACAAACACAAGCTAGGTGTAATGTTTGAATTGGGTTACAATGATCGGGAAAGCTTAGAAGTGCTTAGTAAGTATCAGTCAGTATCCGCTTTTTTTTTTTTTCCCCAAAATCTCATTTTGTTAAAGGAACACTATAGCGTTAGGAATACAAAACTGTCTCTCTGCCGGCATGGCTGAATGTCCACATCTTTCCAGTGTCGATGTCCATCTGTTCATATTCCGGCTTTGCCTCCTCCAACATTGGCATTGGGGGGACAGAATGTGCATGTGCGTCGAGTGCAGTGCGCGCGCTTCAGGCCTTCCCCATAGGAAAGCATTAAAATTTGAAGACACTACATGTCCTCATGCAAAACGTGAGGGTGTCCAGCATCATTTCATGGAGATTAACTCCATGGTAATGCATGAGGCGCTTCTATTGGCTGTCTAGTAGACCGGCACTAGAGGCAGTCTTAAACCTGCAACGTTTCTGAAACTGCAGTGTTTTACATTGCAGGATTTTAGGGGAGAGACACACTGCATGCAGATCACTTCAGTGCGATGAAGTGGTTTGGGTGCCTATAGTGTCCATTTAACAATTTGTCATTTTTAAAATGTATTTGTATAAAATTGGCTGCTTTAAATTATGGGCTTTGCTTCCTAACTGAAGTTAATAACGCTGCTGTGTAACCCAGTTAATGGCAAAAATTAGAGAAAAATCCTTCTCTTCTTAGCTTCTGTTTGGCTCCTATTTTGTTGCTTTCCCATTTGAAACCTATTTTCATTTTACATTCTGCAGACAAACCTTGTTCGCCAGCGCTGATACGGCGTATGTCTTGGCATATTCTATTATAATGTTAACAACAGATCTACATAGTCCTCAGGTATGGTTTACTAGTAGATTGGTTATGTCTTTCCTTTTAATGGCTATTTTATTTTATGCACAGACACCCATTGACTGCATTGTTTTGACTGCTTGTCGGTTTTAATAGGTGAAGAATAAAATGACAAAGGAGCAGTATATTAAAATGAACAGAGGCATTAACGATAGCAAAGATTTGCCGGAGGAATACTTATCTGCGATCTATGATGAAATTGAAGGCAAGAAAATTGCAATGAAGGAGACCAAGGAATTTACTGTTACAACCAAGTCTTCAAAGAGCAGTGAGTACTTGGGATATAAAACATATACAGTATGGGTTTCTAGCACATACAGATATACTCCTGTTGCAATAAATGCATGCATTATTTCATTGGAGGTATATATGATAAATTGTAAAAAAAGTGTACTAAGAGTACTTTACTTTTTTTTTTTTAAGGAATGAGGGAAGCTACACTCTGCCTTTATCAAATCACTGCTTCATTGGGAAAATGCTTCTCCCATTTTTCTAAAACAGCGTAGACTAAACCTGCTTATTAAGCATCCAAAATCTCTTTACAGGGCTGATGGTAAAGGAGTGGGTTATTCAAAGATTCATAATAAAAAATGTAAAAATCCATTGATAATTTTATTCATCCATTTCATGGGAACAACACACAGTCTAAATAAAATTACAGGGCATATGTAGTGAGGTCTGACACTATCCTTCAAGCTGTTAGTGGCTGGCAAAGAATCATGGGAGTTATACTGAAATAGGTGGATGGCTTCCTCACATCCTCACGGTTGCTGCACGTTCTGATCTAAGAAAGCAATGTCACATTCTCCTAACTGCACGCACAATGCCATCTTACTGTGTCTTCATAGGTGCGACTAATGAAAAGGAGAGACGGCTGTTGTATAATATGGAGATGGAGCAAATGGCAAAAACCGCCAAAGCACTTATGGAAGCTGTGAGCCACGCTAAGGCGCCATTTACTAGCGCAACTCACCTGGACCACGTGCGACCCATGTTTAAAGTAAGTCAAAATTGAACTGAGATATCAGACATGTTAAAAGGAAGCCAGCACTTTATGATTATAACAATTTCTAATTACCATGTGTTCAAAACGAACAAGCTTAGTATTGGTAAATGTATCCTTAGGTCAGTGCAGATGTTTGAAGTTTGTTTTATAAAGGTATTTTATGACATTAATGATGTTGAAAAACTGATACCTTAAACAGAATATTTAATGTGTTAACATTGGTCATTGAATGCATTCATTATGCAGTTTATTGTCGCACTCGTATTATTATTTTATTATTTATATAGCACCATTAGATTCTGTAGCGCCGTACAATGGACCGTAGTATGAATAGCAATCCACTTGCCCTTTTAATATGTTTTAAGAAACAATAATCCACTTTGCTAAAATTAGCTAAGCTTGGTGCCTGTGGTCTTTCATTATAATTGTATATAAATACACACTGCTTTTCAGTTATTTGTCTAATGAACTGAATTCCCGCCTTGAAACTAACTCCTAATAGCTTTTATTCCAAACTGGGAATTGTCTATAATCAACAAGGGAATTGCAACATTTTAATTCCAGGCATCATGATTACTCTTGTTCTGGGCTGGCTAATGACACAGCCAGATGTGGAGTTACACCTCCTGCATCTGTGTGGTTAAACATTTCAAAGTGTATTCTGTACAAGTTGCAGGCACCATAACCACTTAAGGTTATGTGGTCACGGTGCTTGAAGTAACGCTTCCGAATAGCCTTGTTTATTCTTAATCAGATTAAATGAGATAATGTTGGGATACGTCAATAAATTTGTAAGCAGGGAATGGCTCCATAAAATTCCAGGTGTTGTAATATATGATGATTTATTTTTCTGTAGCTAGTCTGGACGCCATTGCTTGCTGCCTACAGCATCGGCCTTCAGAACTGTGATGACAGCGAGGTGGCTAATCTGTGCTTGGAAGGCATTCGCTGTGCAATCCGAATCGCGTGCATCTTTAGTATGCAGGTCAGTGCTGGACCGACAGGAAGCTGGTCATTTAGAGAGTGAATGTATCCAGCATTCTGATTGCGGAAGGGACAACTTAAATTAGGTGGTGAAAACCTGGCATTGATTGGGATGGGGCATAGTGTTCTGTGATCTTAATATTTATTTAACCCTCTAGCCATATACGATTTCGCTCTCACAGTATCTTCCTTGTCGATTGAAAACCTGTTAAAGTGGGTTTGTTACTATCAAAAGGTTTCTTGATTAAAAGCAGGGGAAAAAATAGATTTTTGCAATTAATAAACTGTTTGTTATTTGAATACACGGCATTGGACAAAACTTTTTGTACCACGTGATTTTGTGCTGAATTAATAAATCTGTGGCAATGCTGTAATTGTGCAGCAGTAACAATGGAAACTGACAGAATACTTCTGCCGATTGCTTTGCTATTAGAACTTTTCCTGGTAATGTCTTTATACACACAGCCTGCTCACTTTGCTGATTAATAGTATTGTATGGCAAGAGTGATCTATACAAGCAACTACATGGGGGAAGTCATTAATATAATGTTCTGCTTTTTTATGTCTTTATTCTAGCCTTTGTGTATTTGTTTTAAGTAATGTTTTATCATTTATGGTTCTGATAGAAACATCAATGCTTGCTAAGTGTTTTGGCAGCTAAAGGATGATTAGTTTGTCTCACTGGCTGATCCTTTGTTATTTTGGTTGGTCAGCTTGAAAGAGACGCCTATGTCCAGGCTCTTGCGCGATTTTCTCTGCTTACGGCGAGTTCCAGCATTACCGAAATGAAGCAGAAAAACATAGACACCATCAAGACTCTCATTACAGTGGCTCACACGGACGGAAACTACCTCGGAAATTCATGGCATGAGGTAATGCCTATTTATTCTTTATGTTGACCCCGTCACCCCCTAGGTGAGATCTCTATTTGACAGAATCTCCCTCTGAGCTGTAGGGAAGGGCAATTAACAGTCTGTAAAGAATAAACTCACCTGCTAACAGATTGTTTTACACTCACTGCGGAGAAATCCTGTTCAGTTTCACTCCTCTTCCTTAAAACCATCACCCTTTTTTGTGTTTTGCAGATATTGAAATGTATTAGTCAGTTGGAACTTGCACAGCTTATCGGCACAGGTGTTAAGACTCGGTACATCTCTGGAACTGTGCGCGATCGGGAAGGAAGCATTAAGAGTTACACGACGGGAGGAGAGGAGTTCATGGGGCTGGGATTAGGTGAGAAAACCGGTAGTAATCTGGAGCAAAGATCATCTCAAAGTGGCTTATTGACAGTGTTGAGCTGCAGTGTAATCAAGTTATGAAAGAGATTGGAGAGTAATTCCCTAAAGTGAGAATTGTTGGGAATTCAGAGGGAATTTCAGAATTCAGACCCAAATAGCTGAATTGGAAACCTTTTCCTAGTCAGTTTAATTTTGAATTCACTTGGTAAGTCTCGTGGGTTCTTTCATGGATCCCTGTTTTGTACATTTGCACAAAAGTACAACGATTCTGTGGCCCCATGACCCTTCGTCTGCCAGGAGCTGGAGACCCAAAGATGGCCGTGTGAGAGTCTTGTGCCACCATGAAAATTCACCCCATGCACACAATACGTGCATTTGATAGATTCTGGTCTCCTATTCAAGTTGTGTTTTTTTTCTACACATTCAAATATAATTAGTTCTGCTAAATAAAGAAATAGTTTTGCAATAGTTGTACTTGGCATGAAAGCCAGAATATTCTTGTTCTTTTCCAACACATAGTATAAATGGGATATGTGTTTCATGATTGTCTGTATTCTGCACATTTGTCCCTTTAACATCTGTCACAAATGGCTTCATTTTGAATAAAAAAAAAAAAAATTTTAGCTATGGAAGTTGACTTTGGTACCCTAATTTATTGACCCCTTGTGGCCCCAAAATAGTTTTAAAATGCATCGAGCAGCCACCAACAATTCAGGTGTCCATTATTGCTCTCTGGAGTCACTGCATTTATCGCCACATTTCATCTAGACTGTATGTTCTCTTCCAGGGACACTGGTTGGTGTTGGAGTAGACAAGAAGCAGATGGCCAGCATTCAAGAATCTGTTGGAGAAACTAGCTCGCAGAGTGTTGTTGTAGCTGTGGATAGGTGCGTTTTATATGACTTACAAGATGAATGGTGCATCAGACTCTCAAAACAGACTTGGTGATGAAACTGATAGGATGATGTTAGTAAGGCCATGAAACCTCACAGGGTTTCCTGTCTCTAGCCGGCTTACTGACAACTTTCAAAAATCAGCACGTCTTTATGCATAATTTGTGTTAGGGTTGTTAATATACTATTTATCTCTGTGAATATTCAGGTGACTGGCATTAATGGTTAGCTACATTGACATTTCTCCTTTTTTTTTTTAAATATATTTTTAATTACAGGATATTTACGGGGTCAACTAGACTTGATGGAAATGCAATTGGTGAGTATTGCAAACTTAATAGAAATATGTGGGTATACAGATTAAATATAACCAAACCTACCGTAAATATTTTGTGACCTGTTAATCCATCTTATTTTTGGGTTCAATAATTTACCTAGCTATACATTTAGTTATGACTTTTGACGATAGCTTGGTGTAGACGAACAGGTTGGCCTCACCAAGATGGCGTTTTACCTTTTGTCTCTCGCAGTCGACTTTGTCCGCTGGCTGTGCGCAGTCTCCATGGATGAATTGGCATCTATACACCATCCGCGCATGTTCAGCTTGCAGAAAATCGTGGAGATTTCTTATTATAACATGAACAGAATTCGCTTGCAGTGGTCGAGAATATGGCAGGTGGTTGGTGACCATTTCAACAAGGTAAAGCTGTTCTTTAAACTCGTGCAGAGGTTGGGTTATCCTCCTCATAACTCGGACTTCCTATAATCAAGATAAATTATTTTTTTTTACAATTATGTAAAACCACTCACATGCTGAGATACCGATTTATCAACCCTTTTATCTGGTGAAAGCTGAAATAGCTTGGTAACTTTAACAGCTGTAACTGGAAGTTTGATCCTGTATTGACTCCCATAGCTTATCCCATTTTCTTTGCATTGTTACTTTGGTTTCCCTCTCTCTCTCTATTTACCATGGTAGAATATTAAGCCAATGGCTAGTTATCTTTCATTGGGATGAAACCAGTTCAGTGATGATACCTTCACTATAAATGTAAAGCCCAAACCAGTAATATTTAGTAACTTCCCTATACTTGATTCCTTCCATATGGCGTTAGCTATTGGTTTAAGTCTCTGGCATTGTGCACTCAGAATTGATCGATAATACTCTTTTAGACACTTTTTCTACTATTGGAACTTTGAGAACACGACAGGGATGGGAGTCTAATGGACCGCTACCTTCTTCCCATTCTTCTGTCTATTACATCCATAGTTGAGTGAATGTGTTCTAGAGGTTAACATGGTCAAGTGAATATCGCGTTTAGTGCTTTTTATATTCATGTTAATTGTTTTGATCCATTTTTGCTGTTTCATCTCGTTGATCCCAGGTTGGCTGTAATCCCAACGAAGACGTGGCCATTTTTGCAATTGATTCCCTACGACAACTGTCCATGAAGTTCCTTGAAAAAGATGAGTTGGCGAATTTCCGTTTCCAGAAGGATTTCTTGAGGCCTTTCGAACACATCATGAAAAAGAACAGGTGACTGCTTGTTGAAGGTTCTGTCTAGGTCCTTTACCAATCTAATTTTCAGACTCTTTCCTAACTCCCTGTGTTATCTCTGAAGGTCCCCTACAATTCGGGATATGGTCATTCGCTGCATTGCCCAGATGGTGAACACCCAGGCTGGCAACATTCGCTCAGGGTGGAAGAATATCTTTGCTGTGTTTTACCAAGCAGCCTCTGAACACAACGCAAATATCGTGGAGCTGACCTTCCAAAATGTGGGCCACATTGTCAGTGAGTATTGTATGTGCAGGATTTCTGCTCTCTCAAGAAGATAAGTAATGAGGGAGTTAATGCCTCCATTGGCTGCCTGACTCCCGCATGTTGTACCTCCGGTAGCTAAGGGGTAAATCTCTGTGCAGCATTTCAGGGCAAAACACAATAAAATGCTTTCTTTTTGGCACTGTGGTCAAAATCCTGTTTGACACATTGCTGCAGAATTGTTGGCACTTTGTAAATCCTTCATCCTTATCCTGTAAAATAATATTCTCTTAAAGGAACACTGTAGTGTTAGGGATGCATGTTTGTATTCCCAACAATATAGTGCTGGAGTATGTTTGGAAGAGAGTAAAAAGGTACTTTGCTCACCTTTTTCCCCAGGTTGTGCTGGCTTGCCCCTCCTCCATCAGTCTTGATGGTCTCAACCAATCCCATAGGAAAGAATTGGGAGGCTATTGCACTGCGCCAATCAACATCTCCTCATAGATGTTTTGAATCCGTGCATCTCTATGGATAATGTTCAGCACCTCCATGCAGAGCGTGGAGACGCTGAACATAGGTGCTGCACAATGTGCAGCACTACCCCAAGAAGAACCTCTAGTGGCCATCTGAGTGCCTGCACCTAGAGGTGTTACTAGGCAGCAGTATAAACAGGCAGTGTTTACATAGAAAAGCCTGCAGGATATAAGACACCAGAACAACTACCTTAAGTTGTATAGTGCCCCATTAACTGCAGACAAGTGATGATTATTCACCATTTCTCTAAGGTACTTCTAGGCCAGTGCTAGCCGAACGGTAGTTCTCCTGCTATTGCTGAACGATTCCCTAATATCTCAGGGTTTTGGAAGCTGGAATGGTGTTTTGTTTTAATGTAGTTATTATACCCCATGTTTAATGAGTTTTCTTGTTTATTTTTAGCAAATGTTTTCCAGCATCACTTCCCTGCAGCGATAGACTCCTTCCAGGATGCAGTAAAATGTCTGTCTGAATTTGCCTGCAATGCCGCGTTCCCAGACACCAGCATGGAGGCAATCCGACTAATCCGCTACTGTGCAAAGTATGTCTCTGAAAAGCCACAGGTACGGAGAACAAGTTTTATTTATCGTTCTTATTATGGCTTTTCTATGCTTTCTGCAAAAGTACGCTGAACCAATAATGTATAAGATTTCATACATGTTGTCTGTAACTGTCATAATAACATATGTCCTCTTAAAGGAACACTAAAGTTTAGGGAATACAAAATTGTAATCCTATCACTATAGTGCCCTCTGCCTTCCTTTCCCTGCAGTCCCTACAGTGGCAAATAAAGGATTAAAAAAAAAAAAACATTTTGACACCTACCCAATTCCAGAGCTGATGTCCCTCGGTGCTGGGTCATGCTCCTCTGATTGCTTATTTAATTTCCATCCACTTACTGCAAACCAAAGCATGCGTAAAGGGACACTCACTGCCCAAATAAATAACTATTTAGTAGATTTATCCTCAATTAAAACACACGTATCTTTAATTATCTAAAATCATCTTGTAGAAACTGCAGATCTATTGCCTCTGCTAGTCCTCCCTTCTTACGACGCCCAGACTCTTTCCAATCACAGACTTCCCAACTCAGCTCGATGTCTCTGCACGGCAGGTGCTCTGGGCAATTTGCACAGTCTAACTTTTTATATTTGAGGAATTTGGTGTGATTAACCATTCTCTTCCTGTGTTCCAGGCTCTGAGAGAATACACTAGTGACGATATGAACGTAGCGCCCGGTGACAGAGTCTGGGTCAGAGGATGGTTTCCTATCTTGTTCGAACTCTCCTGCATTATTAACAGATGCAAACTGGATGTAAGAACAAGGTAACTGTATCTATTTGGAGCAAGTGACTCTCTATAATCATCCTTCCATTCAGGTTTTAGTGGAGAGAAAGGGGTATTGTGTTGAGTGTTCACAGAGCGCAATAGGAGGAATCCTGGGACATCAGTCTGCCGCAATGTGAATTGAGCTCTGATAATAATCGCATGATGTAAGAAGACATTTTGCAAGTCTTTCTGCAGATGGTGTACATTTTATTTGGGCTATTAGTGATATGAGTACAAAATAACCATAATCTTACCTGTGTTTTTTTGTCTACCCAGAGGCCTCACGGTAATGTTTGAAATAATGAAAAGTTACGGGCACACATTTGAAAACCACTGGTGGCATGACCTGTTCAGAATTGTTTTCCGGATTTTTGATAACATGAAACTCCCAGAACAGCAAACAGAGGTGAGAACTAACGCTTAAAGACCCAAATGGCTGTCTGCAATAATTTAAAGGTACTCTTTGTCCTCCACTCAACATGACATTTGATATGACACCCTGCCCTCCAGGTGGGATGTTGTCCTATTGGATCAGTTTGCTCCTTGGACTTTCCCAGCCCCTAGATGTAAGAACAAAAAGTAGTACATTGGACACTCCGCTGCCCACTAAACACTGTGTACTCTTAAAATGGGGAATTGAGGGGGCTGACAATCGCACAAAACAACCTTAGCGTGATAATAGCCATTTATGCTACTAATCATTTGGGGCTCAGTTTACGCCATGCTTTCAATATGTTTTTTCCAGAAGTCAGAATGGATGACGACAACCTGTAACCACGCACTTTATGCAATCTGTGATGTGTTTACGCAATTTTACGAAGCTCTGAATGGCATTCTACTGTCAGACATATTCACGCAGTTACACTGGTGTGTGAAACAAGGTATGTTGGAACTTGTGTGGGCTGTTTAAACCCAAATAAAGATTTTCTCTGGAGTCACAATGTGTTCTAAGGCACTAGCTTTCATACGAGCCCTACGGGAAGTTTATATTCTGTCTATTCTGTATATTGCAGATAATGAACAGCTAGCACGCTCTGGAACAAACTGCCTGGAAAATCTCGTTATTCTTACTGGAGAGAAGTTTAGTCCCGAGGTGTGGGATCAGACGTGTACCTGTATGTTGGATATCTTCAAGACCACCATCCCAAGCGCGTGAGTGTCTTATCCTGCTTTGCATGTAATGTTTTATTTCTTGCTGAGTTCTAATACTAGAATTCTGCTCAGACTATATTCTGTTTGTCTTGGCTCTCAGCAGTCTGACTGCATTATGAAAAGGGAAAACATTTGAATGCAAACACTAGTGAATAGCGAAAGGTCGGCCCGTCCTGGGAGTTGCAGGTCTTGGCATACATTGTTTGCCAAGTGCATAAAAGTCCAGCTCAGCTGAGTCCCCATTAACATTAAAAACCCCTAAGGACACATGATGGAATTATTCCGTTATGATTCCCTTTTATTCCAGAAGTTGTGTCCTTAAGGGGTTAATTAACTTTTTTGTACAGCTGGGTTTTGATAATTGGTAATTGCCTGAATTCAACTCACCATGGACTTTACCTAACAGCAGGAATTATTTTGAAGTTCAGCTTAGACCCGCCTCCCATTTAGCCCAGCCACCCTGTTTGCATAATGAACTTCTATTGAAATTTCCGTCAGGTTACTGAGCTGGAGACCATCTGCGATGGAAGATGATACGTCAGAGAAACGTTTTGTAAGTTACTTTATTCCAAGCATTCCTATTCACTACCCAACGTGCTTTAAATAAAAACTTTTAAACATTATACTAAGAAATAATTCTATTTTAATCTCCTGTTTGAGTACTTGAAAATATATCTTAATAAAATCCTCATTATTGACTGTATTGAGCCAGAATCCTATTACTCATGGCTCTATGTAGATGGGATTAACATGACGCCAAACTCACATGCGCCAGGAGACAGGCTTAATATAGACCACTATAGACAGCAAGCAATGAGTTAACTCTTCGCCGTGATTGATAGCGCCCTCTACCGGTCATCGCACATGTTTTTACTTACCTTGTTTGTGTTCAGATCCGTTGTAAGCCCTGTAAACCCCTGCAACATTTTGACTTGCGTCTGTTAATATCTTATTCTGTTTGTCAGGATTTAGACATTGATCGCCAGTCCAGCAGCAGTCTGGATCGAAATCCCTCTGAGAGAGCTCATAGCCAGCTCTCCAACACTACAGAGGAAAACTGGAGAGGGAAGTCTAGTGAGAGTGAGTATTAAAGTGAACCATCTGTGCAACATTTCTTTATCTACCATAACTTGGTTACAAAACGGTGTTTATTTACAGAGCAAAAGATTTTGTTTGTTTTTACCTGTCAGCATCATAGAGGAGAGTAAAGTGCTGCTGATGTTGATATATTTAGTACTTTTCGAGTGTATTATGGGGGTGCAGAAGATTCTCCCAAGGAATTGTACTGATTTCTTCTTGTTGTGCAATGCTGAACACACAGGTTATGAGGAACAATGAGAGAAGCAAAGAAAGCCTTGAGACTAATAACTTATGTGTAACTTCATTCATTTTTCTGTTCTTTAATCTTTTCATGAATGAAACTTTCACAGCAGTGTCTGTTTTGCACATATACAGCTTTGGTACACGTTTTATAAGAAATCAGTAAGAGTTGCACTTATCCCTTAAACCCCAAAAGCACAATCTCAAGTGTGCGTGAAAACCTCAGACTGGACTCTTCCTTGTCCGCACAGACACCACAGCCAATGCAAACAGAGTTGATGCTTCTGTTAAAACTGTTGGAATGTCGGAATCTTGGATGGTCTCTGTGACTAGCAATCAGTGTTCATATTAGATAGTTCTCTGATATGTGTTGTTGAGTGATCCCCTAAATTAAATGCTTCTCCCCTTTCATTTATTGGTTTAGAGTTGGCTGACCAGAAACTGTTTGCTGGGCTTCTCATTAAGTGTGTGGTGCAGCTTGAATTAATCCAAACGATCGATAATATCGTTTTTTACCCGGCTACTAGTAAGAAAGAGGATGCTGAGCATTTGGCAGCTGCACAGGTAAGTGTTATAAATCTGTAGGTCTCCGTGACTTCCTGAGTTCAGACTGTAAGCTTTTTGGACTAGCCATGCTCAGGCAGAACGTTATGTTTGAATAGAGTCCTTCTCGTCTCTTGTTTCTTTATGCTTTAACGTGTTTATTGTATGCCCACAGTACTGCGCACCTAAATATGTTGGTGTGCTGTAATTATTAATAATCAGAATTTGTTCTTATTTTTATATTTAAATCCCTCCCCGGCATTGCATTGAATATTGACTTTGTGGAGGTCCTAACTGAGGTTTAACAATAATACAGAGAAATGTTTTGAAGTCACGTTCAACCATTTATTTAACAATTTCCAATCCCTCCATACAGAGAGATGCTCTGGAGATGGACATCCATATCGAGTCTGAGGACCAAGGAATGTATAAATTCATGTCAACGCAGCATCTCTTCAAACTGTTGGACTGTCTGCAAGAGTCGCACTCCTTCGCAAAGGCCTTTAATTCCAATAACGAACAGCGGACAGCACTCTGGAGGGCAGGTAAACTATTGGATGAATTGAAGATCTTTGTTAGACAAAGCTGAATTTTACATTTGTATCCTCTGATTGGGGACCGATTTACATCAGCTTGGCTATATGCAATGCACACACATGTACAGCATGGTAATTACTGAAGACATAATGCCATACAAAGCGCGCAAGACATGTTTTTATTCTCCTTTTACATTGCAGCTTTTTAACAATCCTTACAATTTTAGAATTTGTTTTGTGTTTTTTACTTGGTCAGTCTTTTGTGTTTTACCACAAAATCCAATCTTTGGGTTTCCTTTAATGCCATTTGATTGTAAAGCAAGATTAACTTTATTTTAATAAAGATTCCAATTTCCCAATCCCTTCCTTCCTTTCTTTTTCCCACCTTTGTGACATCAGCTCAAAAGAAAAACATGTTTGTTTATATAACAAGAAGTGGGCGTGTTTCATTTTTATTTCTTCACTAAATAGGATTCAAAGGGAAATCGAAACCTAATCTGTTAAAACAAGAAACCAGTAGCCTCGCCTGCTGTTTGAGAATCCTTTTCCGAATGTACACAGACCAGAACCGCCGAGATTCGTGGGAGGACATAGAATCACGGCTTTTAAAGTAAGCGTATTATTCTGTTAGGACTTGTAAGCATTAATAATATAAAAGAGAGATATTCTTTACATCTGGAACCTGTTGATCCATACAATTTCCAACAACTTGTTATGGGGGCCAATGGTAGCAGAGCTAAAAAGGTAGAATGCTTTGTTTCGGGCGCACATACCCTATATTCAGCTCACATTCTGCTGGCCTATTAGAAATAAGCGCCTAGAGTAGGTATATGCATTTGGCACCCTCTGCAGGCGAAGGGCTAGGACTAGTGATGTTATATTTACAGTAAATGGATGATTGACTGTGCAATCTGTGTTTCTTGTTTTATCTGTCCATAAAGAATAAGAATGTCATTAAGTTATCACTCATTAAATCTGTTAGACAACTCACGAGATTGAGGATCATTTTAAACTCATTATCCGCTGGTCATATTTCTGTGTTAGACCATTTATCAGCAGATTGGCGACTTGCTGTATTCATATTTTGGTAACATGGCAGTCTTTGAATTGTTGTGGGTAATGGTTGAGGGAAGTAAAGTACTCGTACTGCAAATCACTGTCAGTTCTCCGTGGCTTGTCTTTCAGTGTCTGCAGTGAAGCTCTGGCCTACTTCATTACTGTCAATTCTGAGAGCCATCGGGAAGCCTGGACCAACCTGCTGCTCCTACTGCTCACCAAAACCCTCCGAGTCACTGATGAAAAGGTACCGCAGCCATAAAAATAATCATTTTACCTGGGGGTACAGCTCGATTACTTCATGGCCGTACTGCCCTGTTTCACAGAGAAACAATGCTGAGAGAAGCATGTCACAGTAGAAGTATCATCACATATCAGCATTATTGGTTATAATGTCCTCCAACGTGATCCTATAGTAGCCTTGGGTATAGTAATATGTATTTGATTGATATGTTGTAGAAGCGGTGGATAGATACAATGTATATTATGGTAACTGTATGACCATTAACATGGATGGCAGCTGTACAGTTATTAGTGTATATTTTAGCAGCCATAAAGCCATTGTCAATTCATTTAGGAATTTGAGTCAAAACAATGGACCGGCCATTTTAAAAATAAAATTCCATTATTTATTTTATTTAATTTTTTTCCTTTTTGAAATGACCCATGATTAATCTCCCAAGACTCTGTTCTATGTACCTGCAACCAATTCTTTTTAATTTTTTTTATTTACGTGTCAAATCCTATTCTGAAATTTGGCCCACCTTGTGTTCGAAGCTCTGTTCCTAGTATTATTGTGAAATTGTTATTTTCTGTACATTGATATATCATGTAGAACAATAATGTTTTGAAATTTTACTGAATTTTTTTTATTTTATTTTTTTCTCTCTCAAAGTTTAAAGCTCACGCTTCAAAGTATTACCCCCACTTGTGCGAAATCATGCAGTTTGACCTCATTCCAGAGCTGCGTGTTGTGCTGCGGAAATTCTTTCTTCGTATCGGAGTCGTTTATAAGATCTGGATGCCGCAAGAGCAAACGCGAGTTGCTGAATCCTGTTTATCAGTGTAACGTTTATTGACAATGAGTGTGTGCCCCCTGACTGCGGGCATTTTACCCTCCAGCTCTGCCTGGCTTTAGTGTAGCAAACCCAGTGCTGCTAATTTGGGAGTTTGTGCGCTGGAGACCAATGTTTGACATGAAGGTTACGGTTGACAGCCATTCTTATTATTCTCAGAAGTGGCCCTTTATTGTTCAGGGTCACTCTTTGTGTTGAACATGTCGTAAAAGAGAACATTCATAATGTCATTTTTCTTGTCCAGGCCGAATGAAGAGAATGCAGCGAATCCATGCATTTAGTGCTTCAATGGGTTAAATTAAACTTTGTGTTTGCGGTTTGGATTTTCGTTGTTCCTTTTTAAAAAAACATGTCATCAAACACGCTTTACATTAATCATCAGAGCATCTAAACAGCTTTACAATAATCCCACAGTTTTTAATTTGATTTCTGCGTATTACATTTTACCCTGTCTGAGTATGCTGGGGGTTCTTTTAAATCGCCTGCTCCAGTTAAAAAAACAAAAACAAAAAAAACCTCTGCAAATTTTAAAGAGATCGCCAGTCAATCAGAAGATCTCAGGTTCATGCTGGGAAAAGATGTTGTAAGCACTAGAGACAGGTAATGTAGGAGCAGATATGTCAAACGCAACATGTTGCTTGTTGTGTGACAATCAGCTGTGGCAAATAATTGCTGTTAATACAGACTACTGTGGACTGTATATGCTCTTCCGATTAATCTAAGATTTATTTCAGGCGAGGAGTCTGCTCTACAAAATACACTTTAATTTCTTTAATAATGGACTATTTGTCATATTGATTTTTAAATGGATGAGGTTAATCTGATGATATATTTTTATTTTTGTTACTCGGTTGAATATTTGGGGGATTTTATTTATATTTTCCGGTTTACCTTTCCAGCTGCAGAGTTTGGTGAGCCGTGCTTTTTTCAGCAATGGCTTCTTCCCACCTGCAGCCCCTAATCCCGGCAGCATTCCGTCTCCTGTAATTTGCACTTTCTTTGCTAAAATAATTTTCAGAAAAAAAAAGATGTTTAAACCTCAGGGTCTGCTGTTCCATCACTAGAAGGGTCATCTGCTCAGAAGTCCATATAATGAGTTTACTAATAGGAGCATCTTTAACCCAGGACATACTTGAAAATTAGTCGACCCTAAATGTTTCCTTTTAATGCTCTGTGGTATTTAGAGGAAAAACTGTGAGCGAGATTAAATTTCGGCTTGCTTTTTTTCTGTTTTCTCTCTTTGTATTGAGGCTAAACTGCTCCAGGTGTGAGGATGTAAGGGCTGCCAAACAATAATAAATAAAATTCTGTGAGATCAGTAAGGCAAATGTAGGTTTTCCCCAGTGAGCAGGGATTTTCTGTTGTGAGCAGAAATTTCAAAGATACTGACTTATTGGCAGTGTGAGAAATAAGTCAGTGAGTGTGTGTGTAGACCCAGGTTGGGAATCCACCGCACCACGGTGTGAGTCTCAAATTAAACTAGTGCGGGAACCGGTCGGCTTGGGTAATGGCATAGAAACTAATGAAAGTGGCTTTTCTTTCACAAATGTCATATAGGACATGATAAATCACAGGCGTCAATCAGTATTATAATTAGCTTCCAATATCCATGCAAAAAATATTTGGTTTACTATTCCATCAAGGTATTTAAAATTTATTACCAAAAATTTCATAGTATAAACTGCTCCTAATATAACGCCTAATATTCCCCCTCTGAAAATAGTTTTTTATTTATATAATTTTTTCTTTTTTTTAGTTTGCAGCTGAGGTAGTGTGAGTGCTTATATGCAGTCATATAAAACAAAATATTGCAATTATTATTCACAAAATACCATTTCTAGTGGTCTGACATCTAGTAAGATGGTGGTCATGATTCAGTCTGTTTGTACGATTTGTTAGTAGGAAACACAATGTCTCTTAAAGTGGTTCTGTCGTTTTTATTTATTTTCTTTCCATTTTGATATTCTCGTGCCTCCTCTATCATAATGATTATACTCCCTCCTTTGCAACTTGTCTTTATTTAGATTTCTTGTCTTCCTTGTGCTGGATCTCAATACCTGGGTGCAGCCATTTTACTTCCCTCTGTCAATGTCTGCTGTTTGCCTTCTTTCACATTAATTTTACTGATGGATTGTGGGTGAATGTGATTGGTAACTGAATCGAAGCCTTACTTTAATTCCTGCTCACCCTCACATTTTGTCAACTTGATTTCTATACAAAAGAAAGTGATCCCTACATTTCTTTATATATTTAATAAAAACCATGGCACTCAGAGAGGAAAAACAATCTAAGGGTATATCTTCAGACACAGAGGCGATATAAAAGCAGATTTGATAAGGTTTATTTACGACAGAGCTGCTTTAAGATTACTGAGCGGTGAGCTTGGTTGCCTTTGTTAATACCAATACTGTAAGAACGTTTTATAGTATAGGATTGTTCGTCAGGCATTGATCTTGTGATTGGATGGTATTGTCACGTGACCCGCTGTGATCCCTCCAACATGGCTCCTCACATCACATGACATCACTGTATTAATGGGCTCTTGCATCCAGCATATAATACGTGTAGAATCCATTGCCTGTTACAGAATATAGCTGATCTCGTTTTATTTTGCTGCATTCTGGGAGATTTGTTGTGGGTGGAGGGATTGAGTATTTTGTTTCGGGGGGAGGGGTTTTTTGTTTTGTTAACGTTGCTGAGCCAATGCCAGGTCACAGTTGTTTGGTCTTTAATATACTTTTTTTAGTTGACAGACCTTATGTTCCACTTTTGGGAGCAGAGATTTGGGTGGGTGATTACTGCAACAGTCCCCCTTGATTAACCCTTTCCTTTCTCACATCCCTGCCTTCTCACTTAGACACCATGTGCTAATAACAGGTGTGATTAGATCATCTTAAAGAACTATTTATATGTGCACACTGCGTAGAACTACCATCTCCAAACCCATCACTGCGTTTAAAGTATTGTTACTGAGAAAATAAGAAGGAAAACAAAGTATCTTTTTTTTTAATCAAAGATGCTGGGGTTAATTCTCTAAACTGAGCGTTTACAGAGAAATTCCACCTTTTAAGCCAGAATAGTGTTGGACCATTTCTCAGCATGGCTCGTTTACCCTAAAATGTGCTTTTTTGCTATTACATGGTCTTAGCTACAAGATTTCCTATTTAATGAATAAACAGTCTATCTAGGATTGGAGGTATGGAGGGAAGCAAATTCATATTTACTAGTAAGAGGCCTTCCTCTAATATATGTACGTCCTGTGTATATTTTGCTCACCAATCTTCTGTTTAAAATATCTAAATAGTATCCTTTCCTCTATAAATTATCCACGCGTTTTAGGATATGTCCTATCAGCGTTGCTATGTCAAAGATTTTGATTGGAAAAAGTTCTCTGTCTGCTGGATGTATACATTTTAAACAACACAATTTAAGATATATATGAAAAGCTCTGTAAAGTTTTCTATGTAATATATAATGTACTATAAGGGTATAATCTCATACTTTAATCAGGTGGTAAATCAATAAAGTTTTAACGGTGATTTGTGTCCATTATTCTGTCACGTGTCAGATGTTAATGTTCTTCAAGCTTTATTTTAATTTTTTGTTAAAAAGTACCTTTTTTCCCAGTGCCATGCGTGTCTGCCGGCGCCGCCCAGATCAGCCTCTTTGGCTGACATCAGAACTAATTATCTCAGCCAATCCAGTGCTTTCCCTATGGGAAGGCACTGGATTGGCTGAGATCGCCAAGGAGGCAGGGCCAATCCACGGCCAGGCCAATCCGCATCTCCTCATAAGGAAAGATCAGAGTCTCCATGTAGAACGTGGAGACTGTCTCAGGAAGCACCTCCGGGGGCCACTGGGGGAGTCCCTAGGCTTTAATGTAAGTAAACACTGCCTTTTCTCTGAAAAGACAGTGTTTACAAAAAAGCCTGCAGGGACTGTCTATACTCACCAGAACAACTACAATGGGCTATAGTTGTTGTTGTGCTGTCTATCGTGTCCCTTTAAATTAAATGCAAAACGTTTCAAGATATCCATTTCACATATATCATCAGTACTTATTTTATAAACATTTAAAAACACAAATCATACCAACATTATTCTAAATACTATATGAAAAAATATACCACATTCGGTCAAGTCTGGGAAGTATTAGATATTTATTTTTTTCAAACCATCTTGTCCAAATGTTATATTTCTCCAAGATGTTACAATTATTTATAGAATACTTCTTTCCATCTGTAATTGATATTCTAATTGGTTAAAAATGTTTATAAATCACACTTTTCATTACTTGTGCATTTTCTGTCAAAAGTGTTAAAGGACATATGGCTGACCAGGTGGGCTGAGTGGCATCTCAGGATCTCACAAAGCACATTTCTGTCCAATTCAGGCACCAATCTCTCGAGCAGATCATCCTCCTCCCTCCCAGAGTCAAGAGGGCATTATCTTGGTGAAGAAAGAATGAACATCTGTTTGTAGGATTTCCTCTCTGAGAAATAGCCTATAGGGGCTGAAACTCAGGTAGCAGGGTCTGATTTCCTAAACGGGTAACGCTAATGTTTGCCCCTTTTGGCAGTTCTGGTTATGTGTTTTTTGTCAGTGGCCCACCCTTAGACTTCCTGCTTTACTGGACACTGTTGTTAGGAGGTATGGGTTTACTTGAAAGATGAAAGCGTGAGATTAGCATAGGGTATGTGTTTCTCATAGCTGCATCCTATGAGTTTCCCTCCAGCACCATCTCCATCAGATACATGACGCTTAGGAGGTAGGACTGTTTTAGTGTTTTTGGTCAATAAGATTTTGTAACAAGGCCCATCATAATTGTCAGCACTGGGCTCTTAATCTTGCCTTGAACTCCACTTACAGTGAGAAAACAAATCATTACGCCAAGGGAGGCAAAACTAAACGTGCTGATTTAAACCAATCATTGCACGTCCTTCAAACCTCAAATGACCAACAGGGTCTCACTAGCTCAGCAGAATAAAATGTTCTTCATCAGATCTCTGGTTACATTGTGAAGGTCTATTTCCATGCTGTGACCTGTCCATAATGCATAAGATGTCCTTGTGGGTTCATATGGAGCCTTTATGCAGTATGTTGGGTCAAACTCCCACCCACAGAAGTAGACCGTTGGCACAGAACATTTGGGCTTCTTGTAAAATGTTGTAGTGGGAGCCTTAAAAAAAGCATAGTATGATGACAGGGTGGTTTGAGGAAGGTAGGGTTGGTTATTTATTTAACAGTTTTTATAAAGTGCTCTTATCCAAAGCGCTTTACAATTGTAGATTATGCTAACGTAGTGTACCTATAATCTTAATTTTAATAATGACAGGAGGCGAATATTTTGCATAACTTTCTTTACTTTATGCCTCCAGCAGCACAAGTCAATCAATAAACTTTAAACCAATCAGTAACAGGCATCACATCCATATATAAAGCCCTGACAGACACATGACTTCCTCTTTCTTTGATGCGAAAAACAGTCTATTATAACGTCAGGGAATTCAAATAACAGTCCTGATTAACGTGTAGCACATAACTTGAAACGAAACTTGAAACCTTCCAGCTTTATCTTGTCGAATCCATCTATGATGATTACGCTGAAAAGAACAGAAATATGTGAAAGGAGATGGAAACCAACTGTTGTCCACATTAAATCCAGTACTATATGTGTCTATATTAATATTAAGTTAATATACTGAAACATTAAACAAACCATAGTATACTTAATAATCAACACGGATCTAACACATGTCAACCAAATAAGCATCCCATAAATATACTGAATTACCAAAACCTTATAATTTACACTGAGAAAATGATAAACCAGAATATAAAAATTTTCCAGAGTATAGGGAGGGAAAATATTCGCCTCCTGTCATTATTAAAATTAAGATTATAGGTACACTACGTTAGCATAATCTACAATTTTATCACATGACAGGAGGCTTCATATTTTGCATTTTTAAAGCTGTGGTATGAGCGAGAAGGATGCGTGTGTGGTTGACGAAAATAAATATATGGAAGTAGTCTATCCGTGTCCAATTCATTGCTGAAAATATAGAGGCCCCCTCGTGAAGGCCTCAGAAGCAGCTGCGCCTCTTACCGAATGAGTACCCAAACACGTCTCCACCCTCGCTAGCGATTACAACCAATGAACCCATCTAGACAGAGTGTTCATGGTAACTGGCTTGTACGGTTGGTATAAGACCAGCAGATGTCCTGAATGTGACATTCTAAGTGTTGTCGTGATCTCCATGTAACAAAGTACCGCTTTAACTGCACAAAGACTGGGAAACCGTCGGTAACAGGGAACGATACGGACGCGGATAAGATATAGTTCTACGAGACACTGCAGAAATCATTCTTTCTGGTGATACCGAAAAGACCGTCTACGTCGAACTCCAGTACATCTGATACCCGACGAAAAGACCTAAAACTAACGTGACTCTGGCTAACGGCTGACTGAGGGATAGGACCGTGATATCTGACTAGCTCCAAAAGAACCAAATCAAAGTCCCACACCAGTGATACTTTGACGCATGGTTCTGGACGGTTTGATACCCCGCAGAAAATGGCATATCAAAGGCTCTTGATTGACCGGAGTGTCGTGAATCGTGCTATGCGTCGTCGAAATCGCGGAACGTAGCCCGTTAATGGAACGTTCCGATCGGCCTGTAGTGAAAAGGTATGATAAAGATCCAGCATCGTGGAGATAGGGGTAATAAAGGGATCGCAGTCCCTTCCCATACACCAGCGAACTCCAGGTGTTCCATGCGGATAAGTTATTTCAGGGAATACCTAGTGTCCATGAGTCCCATAGTAGGTCTCTAGTTGGTTGCCATACCAGTCTCCCCGGGAAGACACCAATCTACCAACTCCAGATGCTTCTGCATTATCAATGGATGATGTTCTCCTTTTGGATCCGCCCGAAGGCAAGTTAAAACGGAAGGAGCAGAGGATGATCCTGATTAAGGACAACCCTTCTGGGTGTCACACTTGACTCCTTTACCGCAGTAATGAGTACTATCGAAGTCTTCGCTATTCTGATCCCAATTTCATAGGTGTGTCCGTATCTCAGGCAGTGAGCTTTAAGCCACTGTCTGGCCCGGTAGTGAAGCAGTCCTGGGAAATAGTCAAAGGGTTATGGTGCCTTTCCGCCGTACCTCCTTACGAATCGTCGCTATCAATGATGTGGGAAGGTGTAATCCGCCCAAGGTGGAATCTATTCTGAAGTAGAGGAACTGAATCACTCGGAACTGGGATCGAACCGACTCCTCTCTGTTCACTATGAATCCCAACAATTCCCGAAACTGTAAACATAAATCTCGTTTGTAAACGTAGTCATGAATTGGATTTGCAAAAAGTAAGTCGTCTAGGTATGTGACAGCAGATACCCTTTGCTTTTCAGTGCGCCGTGACCGACTTCAGAAACTTCATGAGGCACCATGTGAACCTATAGGTAAGTGCCCTTCAAGTCCAACCTTGTAGATCCCCTAAGAGATGGATACCTTCCTTCTTGAGTTGTCGGTACGCCCCAAAACCATTGGGTTGGCATAGGTTGATGACTGGGTGATAGTCTCCTATCTTCTTCCTTACTACCAAACCGTTGCTGAGATAAATGGTTCTCCAAACGATAGTCCGTCCGCCTGAGGTCCTCGCTCTTTCGTCCCTAACTTCAATAGTTTGAAATCCATCTTTAATCGGGCTGCTTTGCGCCGTTCTGTGCACCTGTCTGCCTTGCGTTCCCCAACCTACATATTGCCCTTTGCACCCATTCCCTCACATCGTGAGCTTCTAGAGGTGAGTCTTGTGTGGGGTCAGGTCCGCAAAGTATAGAATTTTTTCCCAGGCTGATCATATCCAGTATTTCATCTTAACTCGTTTTGAGTCCTCCTCCTACACCTTTACATGGACCCCGGCCTGATCGGGACATACATATCACCACGAGCTCCATAGTGAGGACTATCTTGTTCGGACATAGAGGGCGTGGGCATTCCATCCAGAGCCTGTCTCGGATTTCTTTTCCCATAGGCCTCCTAAGCCAGAAGTGGGCCCGGTGCTCCGGTTAACCCCATTCGGATGACCCTGGTTGTCGGATGGTGCGTGAGTCAAAACAGGAGTGTCCAGTGTGCCAAAGAAAAAAACCTTTCTTGCTAGGCGGGTCTTGTCACTTTTACCTCTTCTGCCCTCCATTCTTTCATAATCTCCAGAGAAGGGGGTGGAGGATGAAGTCCTCGTCCCCTGATAATGGGTGTCCGACCTAATGTCGGTATCTCAATCTTCCATTGGTGTTGCTGCCGTTGCACCCGCTCTGTCGGATGGGTTGTTAGCCAGCATACTGGAGAGGACTTCTTCCCCCGGAGCTGTCATGGTGGCCATAATCCTCGCCTGAAAATCGGTCGGGGATATTGAGGTAAGTCCGACATGTTGGTTCACACCCTTTCGGTCCGTGGGAGACAGGATCGTACAACAGTACACTTATTGCCACTCAGTGGGCCTCCGCGTATAACTGGGGGTCACCCAGAATTTTGATCAATCAGTATCATTTTCGCAGGATCCGGGGAGTGGTCTGAGAATGAGGACACCCTCAGTAAGACCGGGATGAGCGGTCTGCAATGTCGGGACGTAGCTCGAGTCTGGGAGACGTGAAAGCCTCTATAATATAGTCCACGGGGTTCATCCTTATATGGTCTAGAATTGTGGAGTTTTGGCAGCACTGTGAGTTCTCCTTCTCAGTTAAGGGAAGGGCGTACAGAACCCCAGTTGAAGCATAGAGGTGCCAGAATACATGCATCTAGTGCGCCCTGGTCTGTGCATACAATGACAGAGAGTACTCTGAAGGTAGAAGCCCTAGAAAGGGTGCGGGGGGTCACTAGCACCAGAGTAAGACTCGCTTGGGGTTCACCCAGCATAGGGGGGTCACCCCTGTATGAATGTCTCTTATGGCATGTTGGGACACTCTTTCGGTCTATGGGGTACCGAACAGGTGTCAGGTACGGTAGTACACTTATTGCCACTTAGTGGGCCTCCACGTACGGCTGGGGGTCACCCAGAATTGTTTCAATCAGTACCACTTAGAGATTTCCTGGGAGTGGTCTGAGGAGGGGATCACCCTCAATAAGACCGGGATGAGCGGTCAGTAATGTCGGGACGTAGCCCGTGTATGGGGAGGTATGGTAGCCTCCAAATTATCCAAGGGGTCACCCTTATAGGATATAGTACTGTGGAGAATTGGCAGCACCGTGAGCTCTCCTTCCTGGCTCTGTCGATATACATGTATTCAGTGTGACCCGGTCTGTGCATACAGTAACAGATCGTACTCCGTGGATATGAGCCCGCCCTAGGGCGTGGGGGTTCCCCCCAGTATATGTATGTCACTAGTACCGGAATAATATTCGCTTGGGGTTCACCCAGCGTAGGGGGATCACCCCAGTATATGTATGTCACTAGGACAGGAACCAGATTCGCTTGGGGGTCACCCAGCGTGAGGGGGGTCACCCCTGTACCACAATGTCACTTTGGAGAGGTGTCTGCCACGCTTGGGGGTCACCCCTGTTAATCACTCCATTATGTGCCTCCACTACTGTGTCCTGGGAGGTGTATCCCTGTGGGGAAGGAGTGTATCCAATGGTTGTGAGGTCCAGTGGGAGTAGGGAGCGGAGTAAGATATCAGCTCTATTTAATTTCCCTGCCAGTAGATAGAGTAATGCATCCACTATATGCCCACAGCAGGGGACAGTCCATTCATAATCCTCCAGATGTACAATAAAACTGTTATTCAACATGTCAATTGTATAGAACAGAATAGAGCAAACTGTCAGCAGATGCACACAGCAGGGATCAGTCCTACATATTCATGTAGAGTTACATATAAAACTTTTATTTCACATGCCAATGAAATATGACAGTATAGAGCTCAGCAGTGAACAGTCCATTCATAATCTTCCAGAAAAGGTACATAGAAAACCTTTATTCCACATGCCCATGATATGTAACAGTATTGAGCTCAAAAGTACTTGTAAAACTTTTATTTCACAGGGAAAATATATGAAACAGTATAGAACTAGCTGCCAGTTCGTGGGAATCACGAACTGGCCAAACGACGTGGCCGACGTGAATCTTGCGAGTGCCGCGAGATTCAAGATGGCCGCCGTTCACGCGCAAAAGTGCTGTGCGGCCCGCGATCGAGGATACAATCGCGGCCCGCCGGCATGGAATAGAGTCCCCCCGACACCCCCAACCCCCAGAGACCTGCCCTGAAGTCCCAGCACCAATGAATAAAAAGCGCGCCCGCGGTAAAATGCCGCGATTGCCGAGACCAGAGTAAAGCATAGGAAAGAAAAGGTGCCAGCAACAGAAACAGGTTAATAAAGCAGAAATACAGGGTTAATTCGGGGGAAGAGTAACAGGGGAAGAATATCACATTATACAAGTTCAAATGGAAGGCAAGTGCAAAATAATGAAAACATTTAGGCCAAAATTGCAGGACAATCTAATAAAGTTTAACAAAAGTAGCCATGCATATCCAGAAACAGTTTGGAGCAAAAACTGAATGTCTAGCATTAAAAATCTAACTAAAGTTACCAAAGCAAAATAGTTGGAGCAAACTGAAAGTCAAGTAATAAAGTTTAATTAAAGTGGTATCCAGAAAAAACAGTTAGGATTAAAACTGAATGTCTAGCATAAGGTGTCTAACTACAGTGACCATAGCAATATTAATAAAAACAAACAGTTTGGAGCAAACTGAAAGTTAAGCAATAAATGATTAACTAACGACAATTGCAATATTCAGTAAAACAGTTTGGAGCCAAATACTCTGACCTGTGCCTTGGCTGGTAAGCAGCAAAGAAAGAGGAAGTCATGTGTCTGTCAGGGCTTTATATATGAATGTGATGCCTGTTACTGATTGGTTTAAAGTTAATTGATTGACTTGTGCTGCTGGAGGCATAAAGTAAAGAAAGTTATGCAAAATATGAAGCCTCCTGTCATGTGATAAAATTTATACAACATTGGTAATTGTGAAGAAACAAAATTGTATCCATGATTGAACCAATACAAGTATTACTGTTTAATAGTCAGGATGAGACAGTGATCATACAGTAAGAGTATAGAATACATACTAGTAGTACAATAGAGCATAGAATACATAGAGACAGAGTTAGATAGGAAGTCAGATGTGCCCCTTGGCCAGAGATCTAAAGACAAGGAAAGGTGGGTTGGAGAAAAGTGTTTTACCTAGTTGGGTCTTCTGCCTGAAATAAATTTAAATTTGTATGAAAGAGTAGCATCTGGGGGTAGCTACACTCATGGAGAGCAGGGATAATTGTCATATGGTCTGATATGTTGATCTGCGAGGGGCGAGGAAAGGATTGTGTTAGGAAGTGACTGGGATGGCTTCATTGAATAGGTGTGCCTTTAGAAGTTTGTGGAAAGGTAATAGAGAGGTGGCAGATTGGAAGCAGGAAGCAAGCTTATTCCAGTGGTGGGGGGCTAAGTGGGAAAATTTGTGGATTGTGAGAGTCCGCATGGGTGTGGGGCAAGAGAGTAGGAGTTAAGGGAGCGGAGAGGACAGTTTGGAGTGTAGTGTGAGATATGAAGGAGCAAGGTTATGGATGGATTTAAACACGAGGTTAAAACATTTGAAGGACACCGCTGGTGTACCGGAAACCAGTTGAGCTTGTTGGCATCACATGGACATGTTGGTACACCCGAACATTAGCCAACAAAGTAATAAACTATCAGCCTATTACAAGGGAGCCAGTTTTGTTAGGGTTCCCTTGTTTCAAAACATGTTGTGTATATATAAAGGAAGTGTTACTGGTAAAATGAAAGTTCTTTTGGTGGGAAGATGGACATGTGTCCCCTGTACCTGCCATTAACATGATTTAATATGATTCACCCACAATAGCACCATGTAATAACACGATATAAAATGTATAGCACCATTCGCCAGCTGCGTCACCGTACATGGCTGGTAAGAAAATACATACCAAATAACCAAAATACTAAATTAGGGGGGCGGAGCTTGCTACCACACTGCACCAGAGGCCATTTCCACTAACTCTCGACAAAACTATCTAATCTGGGCAATATCAAAGAAACTGGCACCCATCCAGGCTTACCAACCACACAGCCAGAAGCAGCAAGACAAGAGGCACTGATAGATGCCGTTTTTTTCAACCCCACAAGCTGCCTAAGCAGAAGCACAAATCCAGGGCCTACCTCACGCCCGTGATCCAGCACCTGCAGGAACTCCTGCTTCGGCCACGAATCGAGAGACAGGGGCTTCCACCAAACCCCTCACCGACCGAAACACCAGCTCATTTGCCGGCAATGGGGCGCAGATTCCAGAAACCAGTGTGTAGCGGATGGTACTATGGCTGTCCTTAAAGACTATGATGCTACTGCAATTCATGTGTTATTTCTTCTGTTTAGTTAAATTGTAAGTAGGATTTGTGTGATTGTTCGGTAGTTTCCATTCGTATTCCATAGAGAGCTGGTCTTTCACAGATTAACTCCACTCAAGATTCCAATAAGGCTCAGGAACAAGTTATACCATAGGATAATAATCACAGCAAGCAAGGTAATCCACGAATATCCCAGTATGGATCCCAATGACTGGACGACACACAGCATCAGGAGCAGAACTGACTTTTAATGCACACAACTTCCTTATAAAGCATTCTCCCATGCAAGGGAGGGATTTGCAATAATTAGTACAGTAGCCAATCCTCCACGAGTTGCCACCCACACATCCCCTCCCCTTAGTGTGACACATAATCCCCTTATACAGGACACAAATTCCCAGAGTTTCTGGATGTACCCTAAATGTAGGGGTACCCCTTTAAATGTTACATCCCCTGGTAGCCCTGATCTGGGTGAGACACATATCCAAAAATCACACAGATCGGACCAGGGGTTTGGGAAATTTAGGGAAGTACTAAAATGACCACAAAAGGGAATGTAACACACGAATAACTTATGTTAGGAGAGCTGGGGAGGTTTCGTGTAATTTCCCTTGTTCGTGGGATTCAAACTACCGAACGAGAAGCCGTTCGGTAGTTTGCATACGAATTTGCTGCAGTGTGAAGGTCTCAGCGGTATTTGCCTAACCGAGTGTCCGATTTGGGTTCCAGACACTCGACAGCAAAACACTGCTGTTCGGGAGTTTAAAATGGCCGCCGCCACGTGTTCGTCTCCTGAATGGCGGCCACCCAGAGAACAAAGGACCCATTACACGAACCGCCAATTACCCATTTGCAACATTGTTGCGAACAGTAATTGGAGGCACACTTATTACTGAGGTGGTCTGATTGTTCGGTAGTTTCATTCTCATAATACTGGAGTGATTTTACAATCAGACGAATGCTATATACACTTCACATATACAGGTTACAATTCAACCGAATACATAGACATAAATGTACTTTTTAGGACAGCCCAATGCCATCCGCTACAAGATCTTAAACTCCTGCTCGCTGACATACACAAGCTCTTGGCAGCCGACATGGCCCTCCTCAAGACAGAGGTGCAAACGGCCACGGACCAGGTAACAGCTGTAGAGCAAGACGTGGTGGAGGTCAAAACACACCTAACAACACTGGATGAACAGGTACAAAATATACAGCATCACCGAAAATGCAAGGCACTCAAAATGGCGACTATAGAAGATCGACAAAGGCGCACACACATAAAAATTAAGGGGATCCCGAACACAATCACAGCAGAGGAATTGCCTCACTACGTTAGGCGCCTCCTGTCCACTATACTCCCCCACGCAGCTGTGAAGAAAATCTCCATAGATGGAATCTACCGGCTCCCGACCTACACACACCTGAAATCCCCTGCAGCTAGAGACGTTATCCTAAGATGCTCCACATCATGGCGGCGCTCAAGGACCAAACGCCACTACCCTTTGAGGACTCAGAGCTAACCTTTTACCAGGACTTATAGAGGGCCACGCTACTTTGGCGTAAATCGTACGGCCAGGCCACCACACAGTTACGTGCTGCAGGTAAAGCCTACAGGTGGGGAGCGGGGGCTCCTTGTAAGTTACCCGCGCAGGGACAACACAAGTCCTCACATCGCCAGATGAAGCCTCCAACTACCTAAAAACCCTCGGCTTGCCGAACCAGGCTCCGAAACGCCACGGAGAGCACAGGGAGCACATGACTGCCTCACCTCACACCCCGGGAACAAGTGGACTGGGGACTTAGGTTCTGTGAACACTTGCCGGTTTGCAAAACCCAAGATCTGACCAAGTCGGACTATTATTCCACACACCGGCATCACCCCAACGAAGGAGAAACTCCCAGATGTTACTTTAATGTTTCATGTTTACTATGATTTGTTTTCTTTTATTATTTTTTTTTTTTTTCCCTTCTCTTCTTCCTTTTCTTCTGAGCTGACTAACTCACGGAAACTCAGGTCCCTGGGCCTATAACCCATATAGACATAAGGCCCTATGAACTCGACTACTACACGGAACGGACAACACGGTAGAAGCCCTGACAGGCTCCTAGTCCCCACAAACACACATCTCCTGCCCCCTCGCCACCCCCTTGGTAAGGGGTCCCCAACCTCAATGCAGAGGCAGAGCAAGACACCCCCAACGACAACACAGGTACAGCTACGCCAGACACGAACACAAAGCATGTGTCCCTGGCCTACAACATGATAGACATAAGCATGGAAGAATAAAACAACCACAATGCCCCTCTGAGAGCATACGACCAGCCAGACAGCGTAGTGCCTTTGAACCACCACACCTGCCCAGCATTCACACCCTACCAAGATCAGCTAGTCCCATAGTAGACTAAAAGCTATCACACAGACTACATAGCCGAAAATCACACAATACTGGACCAACTCCACTGTGCAGATGTGACTAACCAAACTGTTATATTTCCCTGTTATTCCTTATTTAAAAATGTGCTATATACATCTATGCCATGCAATTGTCACTAAATATATTACATCAAAGCCTGTTTCCACTGAAATGGCAGCACATACCTGTTTAAAAATACTATGCACAACAAAATAAAGAATTAAAAAAAAAAAAAAACTAAATTACCAAAATACCAAAATAATAAATTACCAAATTACCAAAACACCAAATTACCAAAATACTAAATTACCAAATTACAAAAACACCAAATTACCAAAATACTAAATTACCAAAATACTAAATTACCAAAGACTATTGGAGTACAGCCAAAACACTAAATTACCAAATTACCAAAACGCCAAATTACCAAAACACTAAATTACCAAAATTACCAAAATACTAAATTACCAAAATACTAAATTACCAAATTACCAAAGACTATTGGAGTACAGCCAAAACACTAAATTACCAAATTACCAAAATACTAAATTACCAAAACACCAAAACACTTAATTACCAAACTACTAAATTACCAAATTACCAAAATTACCAAAATACTAAATTACCAAAATACTAAATTACCAAAACACCAAAATACTAAATTACCACATTACCAAAATACTAAATTACCAAATTACCAAAACACCAAATTACCAAAAACACTAAATTACCAAATTACTAAATTACCAAAACACTAAATTACCAAATGACCAAAATACTAAATTACCAAATTACCAAAACACTAAATTACCACATTACCAAAATACTAAAATTACCAAATTACTAAATTACCAAATTACTAAAACACTAAATTACCACATTACCAAAATACTAAAATTACCAAATTACTAAATTACCACATTACCAAAATACAAAATTACCACATTACCAAAACACTAAATTACCAAATTACTAAATTACTAAAACACTAAATTACCAAAATCCTAAATTACCAAAATACTAAAACACCAAATTACCAAAACACCAAATTACCAAAATACTAAATTACCAAAGACTATTGGAGTACAGCCAAAACACTAAATTACCAAATTACCAAAACGACAAATTACCAAAACACTAAATTACCAAATTACCAAAATACTAAATTACCAAAACACTAAATTACCAAAACACCAAAACACCAAAATACTAAATTACCAAAACACCAAAATACTAAATTACCAAATTACCAAAACACTAAATTACCAAAACACCAAAATACTAAATTACCAAAACACCAAAATACTAAATTACCAAAACACCAAAAACACTAAATTACCAAATTACCAAAACACCAAATTACCAAAATACTAAATTACCAAATTAGTAAATTACCAAATTACTAAAATTACCACATTACCAAATTACCAAAACACTAAATTACCACATTACCAAAACACCAAATTGCCAGACTGAGGGATAAATTGTAAAGCTGATTTGGTGAAGTTGCCCAGCTCAGTTAAAGGTACAGACTGGTTACTTGCTGGGGACAGTCATTCTGTTACATTCCCTGATCACACCACAATTATAGGAAAATATCCAGCCCTGGAATCCTCCCCCCTGAGCTCTTTGCCAGGAGTAAAGATGGCCACGGGAGAGTGCGCGCCCGGCCGATGACGCACGCACGCACGCACGCACGCACGCACGCTCGGCGTGTGATCGCAGCGGGCGGCAGGCAGTACGCATGCGTAGCACGCCGCCCAGGGAGCTGCGTTCATTGCCGGGGACCTAGCACGGCGCATGCGCAGTGAGCCCAGCGCGCCATTTTGCTGGAGTTTGAATGTGAGACAGCGCTGCTGACCCGAGGCCTTCTCTGCATTGTACCCACAGCCGCCCTTCCCCCAGCAGGACAGGTAGGAGAACCCAGGGAGGAGGGGGGACAGGGGGGGAGAGAGAACCCGGGGAAGGGGGGGTCACAGGGGGGAGAGAGACTGGGGGGGGGCAATAACCAGACTGTTGTAATAATAATAATAATATATAATACACCATGTGCCCATCACACACTAACCCCCCATCACACGCCGTATAACGGACTAACCCCCCATCACACACCGTATAACGGACTAACCCGCCATCACACGCCGTATAACGGACTAACCCAACCCCCAGCATCACACGCGGTATAGCGGACTAACCCCCATCACCGCGCCCGTATAGCAGGATAACCCCCATACCCGTATAGCGGACTAACCCCATCACCGCATGGCGAGTATATAGCCGGGACTGGCCCCACATCACACACGGTATAGCGGACTAACCCCCATCACCGCCGTTATAGCGGGACTAACCCCATCGCGGACTAACCCCATCACCGCCCGATACTTATAGCCGGGATAACCCCCATCACCTGCGCCGTATAGCGGACTAACCCCCATCACACACACCCATTATAGCGGACCCCAACCCCATCACACACCCATTATAGCCGGACTAACCCCCATCGCACACCCGTATAACGGGACTAACCCCCATCACACACCGTATAGCAGGACTAACCCCATCCCGCAGCGTATAGCGGACCTAACCCCATCACCGCGCCATTATAGCGGACTAGCCCCCATCACCAAAACGCGTATAGCGGGACTAACCCCCATCACCGCGGTATAGCGGACTAACCCCATCCTGCGCCCGTATAGCGGGACTAACCCCATGCGCCATTATAGCGGACTAACCCCCATCACCGCGCGGTATAGCGGTTAGCCCCATCACCGCAGCCATTGCCTTATAGCGGACTAACCCCCATCTTACCGCGCTGCATTATAGCGGACCCCAATAACCCATCCTGCGCCGTATAACGGACTAACCCCCCATCACACGCCGTATAACGGACTAACACGCCGTATAACGGACTAACCCGCCGTCACGCCGTATAACGGACTAACCCGCCGTCACACGCCGTATAAAGGACTAACCCGCCATCCCACACGCCGTATAACGGACTAACCCGCCATCCCACACGCCGTATAACGGACTAACCCGCCATCCCACACACCGTATAACGGACTAACCCGCCATCCCACACACCGTATAACGGACTAACCCGCCATCCCACACACCGTATAACGGACTAACCCGCCATCTCTGCATTGTACCCACAGCTGCCCTCCCCCCAGCAGGACAGGTAGGAGAGCCCGGGGAGGGAGGGGGGCCACAGGGGGGGGGAGAGCCAAGGGAGTGGGGTCACGGAGGGGGAGAGCCAGGGGAGGGGGGGGTCAATAACCAGACTGTAATAATAATAATAATAATAATAATATATAATACACCATGTGCACTAACCCCCCATCGCACACTGTGTATAATGGACTAACCCGCCATCGCACACTGTGTATAATGGACTAACCCGCCATCGCACACTGTGTATAATGGACTAACCCGCCATCGCACACTGTGTATAATGGACTAACCCGCCATCGCACACTGTGTATAATGGACTAACCCGCCCATCACAATATGTAATGATTGTAATGCTAATTAAATAGGTTAAAATTCAATGTACTGTACTATTTAAAATCTTGTTTATATCTGCGAGTGTATTATTTTGCCGTAGCTTGGGTTAAGGGTATGAAATGAAATACTTCAGGCGTTGTCAGTCTGTGTGTGATTTTGTACAATTTGGAGGAATTCGACGTGGAAGGTGTTGGAGTGTCCAGGTTGTAATCACAGAAATGATGTGTTGTGTTATTGCCATTTCCCGTGATGTTGTCTGTGTAGATGTTACCGGCTTCTCTAAAGATAGAGTAAATTGATGGCAGTATCTGAAATGTAGTGATTGCCTATAATGGACAGTTGATTAACCGTAAGCCCTGCTGGCGTCTTAATTGCAGTTTGTTGATTTTTGTGACAAGCAGAGATTTCTTTTTAATAGGTATTAGGACAATGTGCAACGCAGAATGATACATTGGGATTGGGTGGCAAAGCTTTAAATGTGATGAATTGCAGTATAATCTCCACAGGCGAAAACAGCATTTTATTTCTAAACCTTGAATTGAACATTGAATTTTAACCTTTAGGCCATATTAGGGGACAAAAAATTCTGCTCGATTTATTTTTGTTGAAATGTTGCTTTTAGGTTTTGATTCACCGCAAATCACTGATTTGTAAATAAATCCAAATAGAATTCAAATGGATAGAAAGATACTTGCCTACTTGTGTCAGTTATTTAAAACATAACATTTAATAAATTTGTTTAAAATCTTGCTGTTGAGAATCAACAAGTAAACGGAAATTACTCACTTCTAAGACTTTCAATATTATATACCAAAAATCAAATGTTTAAAGAAAAGAAATATATAATTATTAAAGGAAAAGGACTAATACAGAATTATCCAATATAGGATATAGGTATTGGATTATTAGACTATTAATTTTTTCTGGGATTACAGCATGAGCACAAGTATAAGAAATTTAGAATTGCCAGTGAAACGGAAACTAGCAATCCTAAGAGACATAAAGTATCAGGAGAGTAAATCTAACCACTCAATCAGAACTATAGTATACTCTTGTATCCGTTTCCCTTGAAGGGAACTATCGGTATCAATGTGCTTAGGTTATAAACTCTAAAAACGAGGAACCCAGCCTGACCGTCTCTAGTACCAGATAAGATCTAATTATTCAATGCGTGACTGCTTTCCCAAATAGTGCTGTTTTTTTACTAGAATATTTAGCAGAGATTGGAACGTAAATGACTTTATAAGTGTTAAAATACCTCTAGGTAAATAGCCTGTGATGTCAACTCTATATAAATATATTAGTAGTGCTGTATTCCTGGCAATACCGATCCCTCTGGCCAACCCCTACCCCCCCCCCCACCCTCCCAATGACAAAAAAAGGGAAAACAAAAAGGACTAATAGTGTAGTAAGTTAAAAACTTCTTGATAGAGTAAGGAAAATTAAAAATGGTACACTCACACTTCCAGGGAGCTTAAATACAGCTCCGACCTGCACGCCTGGGCGGAATGATCCCCACCTATGGATATATTGTGGTACAGGTTCTTCAAGCTTTCCTTACAGGGATAAAATATAAGAGAGAAAAAATAAAAAGTATATAGTGTAGTATGTAGAGCTAATAAGCAGGGGTAGGTGTACACTCACATATTATGGAGCTTAAGTATTGGCTCCGGAAGTAATGCGTGTAGTGGTAAGAGAAATAAAAATCCACAATAGTGTGTACCATAAAATAGTGTAAAGCACAGTAAAAATAATAATGTGCTATGGGAGGTTTATCTGTTCTCCCAGTCAATGCCTTGGCACTCCAAGCAGGGATACAAATTTGCTAGCACTATGTATAGATAAAATCTTATGCTAAATCTAAAAGGCAAAAGTTGTTTGGGGAATGACAGTCACTCTTTAAAGGGTTAAGTTACCCCTGCAGTGGACTTGAATTTGGCTTGGGACACATCACAGGTTACGTACGTGTCATTAGCTCTATGACTTATTTATTCTACTCCAAAATGAGCTTAGTGACCTATTTCTAAATGGTAATAAAACATACAGTGAGTAGGTAGTTTGTATCCATTTTTAAAGAGGTCTCTATTGTCCTGGGTAAAGAATTGAGCAGTTATCTTGGAGCCAGGATGAGATGATTGTGGGGACCCACTGAAATAGTATGCCAACTCTGGGATTAACTGGTTCTTTGGTGTTCTGGTATATTATAAATACAGCGCAGCAATCTATGTTGGAGCTATATGGATACAAAATAATATACATTATATTGGACAGAGCTGTACCCAGTCAGATTAAATCAGTAATCTCATCTGAGCTCCTGCTGTACATGAATCTGGTAGATTGGCTGCATGACATTTTGTGGGAGATTTAGAAAAGTGATTCTAACTAGAAATTAAAGCAATCGCAGTGGAATCAAAGAATTTGAATATAAGAGGTGAATATAGTGTTTCCTTGCCCTGCCTCGGACGTGAATGTATAACCACTTAGTGCTGTATTTTGTTTTATTCTCCCACCCACATTATTCCCAGGGTGCTCTGTGCAAGCGTATGGCTGAGAGAGTGATTTACTAAAGTAAGAATTGTGGGGAATTCAAAGATCACGTCAGACCTAAAGCCAAAATAGCCCATGTGAAACCCAGTAGAGGAGTAATAACTCCGTGAGCTGATATAACTCTTTCTATTGCATTTAGGAGACCATCCCCACACTTGCAAGTGCTCTCTGTCCTGCTTATCCTGCCTGTCTCCCCCTGTCGGGACATGTTTTGCGATGAGATGTTAGGCAGGGTTTAGCTGTGCACGGTGCAGACTGCTGATCATTGCAGGCCCAGGAATAGTGAAAGGGGGAGTCATGGTCGAAATACTCAACCAAGCTCTGTTCCCTGGCCCCAGCCATCAGGTGCTGTGATTGGTGGATGGGGCGCTTTCCCTGTGTCTGTTTGGACAGACTCTTTGTCACTGGTCCATTGAAAGCCGTGTGGTTTGGTTGAGCCTGTGCTCAGTGATTTTGCTGTGTGAAGGATGTGTTTCAAGGAATGGCCAGGATACTTTATTATCTGACTTCCAGATCTATCAGATGCGGGACATGTTTCATACAACATGCTAATGTAGTATATTGTGCACCGTTTCAGTCATATGTTCTGCCAGATTACATGCGATTAAGGTAATCACCAGTTCTACTTTATAAAGTACCTGTTTTAATCTGTTTGCCTTTTGGTATTGAAGATTATTTAGGCCATTTATAATTCTTAATGAGTTAGATTTCTCTAACCTGTTATACCGTCTCCTTTTAAAATCCTTTGACTCATTCATTATCGCTATTATGCACAGTTTTCATTGCAATTAAAGGAGACAATGCTTTTTCTAATGATGTAAGATTTTAATTTTGCGCATTTTTTTCAGAGTTTATCCCCAATGCCGTGTCTGTGGAGGTGAAGATGTAGATTTATGGAACCAGCCATATTAAAGGCTAAACTCCACTATATAACTGTGTGATCTCTCTCTGCCCCTCAGATCTTCTCACCATGGAACTCAGTGATGCCAATCTGCAGGCTTTAACCGAATATCTGAAGAAAACGCTTGATCCAGATCCTGCTGTAAGGCGCCCAGGTTAGTTATAAGAACCCATGTTATGTTCCCAGAGGCAGACTGTATTGATTATCTCATAGTGTTACTTGGATGTGCTGTCACTGAATATCTTTTGGTTATGAACGATACTTCTCTTTCCACCAAATAGCTGAGAAGTATCTGGAGTCGGTTGAAGGTAATCAGAACTACCCGTTACTTCTGTTGACACTCATAGGAAGCTCCCAAGATAATGTCATCAAAGTCTGCTCTTCTGTAACTTTCAAAAACTACATCAAAAGGAACTGGAGAATTGTGAGTGTTATGTCGCAGAGGCTAAGGTTAAAGTTTACATTTCAGCAAACCTGTTCTGTTTTCATGTAATGTCCGATTTTATTGCAATTTACATGAGCCCAGCTTAGTATGTGGCTATTACTTCGCTCTTAATGCCCAATTTCTGTTTTATTCCTGCGTTTGTTATAAAAATGGCTTTATTCTCCTCTTTCTTAGATTGAAGATGAGCCAAATAAAATTTGTGACCCTGACAGAGTCGCCATCAAAGCAAACATTATAAACTTAATGCTCAGCAGCCCAGAGCAGATACAGAAACAGGTAATATTTTAAACTCTGGGCTTTCAAAGGGTAACACCAACCACAGTTTTTGCCCGAAAACAAGACATCCCCCCAAAAATAAACCCTAGTTGACATCATCGCTTACTCACTAATCTATGAGTGGGTAATTTTCCCTGAACATAGATTTGTGGGATCCCATGCCCTAGTGAACTGGTCTATGTTCGGGGGAATTTTCCCCAAATGTAGACCTGCTTTCTTGCTAATGCTTGCTACCGTTTTCTCACGAAAATTGACATCCCCCGAAAATAAGCCCTAGTGCATTTTTGTTTGTTTGTTTTTGGAGCAGAAATTAATATAAGACCCAGTCTTCTTTTTGGGGGAAAACGGTATTACAATATCAACTCCAAATCGGGTGATTTTAATGCATTTTCTTAATGTATGTTTTATATAGAGATCTCTCATTTTCTTTTATTTCCTTTTTTTTCCCACTTCTCTCTTGATAAGTTTTAGAATTTCCTTTTTTTTTTTTATAGAAGTTCCTACACAGTTAGACTTATTTATAAGATACTGTAGAAACTACATTGTCTCACTGAAGCCCTGATCGCTGGCGAAGTTTGACATTGGGCTGCTCTTACAGCTCTTCCTGTTGCCATTACTCCATCAGCCGTCACATATGATTTACGTTTAAACAATTAATACTGACTTTCTCTTTTGATCATTAGACAAGAGGGAAATTAATTTTCTATTTTAATTTGAGCCTAAATCACAACTTAAAGGAACACTATAGCCATCAAAACAACTTTATCTTAATGAAGCACTTTTGGTGTATAGATCATGCCCAGGTAGTCTCACTGCTTAATTCTCTGCCATTTAGGAGTTAGATCACTTTATTTTTCTGTTCATGGTGTCCACACCTTGCCTAATTGTGACTCTAACAGCCTGCATAAAAAAAATGCATTCTTCATCAGATGTTACAAACTTCTAAAGTAACTTATTTCCTGCTCTGTAAATTTAATTTTAATCACATACAGAGGGCTCCTGCAGTGTCTAGCAAGCTAATAACAGATCAGGAGATAATAAAGGAAGTGTACACATTAGATGTCTCTTTACAGGAAGTGTTTAGAAAGGCTGTGCAGGTTACATGCAGGGAGGTGTGGCTAAAGCTGTATAAACAACGTGATTTAACCTAAATGGCAGAGTATTGAGCAGTGAGACTGCAGGAGCATGATCTATAAACACAAAAAAAACTGCTTTATTAAGCTAAAGTTGTTTTGGTGACTATAGTGTCCCTTTAACATTTGCTGGGTTGTTTGTTTTTTGAGAACACAAACAGTAGAAATAATGCAGATTTTACCCAGATCTCTGCTTTTGTATGAAAACTAAGCATCAATAGGAGGGAAGTAAACTGCAGTTCTTGTGTTTTTCACTGCAAACCTCCAGGACCTGCAGCTCCCTTCAGTGACTTATACCTAATCTAGGAAATAGATGTCTGTCAGACAAGTCTGCCTATTCCATTATTTGCACAAATCCTTTAATGTCTATGGAACTAGCCCCATACAAGCATTAGCCTGTAGTACCCCTTTAAAGTTATACTGCAATAATATAAAACGTGTAGTTCTACCCCAAAGAAAATAGGCATGTATTTTGTTTTTCATGGTTTCTTTGGGGTAAATTAAATCCTGGCTTACAGTAGCTGCAATCACAGACTCCCCAATGCAGCTCAATGAGAAGTCTTTGGAAGGCAGGTGCTCTGGGCAATTGCTGCCTCTTGAGTTTAGCTAAACTGAGCTAACCAAACCAGGAAGTAACAAGACCGGGTGTCTGATTGACAGCCACGGAGTGTAACAAGGTTCATTTATAAAGCTGAAGTGCTTTATCCATTTCTGCGTGTTCCTTTAAGAAATTAATTGAACAGGAAATCTACACATAACTAAAATAACATAATTTCCTAAACGCAGACCTGACGCATCTCTTGCTGTGAAACTTCCCTAACCTCCTGTCTCTCTTTCAGTTAAGCGATGCCATTAGTATCATAGGACGGGAAGATTTCCCACAGAAATGGCCTGATCTACTGACAGAAATGGTGAACCGGTTCCAGAGCGGAGACTTTCATGTAATAAATGGCGTCCTTCACACGGCCCACTCGCTGTTTAAGAGGTACTATGAATAAACCTATAAAATGTATGCGTTGCTTTCCAGACTGGCACATTTATTCTCACTATGCTTGTGAATATGATGTAAGTATTGTAAAGGGACATTCCAGGCACCAAAACAACTTCATCTAAATGGAGGCAATCTTCTCTCAAGGGGTTAAGCTGTTCCCTGTTCTGTATAAACTCTCCAGACTTGTTATTTCTCATATATTTTCTCACTGCTAGATATCGACACGAGTTTAAGTCCACTGAACTGTGGATGGAAATTAAGCTTGTCCTTGATACGTTTGCTGCACCGCTGACCAGTCTCTTTACGGTAAGATCTTCATGGGAATTGACGCGATTAATAAGTGACATATCAGAGCGTAAGAATCTTATCTTTCATTTCTTTTAGGCGACCATTGAGCTCTGCAACACCCATGCCAACGATGTCAGTGCTTTGAAGGTTCTCTTTTCCTCCTTGATTCTCATAGCGAAACTATTCCACAGTTTGAACTTCCAGGTGAATCTCCTCCACCAACCCTCCCCCTCTCATATAATACTGGGCATAGATAGATCATTTTCCCTTATATTTAATATTAAAGCGTACGATTTGTGTGTCTTTGAAGTAAAATAAGGTTTTCCCTGGTTTCCATTTAAAAGGGAAGCTAGGAAGAACTGGGGATGGGCCTATACTTTTTTATTTTTTTTTCTCCACCATATGTTAAACCATTTCTCTATCAGTGAAGCTTTGCCTGAAATATTGGTTGGATCAATGCATAGACAAGGCTCCCATGTGTAATACGAAAGCAAATACAAACACACAACATCAAGCCCTGCGCTTAAACTCCTACTACTTTTAGGCAGCAGCAATGGCTGTAGTATTCATCAGCCCAAATACATAGAACAAAAAGTTACCTGGCCACTATCCCAAATTCCTATTTACATTTAAAGAACAGGAGGTTTTCAGGATGACTCCAGTGGCCATTAAAATGTTTCTCCCATGTGTAATGTCCATCTGCTATTTTACAGCATTGGTAATTCATGTTTACATTGTACAATGATCCCATAGCAGGTTTAGTGTGACATGGTTTAAGAGGCAGGTTGTCTGTAATTAATAAACTTACTAAGGATTGATGGCTCGCCTGGTGCTTCGATTTTGCATGAACTATCCTTTATCTTGTTTTTTATTATATATTTTTTCCCTCTTTGTAGGATCTACCAGAATATTTTGAAGACAATATGGAAACATGGATGACAAATTTTCACAACCTGTTAACTTTGGATAATAAGCTGTTACAAACTGATGTACGTTTTTTATTTAAAATTTAGTTTATTCGATCTTGGTTGTAATTTTGTTATGCTGGGTTTTTTAACCGGGTTCACTGTGTAGGTTAGGTTACAGTTAGTTATACTGGGTGGGTTTATATTATTAAAGGGACACTCCAGGCTCCCACACACGTTAGGTGCACAGTGTAGGTTAGGTTACAGTTAGTTATACTGGGTGGATTTATATTATTAAAGGGACACTCCAGGCTCCCACACACGTTAGATGCACTGTGTAGGTTAGGTTACAGTTAGTTATACTGGGTGGGTTTATATTATTAAAGGGACACTCCAGGCTCCCACACACGTTAGATGCACTGTGTAGGTTAGGTTACAGTTAGTTATACTGGGTGGGTTTATATTATTAAAGGGACACTCCAGGCTCCCACACACGTTAGATGCACTGTGTAGGTTAGGTTACAGTTATACTGGGTGGGTTTATATTATTAAAGGGACACTCCAGGCTCCCACACACATTAGATACACTGTGTAGGTTAGGTTACAGTTAGTTATACTGGGTGGGTTTATATTATTAAAGGGCACTGTGTCTACAATAAAAAAAACTGACATTTTAACTACAATCCCGAGAAACACATGGAATATATTAAGTATTGCCATGAAGTGTTCAATCTGTATCAAACAAAAAGTGTGACTGGAGAATAGAATGTGACCATGGGGAATGCTACCCAGACATGCCACATGTCAAACTGCTCTGAAGCTTTGTGACATAGTCTCTACTAAATCCTGGCTAACATGGAAATGAACGTCAACATTTGCTGTCCATCTTTGGATATTCTGAGTAACTTCAAACAAACCCTTTACCACTACATCTCCTGATGGGAATGTATTTGTTTCCCTTAAAGGACGAGGAAGAGGCAGGGCTGCTTGAGCTGCTCAAATCCCAAATCTGTGACAACGCAGCCTTATATGCACAGAAATATGATGAAGAATTTCAGCCTTACTTGCCCCGGTTTGTCACCGCCATCTGGAATCTGCTGGTCACAACGGGACAAGAAGTGAAATATGATTTGGTAAGTACTCTCGCTTTCAGGATTGTTAAACTGGGAATTGGGAAGAATTAACAAATTGCATGTTTTAGGCAGAAATAGCTGAACTACAACCTGGTCTTCTGTAATAAACTCCAGATTTATTGGGGGCTTTTTCTTTCCTCCCTCCTGTAGCTTGTAAGTAACGCCATCCAATTTCTTGCGTCGGTCTGTGAGAGGCCACACTATAAGAATCTGTTTGAGGACCCGAACACTCTGACCAGTATTTGTGAAAAAGTCATTGTTCCCAACATGGAATTTAGAGGTAAGAAACGGCCCATCCTTTTCTTACCGCACCTTTAAACCTAAAAAATAGAAATGTCTTGACATCAAACCTCTAAACGGGGTCGTATTAAAGGAAAACTGCTCCCCCCCCCTTACACACTATTTACATTGGTCTTATTTACAGCCTTTTTGACAGTATCTGTCCTTTTACTGAACTGCAAATTAGAGCTGTGATTGGTTTAGCGAATGATAACGTTTCCTGTATTACTTCTGAATACGGTTTTGTTATCTTTTACTATTAATATATAAAGTGCTAGCATATGCTATGATACTTTATATCACAAAAACTGACAATTTCCATTTACCTAAAAGATAAGAACCATTACGATATACATTGTGTCGGTATCGGTGGCTGCCATAGCCATATTCACCCAATATTGGCCTTACATGTAAACCTTTCTATGTTGTCGGCCATGACATCTCAGGGATACACTCTGAATTTCCTGGTACGTCCTTGAATAAGCGTTACAACTGTTTTGACCTGTATGTATGACTGCAGTATTAAATCCTTTTGGATCCCCATGGCAGTCATTCAGCCAATCGGAAGCTACCTATATCCGTTTCGTCCATCCTTATTTTGTTTGGCGTCCTCTGAGATAGCTGAAGTAGATTGCTACACATTGACTCTGTGAAACGTGATGGCAGACGTCAGTTTTAATAAAGATGTTTTGTGATGTTTAATAGATCTGTTTATAGGAGAGATCTGCTCGTTGCTACTGTCAGCCTTTCTGCTGTACAGGTTTAGAATCTTTCAGTGGGAGTCTATTGCAAATTTTTCATGGATTCTGTGTTTACCTTCCTGAATCTACACACGTGATTTGCTATGACTAGTTCGGGTTAATTTGTCCAGTGTGTTTTCCCTATCGATTTTATTAAGAACAAACCCTGCTTCTTTGTGCTAGGAATCTGTAAGTTCCCCATCCAACCTCTTGCCGTTGTTTATTCACTGTTTGTCTTGTAGCTGCTGATGAAGAAGCTTTTGAAGATAATTCCGAGGAGTATATTCGAAGAGATTTAGAGGGGTCAGGTAAAGCCCAAGAAATAACACAATGTCTGCATGTTATCTAATATAGGACGTGGGTTTTCCCGCTGTTATGTGGGCATTTTTTATTTTATTTTGTAGCTATTGGAGCCTTTTATTTTGTTTTTCTTTCTTTTGTTGTCTTGATTGTTTTTCAGTCTTGTGGGTAGAGTGGTGCTTTCTAAGCAGCTTATGCTCGTCCACTGCAGAGATTCAATTTTTCTACTAAATAACGCTTGCCCCGTTCTAACAATGCAGCAGTGGGCCACAGTCCCAATGAAACTTTGCCATTTGAAAATACTGCAAAGGTTCCCTCTGGTATTCCAGCTTTCTGGAAAGGGTGTATGGCCAATCTGTGACATGCGCAATAAATACTTCTATTATATAAACCCACTAACTATAAATCCACGACCATCTTTAAAATAAAATTACATGATTCAACATAAACCATTTTTCCTCCTGCAGACATTGACACAAGACGCCGGGCAGCCTGTGATCTAGTGCGTGGTTTGTGCAAGTTTTTTGAGGCCCCTGTAACCAACATCTTCTCCGGTTATGTCAGCTCCATGCTCCAGGAGTACGCCAAAAACCCCTCAATAAACTGGAAGCACAAGGATGCTGCAATTTTTCTGGTCACCTCCTTGGCCTCCAAGGCTCAGACGCAAAAGGTAGGCAATTTGGGAAAAGTAGATAAATAGAAATAAATGGTGCAATTCTATGAATATGTATTGATGATACTTATCTAATTACCATGCTGGCAGTGTGCAGCTAATACAAGTTTAAGAGTGAAAACTCCTAAATACATTACAAATCACTCCGTTTCTTTTGACAGCATGGGATAACACAGGCTAATGAACTGGTCAATCTCACAGAATTTTTTGTCAACCACATCCTTCCAGATTTAAAGTCCCCAAACGGTAAGTATACATTCTGAAATCGCTGCACTAGTTCTGTAAGCTGTGTATAATACTCATTTGTATTAAATAGTTTTATAATCCCATACAGCTTGGGTGAAAATTTCTTCTGTGCTGTGTTAATAATGCACAGATCACCTCTGTGCACCCTGTGGGCCTTAAAGGGACACTCCAGGCTCCTAAAGCATTTTACAAAAAAAAGGTCAGGCAACTGGTCCTCTTGCTTCCTGGTTTAATTAGCTCAGTGGAACTAAAGTAAAGAGGCAAGGACTTCTCATTGAACTGCATTGGAAGTCTGATTGGACAGCAACAGAGAGTTGGAGAAATTTGGGCAGACTAGATGGGCCGAATGGTTCTTATCTGCCGTCACATTCTATGTTTCTATGGAGTTGGAAAAGGGTGATGGAGTGGCTTCTAAAATAAATCTGCTGCTGTTTTTAGATATAGCCCTAATGTAAAAATGCATAATTAAATGCATGTCTGATTATATTGTGGGGTAACTCTACAAAACAGGTCATTTCTATGCTTTTTTTTTTATTGGGGGGAGGGTGGCGGCAGTGGAGTGAACCTTTAACGTCAGGCAGAACCAGGACATACATGTGGCAGTCTACTTGAGATTAATGGCAGTAACTCCTGAACAGCACCTGCCGCCGTTTTAATTTCAGCAACTGAAATGTCTACCACCAGGGAATGCCCCGATCTGACACTACTAAAGTAGTTCCCTTAACCGCTTCACTTTTAGACTAATCTAAACCTAAAATATCATGCAATAAAATATATACATAATAGCAAACCATTTATTATTTGAAAATTTAAAGTGTGTGTGTGTGTGGTCCTACATTTTCAACACACACATTTACACGTAAATACAGACAGGCATACATTCAGGCACAGGTCCAATGGCATCAGTGTACCAGTTGGGGTGCGCTAGATATCTGGGTTCTGAGCGATGGGTAACTTTCCGAATGTATTGTCTGTCTGTGCACGTGTGACTAGTTCTGAATACTGTGTGTGTGTATTGTGACTGACGGTGAGTGTGTGTTTGTATTGTGACTGACGGTGAGTGTGTGTTTGTATTGTGACTGACGGTGAGTGTGTGTTTGTATTGTGACTGACGGTGAGTGTGTGTTTGTATTGTGACTGACGGTGAGTGTGTGTGTATTGTGACTGACGGTGAGTGTGTGTGTGTGTATTGTGACTGACGGTGAGTGTGTGTGTGTATTGTGACTGACGGTGAGTGTGTGTGTGTATTGTGACTGACTGTGAGTGTGTGTGTGTGTATTGTGACTGACGGTGAGTGTGTGTGTGTGTATTGTGACTGACGGTGAGTGTGTGTGTGTGTATTGTGACTGACGGTGAGTGTGTGTGTGTATTGTGACTGACGGTGAGTGTGTGTGTGTGTTGTGACTGACGGTGAGTGTGTGTGTGTGTGACTGACGGTGACTGACGGTGAGTGTGTGTGTGTGTGTGTTGTGACTGACGGTGAGTGTGTGTGTGAAGTTTAATTCCTGTTTGGGATGAGCCATTATTAGGATGACTTGGTAAAAAAAAAATCCATTTCAATATTCATTTATTTGTTTGTAGTCTGAAGTCTGCATGTTTCTGTTTTTATTCATTTAGTGAATGAGTATCCGGTTCTAAAGGCAGATGGGATGAAGTATGTTATGTTCTTCAGAAGTCAAGTAAGTGGTTTGCCTCTCCGTGCATTTTAACACCCATATCCCTGTGTTATTATATCACATATTTCTCAGTCATTGAAACCCAGGAAAGGATGGTGAAGAACACAGACCTAAATCTTGTCCTATCAATTATACATTAAATTTCACACGATTCTGGTTTAATGTGCAGTTAGGGTCATACCTTACGTCTTGTAATCTGTCTTCCATAAATTAACCCTTCAGCAGCCAGGACACGGTCTCCCATTAGATCAGTTTTGTTGTACATTAATGTACTGAATCGAAGACTGGGGCGGGTTTTAGACGTCCATTTAGTGAGTTTGTTATTTCAACTACTAGAACAAACTCACTAAATGGACGTCTATCAAACCCGCCCCAGTTTTCATTTCCATGTTAGCCAGGATTTAGTAGAGACTATGTCACAAAGCTTCAGAGCAGTTTGACATGTGGCATGTCTGGGTAGCATTCCCCATGGTCACATTCTATTCTCCAGTCACACTTTTTGTTTGATACAGATTGAACACTTCATGGCAATACTTAATATATTCCATGTGCTTCTGGGGATTGTAGTTAAAATGTCAGCTTTTTTATTGTAGACACAGTGCCCTTTTATAATATAAACCCACCCAATATAGCTAACTGTAACCTAACCTACACAGTGCACCTAACGTGTGTGGGAGCCTGGAGTGTCCCTTTAATAATATAAACCCACCCAGTATAACTGTAACCTAACCTACACAGTGCATCTAACGTGTGTGGGAGCCTGGAGTGTCCCTTTAATAATATTTGCTTTTTCTCGGTCACAGATTCCTAAGGAACATGTTCTGTCTGCAGTTCCTCTGCTAATCGGCCATCTCCAAGCGGAGAGCATTGTTGTTCACACTTATGCTGCCCACGCCCTGGAGCGACTGTTCACCATGAGAGGAGGGGCGGCCAACACAACTCTGTAAGTTATGGTGTATTACCGTGATACGCTATTGGAGTCACTTTACGGTATGCTGTGGCAATATGTTACAGCCGACCGGTGAGGACTGAATACCGTATGTACTTGGGATAACAAAGTGTAATCTTCCTCTTGGAATGTCTCTCACAATTATAAAACACTGCAGAGACATTCTAGTTTCTAGTTTAAGAACGTGTAGATAGTAGAAGCTACACTGATTGTGTAAACTGATAAATTAATATATTTCTGCAGAATTCAGATACATTTGTATCACCTGATCCCTCTTTTCAGTCTAATGAAGAAGTTCCCCTTCCTCTTTTCCTTCCAAATCTTTGTAATAAAAGGCTGGGAGGGTTGTTATGGGAAGCGTTTAATAACTGTCGACCCATTTTGAATTGTAACTGGTTATTTTACCAATTCGGCACCTCCAAAAGGGTCAGTGGTGATTAGGGGAGAGCGAATCCTCCTGTCTTAAAGCAATGTGAGCTCAGACCATACAGGTATCACGACAGGTAATTGTGTAGGGAGAATTCCTCATTATGAAGTCTACAGATCAGGGTCCAGGCTTTGAGTCCAGGGATTTCCATTTCGATCATGCAGAGTTTGTGATTTGACACTACAGTAGTTATGGTGCTTGGAGTGCGTCTTTAATATAAACTGTTTGCTATCCTGTCAGTCATAAGTTTGGCTACTTGGATCACTGACATCAAGGTATAAATTACAAATATTGCTGAATGCCAACATGGTCCTCCCACAAAGCTGGGTTTTTGCATCACATAATAAGTAACAGCCTCACGCTCGGCATTGTGGGATTGGGCTGTGACCAGGATGTAGCAGAATTTAGGAATATTATCACTTATTGTACACAATCATTTTTATTGTTCACATGAGGCTTTCCTTGTCGTCCGCTTTAAAATCTGTGCACAAACTGACCAGTGAATCGGGGGAAAAAAAACTGCAAATTTCAGGCCAAGAATAATTAGTGATAACTTTTACGTTAAATTTTTTTCAGAAATATAACATTTTTCTTTCCGTCCCCAGTATCACCGTGGCAGAAATGTTGCCTTATGTAGAAGTCCTGCTTGCTAACTTGTTCAAAGCTCTCTCCTTACCGGGCTCGTCAGAAAACGAATACATTATGAAAGGTACAATTCTAATTATCGGCATGTAATATTTATATATGTGACTACATATTTATTTATTTTCTTTGACATTGACTCTTACATGGACCCTATAATTATGTATCAGTAGAACAATGTGAGGTGAAAGTGTAGTTGTAATTCCCTCCCCTTCCCAGAATGCCAATTGTTTATATATTTTCTCCTTGTAACTCTCTCTCTAACTTGTGTGTTTAACTCACTGATATCGGACTGTTGGCATGATCGTAAAAGGAAGGGCAGTCATATATCACATCTTCACCCTCCTGTCTACTACACAGAAATCAAACTGTATTGTTCTTATTTAGAAGATGAGGAGTGAAGCGTTTATTAAAGTGTTTATGGTTCGTTAATATATTTTGGTTGTATGGTTTCTCTCTGTGTTCCTGGTTTAATTCGCACATGAAGCAGGAATCCTTTCATTTCCTCTGCTTGTTTAAGGTTTGGTCTGTCGGTTATTGAGTGAGATAAATGGATCCAAAATGTTCAGTTGCCGTATGGACAGGCATGACTGAGTGTGAAAACTGTTGACCGGTTCTGTTGGACAATGAATAAATCAATGAATAAATTAGCAGTTTAGCTTTAAATGTAACTTCCTTCCTTGGTTTATGTGCCATGTAAAGCCATAGACATAACAATCAGTCTATTGCCGGTGTGTGATTTGTATTGTTTACACTGAAGTTTGCTTTTATTTGTTTGTTTTTCCTGTTGTGCAGCAATTATGAGAAGCTTTTCACTCCTCCAAGAGGCGATAATTCCGTATATTCCCAGCGTGATAAGTCAGCTGACACAGAAGTTGCTCTCCGTTAGCAAGGTACGATATTTTATGTTCCCTAGGATTGGTAAAAGGCGCCCCAAGAACCAACGCTGGCCAGTCATCAGAAATAAGATCTTGTGCCTGAATTGTCTTTTTATTTATTTTACTTGTTCTTCGTGTGACAGTAACTTCTCTTCTTTTTGAATGTTTGTTTTTTTTGTTTTTCTCTCTCTCATTAGAACCCAAGCAAACCTCACTTCAATCACTACTTGTTTGAGTCGATTTGTCTGTCTGTCCGGATCACATGCAAAGCAAACCCTGCGACCGTGGGAAGTTTCGAGCAGGCGTTGTTCATTGTTTTTACGGAGATTTTGCAGAATGACGTGCAAGGTACGGCACACTCTGATTGCTGTAAATAACGTGTGTTGTATCTGCAGTACGATGACTTATTATTCTTATTATTACACCATATAATCCCAGCCCTTTATATTCTATGCCTGGGACAGACCAGCAGGATTGTGATTGTTACCAATAGTTCTCCATTCTTTAATCTTCCTATAAAGCAGCCAGCAGTGATTTACTGTGTAGCTGGGGCAGAACATACATTTCTTTTCACAAACCTTTCGCGAGTAAGCGCGTTAATAGCATCTGTTAATGTGAGGTAATGAGCTGCTGTCACTAGCAGAGAAGTGACAGCTCCTCTTTAATGTGAGTTTAATACTTGTTTTGCTTCCTGACTGACACTTTGTTACTGGTTTCTCAATCTAGAGTTTATTCCGTATGTGTTTCAAGTCATGTCGTTACTGCTGGAAATGCACAAGAATGAGATCCCAGACTCTTACATGGCACTGTTCCCCCACCTTCTGCAGCCCATATTGTGGGAGCGGACTGGTAATATCCCCCCTCTGGTCAGACTGCTACAAGCTTACTTGGAAAGAGGCGCAAGTACGATAGCCGCTAATGCAGCGGATAAAATCGTAAGTTATCATTTAAAACCTCTGTACGCTTAAATGTACACCTGTCACTTTTTATAGTAAAACTACCTGTCGTATTTCTTCTATACATTTTTTATATATATATATTTGTATTCGGGGCCATTTCAGTATAGTATGAAATAGCTAGTGAGTATACTTATCATAATAATTAAAAGTCGGTAGAGGTGTGCCGAAACCGACGTGTGTGGTAGGCCTGTAAATAAGAGGGCCCACCTTAAATAGTATTTGAATAGAGGGAGAGGAGGGTGGGTCAAACGAGCATCTGGACCAGACGGTGAATGAGGTAGGAGGGGGAGTCCCTTTTAAAGGGATATAGCCCCTCCCACAACTTCAGGCCCTGCCTTCCAATTTGTATTCGGGGCCATTTCAGTATAGTATGAAATAGCTAGTGAGTATACTTATCATAATAATTAAAAGTCGGTAGAGGTGTGCCGAAACCGACGTGTGTGGTAGGCCTGTAAATAAGAGGGCAAAAAGGAATACCCATATAATGTTATCAAAGATATTTATTAACGAAACCACAAGACATGGAGTTAGCATATTTACGATGACATTTTCACAAATGCATGCCTTAATTCTTGTGTTGGCTGTGGTATGTAAACAGCGTAAGCGGATGACTTCCAGCGGCCCAAGGTTTTTATGATGTGAACCGGGATGTCTAGGCCTGAGGCTGTGGAGGCTGCCCCTATCCGGAATGAATGCCCAGAATAGTTTGCGGCGTTTAAGCAGAGTCTGGTCAATAGTAAGCGAATATACATCACAAATTTGGCGGTAGTGAGTGCTGTGCCGTGCAATGAAAGGAGAGCGAGTGAGGTTTGTGTAGGTGATGACTGTAGATAGTTGTTAAAAACTTTCACCGGGCACCATGCGTTGTTGGTGGGGTAGTATTGAATAAGAACCTCGTGCCCCATCTGGCTGGTCTTAGTTGAAGGTAAGCTTAATACGTAGTGGTCCTGTTTTTTGTACAAGTTAGAATACCGGAGGCAATGCTTGGACTCGTGTTGCCTAGTAATGGTAAATTCTCTGGGTCGTAAGAAACCGTAAAAAGCCAAGTATATGGCCGTTTTAAGAGTGGTGTTAGTAAGGGGTTCGAACGGTGTGGTATCTAGTAGGTTTGACAAACGTTTAAACAGTTGAATGTCTATAGGCTCCCTACGTTGCGGTGTAGGTCCTTGCGATTTGAGCATACCCCTAAGGAGGGTTTTAATGGGGTAGGAGGTGAGAAACCCTTGGTTGTTAGGATGTTCTGTGAACATATGATGTTGGATACCTGTGAGGTATAGTTTTGTGGTATTATGCGACATTTTTAACTTAATGTGGCAAAAAGTGGCAAAAGCCACCAATGTTACATTGTCAAACCAATTTGTGAGATTATGGTCTGCCATGAATTTCTTGTATAGGTAGTAAGCTCTATCATATGCGCTATGCGTGTTTTTTGCGAGAGCGAGTTTTGTAAGTATCTTGCTGTGTTGTAATAATTCCTCTAGTCCATGATTAGATCCTGGATTTGGGGAGCGATCGTGGCTACCGGTGACGCTGTTGGTAGAGACTCCCTGAACGCCTGAAACTGAAAGCGGGACAGCTGGTCAGCGGCTGTATTATAGATACCCGGTACATGGTAACATACTAGATGAAACTGATGACAGGCCGCCAACCACGTAAGACGTCTGATAAAACTCATGATGGTTAGAGAGGTAGACCGGCCTTTGTTTATGACGTGGCAAATCGCCAAGTTGTCAGAAAAACATCGAACTGGTCTACCTGCCCAAGACTGTCCCCATGTGACTGCTGCTGCTACTATGGGGTACACTTCAAAGAGTGCAGAATTCCTAAAAAAGCCTTCTATTTGCTTAACTTCTTCCGGCCATCTACCCCATAGCCAGTTGTCCCCAAAAATGGCTGCAAAACCTGTGGAGGCTGCTGCGTCAGTCCAAATGGTAGGGGAATCCTCTGTGACTTGGGGGAGGAACATGCTCCTGCCATTCCAGTTTGACAGGAACAAGTTCCACATGTGTAAGTCTGCTGTGGCTTGCCTATCAAGAGTGGTACGTTTGTGTTCGTCCGTTAGTGTCGGAAGAAGGCACAGGAGTCTGGAAATGAATGCTCTTCCTTGGGGTATAATACGAATGGCAAAATTTAGCGAGCCAATCAGTGACTGAAGCTCTTTCCTATTGCATGAGCCTATGCACAAGTACTGCTCAATGGTCTGAGTGATGTTGTCAATCTTATCTCTAGGGAGGCTGGCTTCCATAGTTATGGAGTCCAGTTGTATCCCCAAAAACTGAATGATTGTATCTGGACCTTCTGTCTTGGTGGGAGATACTGGAACCCCAATGGTGTTAAATAAATGCATGGCTTTGTGTAAACTGTTAGGGGGGGTAGCGTTATTTTCTATGAAAAGGAAGTCATCCAAGTAATGAATGACGCTATGGCACCTGCTGGTATTCAGGAGCAGCCAGCACAAGGTCTCTGCGAAAGTGTCAAATATTTTAGGACTGCTCTTGGATCCAAAGGTGAGCCTTGTGAAGAAGTAATACTGGCCTCTCCATTTGATACCATGCAAATGCCACAGCGACGGGTGTATGGGGAGTAGTTTAAAGGCGTTAACTGTCGGTTTTGCTCAACCATGCGCCTATGCCTGCTGAGATGATGGTGGATATGGCGTCGTCTATGGTGGTGTATTGTAAAGAGAATGCCTCTGACGGGATCAGGGAATTGAGGCTGGGTATCACCGAAGCATGTGGAGCAGACAGGTCTATAATGAGTCTTTGTTTGTTAGATGTTTTCCCAGTGACTAGTCCAATGGGATTTGTTCTCCAATTAGAGAACGGCGGGTCAATAAATGGACCTAAGACAAATCCTTGGTCTTGTTCAATTTGTAGTAGGTAGTCTACTGCGTCTGTGTCACAAAGGGCGGACTGGAGGTTGTTGGCTTCCCATGTACCCCCTGGTATGTGAATGAGGCCAGTATGAAACCCTTTAGAAAACCCTGCAATCAAATACTCCACAAGATGTGTAGAAGGGTGCTTGGAGAGAAGCCCTGCCAGAACATCAACATTCACAGTAGTTAGGTAGGGTTTAATGTGCATTTTATTAGGGCACATAGCCTTTGCATGTGCCCTGAAACAATGGGAGCAGATATGCAGTAGACGGCAAGCACTATAGGAGCAAGCCCCAACATTAAAATTATTACAGATCTGTGACTTGCCCAAATACACGATAGGGCGACCCAGCTTGTCTCTGCCCTGTTTCTCCCCCCTGGAAGTGCTTGGTGTGGCAATGTTTGGGGCATCGTCTGTGGGGACAGGACAGAGATTTGCAGCGTGCGTGGTAGCCCCACATATTGCACAAGCTGGAGACCTTAGCCCGGCAAAGTGCCTGAGGAACAGCTCTGTATCCATTAGGCTCCAATCCATTCTTGCGTTGTACTGGGCGAGAGCTGTTGCCGCTTTAGTTGAAAAAGAACGGTGGTAATCGTAAAATGATGACCCACCGTATTTGTTGCCCAGGTCTACCAGCTTGTGCATGTACAGGTCTAACTCTTCCCTTCTCTGTGGGTAAACTGAGCACAGTACGTCCCTGTATATGCCGAATGCGATAACGAAGTCTGGGATTGCTAGTTTTTTGCTTAGTCTAGGATCTCTGGCCTTGAGGACCACAGAAATATCGCCATACGTATATGCGCGGTTCTCTGTGATATCCTGGGAAGCAATAAGCAGAGAGACTAGATTTACATCCTTGCCCTCCAGGATGTCTTTTTTAAGGTTTGCTGGTACCATATGGGCTGGGTTGATCACTTGTGACCCAAGGATAGTGGGGGTATTAGGATTACCAGGTTGGGCTTGTGATGGCCCTGGGATATCGGTAGCAGGTGGCTCTGGTGTCACAACTGGACCGCTACGAGCTTCCAGTCTTTCCAGTCTCTCATTTATCTGCCCCATGGAAGACACTAGTGAGGCGACCATGGTATGCAGATTAGCATTGCTTGAATTACTAGTGCCTTCCCTGGCGTCAGAATTGTCCTGATTGGCTTGCATAAGCCTGTACAATTCTGCCTTGCGGGCCGTAGCTGGATAAGGAATACTACGTTTGCGTAGTTCGGCCGTGATCCGTGGGATGGTCCATGATCTAATAGATGACGGGCTGCCGATGTCCCCTTTGCGTGTGGGGGTGGCAGTCCTGGTCGGTGTACTAGGCATTGATAGTTCATCTTCTTCATGAACTTGGGACATACTGAAATATATACGTATGTAATCGTGAGTTTCATTATGGAGAGTGTAAAATGTTTAACTAGTGCCAAAGTGGCGAAATAATTCATTAAACTTGTGGCAGGTGAGTCCCTATTAAATGCCAAGTGGCTAGTAGGATTTAACTATGGTTGGCGCGTGGGGTTGATCTGTTGTACGTGTTTTACCAGTGGAGATTTTATCGTTAATTGAGGGTTATGACGGATGACGCCCTAGCTATGCAACATGCGAGGCGTCTAGCTATGATTTGGCCCGTGGGGGTTTAATACCTCTTACATCGAGGATGGAAGTTGGCCTCGCGGGACCTCTAACCCTATGGCAGAAGGTGCCTGGGAGGAGAATTACTTAAGTGGGCATGTTGATGTTTCTTATACTGGTTGCTGCAACCGAGATAACTTACCTGAGTGCCCAACGTTTGCCTGGCAGTCCTGTAGTAGTTTGATTACTGTTAGGGAGGATGGCCTAAACCCGGTGCTGGATGACAGAATGGAAGGCATAAGGTACATATAAGTGTGTACTGCTATCTTGTAGCTGAAGCCTGCCCCCCCCACGTTTTGTGGTGAATGTCCTAGGACCACATACCTATGGTTGTAGGTTGAGTGCAAGTAGGTTCTGAAGGCCAAGTCCGTCTTAGTTTGGTTCTTGAGACTGTAAACACATGTTAAACCGTTATGGCAGTGTCCCAAATATCTGCTTGGCACAAAGTGCACTCGGCATACATTTGTGAGCATATGCACTGAGTGTCATATGTCTGATTAATGGGACATACGTCGCCCATATGTTGTACATACCAAGGAAGTAATAGAATACTTGACTTTGTCTTGGTCTCTGACCCTGCCAGGGGAATCAGTATAACAGGTCACCAAATAAAGGGAAAATATTCTTGAACTTTGCAATTTGTCTATAACCACGCAAGTAATTCTGAAGATTTAATTGAAACCGTGGTGTGAGTATATGGTATATATTCTTGAGTCACATAGATCCACATATTAGGTAGATTAGTCACATAATTACCTCACAATTTAGTGCCCGAGAACAGCTTATATCTGACTTATATGCTTTAAACAGTTGTTTCCACAAATCTATACGTAACCGGTTGTGCATGAATTAATTGAATACTTTATTATTCCTAACGTAATATATAAATCTGACCATTTTTTAATATTGCCATTGTTAACACATATCACAGACTTTGACATATACCAGGTAACATTACTATTTATAGGGCGACATCTAGTGGTTACAACTTGTATTGCCGTCAGCATTGCTGTAATTTTTTGACATGCTTTCTGGCTGAGGCTGTGAAGGGAGCTCTGCCCGTGTGAGTGAACCCCTGTCTGTAGGTAAGTAAGAGAGGAGGGGGGAGGGGGGGGGAGGAGAGATTTGTAAGCTGCTGATACCCCAAAGGGTATCAAGGAGCCTTGCAAAATATAGTAACTTCTAATTTAAAAATGTATTTTTTATTTTTTATTTTTTTTCAATAGTTTATGTGACAGGGCACTTGTAGGTTGGGGTGGGGGGCGGGTTGGTGCGGCTATTGTGGCAGAAATCGCGGACCCCCGTGAATTAGGTCCGTGGGGGTCTTGATTGTATTAGCCGCCTGACCGTTACCTGCCATGAGCCTGGGGGGGTTCCCCACTCCTGGAGAGAGGGGGAGAGGAGTTAGTAGCCGGGTCCTACGGCTGCTGTGGAGTGAGGGGGGGGGTTAGGACCCGGGTGACACATAAACCGGCTGTTGTGTAGTGAGAGGGGGGGTTAGGAGCTGGGTTACAGAATAACTTGAACCGGCTGCTGTGCAGTGAGCGGCAGCAGGGGGGGAGGGGGAGGGAGGGCTGGTCTGCATGAGGCCTGATCCCCCGGCGGGAATCAAGCCGAATCAGCCCTGGCGAGGGGGTTTCTGTCCCCACAATACTGTAGCCGTGGACCTCGGCGGGTCAGGCTATGTGTAGGCTGCAGACCGGTACAATGATACCGGTCTGCCAACTCACTGTTTAGTAGGGAAACCGGCAGTAGGAGCAACAGAAACTTTGAAAATGCAGCTGTCAGGAGAAACTGAAAACCACGTTGGGAACCAGCAATTCAAACGAGCATCTGGACCAGACGGTGAATGAGGTAGGAGGGGGAGTCCCTTTTAAAGGGATATAGCCCCTCCCACAACTTCAGGCCCTGCCTTCCAATATATATAGCCATTTTTTTCTTTCTTTTGTAACAAAAGGAATTCCCAGGACTGGAGGGAATGAACGTAAAGGGTAATACTAACCATTGTAACCGCTACAGTCGCTGTAGTGTTGATGGTGCCAGGAGTACCCAGTCACAGTTTCCTGGTAATCGGCAAAACGTTTATGAACTGTTTGCCCTCTTACCTCTTTGAAAGCAGATTTGACATCCAGCTGACTCTACCCCTCATTGATTGGCTTAAAGCATCAGCTGACTACTCTCTGCCAATCAATAAGAGTCTGTGCTAGGAAAAGCTTTTAATAACCACAAATAATGAACTCTGAGATGAGTTAATGTCTACATGTTGAATTCATTTTCTATAATTAATTAAATTAGGTCACAGGAATATTTGATCTATTTATTTATTTTTGCACTGAGGAGAGTTGTTATCTAGTTACATGCTCTTGGATGGATATCCTCCAGAGCAGAACCAGATTCATGCTGATGAGACCAACAAGATTAAAACTGCCGTCCATGGCTGGTTTCTGGTCATCGGTTCTTTTGCATCACATCCCATACTTTTGATTAAAATGCTGTGTCTAAAACTGTCCATTGCTAAGGGTATCAGCAGAAATCCTGTATGAAGTCTGAAACACAATTTAGTATCTGGAGATTTTCTTTTTGTTTGCCTTATCGTTGTGGGATTGCTGGTCCTGCTCTGGAGCACCGGTGGCTGCTATCTCCATTATTGAAACACAATGTATGTCTGATCATTTGCATGTCAAGCTGGGAATTCTGGGATAGTTGTGGAAACATGATTTGTTGAGTTTATGTGCCCAAGGCGGACTTCTCAAAGTGTGTGCGTGTGTATATTTATATATTTTTATTTTTTTTCTGGGATGAGTTTATTAAAGGCAGTAACACGTTTAGAGCTATTCTCCATGTGAAGTATTGCTAAGTTAAACAAACAAATGTTCACAGATTTTATTCTGTTCTATATTTTAGCCCGGATTACTTGGTGTTTTCCAAAAGCTGATTGCATCGAGAGCAAATGACCATCAGGGATTTTATTTACTGAATAGCATCATTGAACATTTGCCAGTGTAAGTATAAATATTTCATTTTGTTTATATTTGTGTATTAAAGAATGGTGTTGCCTATCCTGTGTTTTAACTGAAACCTTGCTTTTCTTTGGTAGAGAATAACAATTTTAAATACACCCAATGCTATGCTTCTCTCGTGAATATTGACATGCGCTGCACTCGTTTCATATTTGTCAGTGATGGCTATTTGTTTTTTTCCATGACCTATCCTTAAACACCTCTGTAATGTTCTTTAAGTGCTTAAAGGGACACTCAAGGCAGCAAAACAACTAATAAAGCAGTTTTGGTGTATAGACCATGTCCTCCAGCCCTTGTCAAACTTCCCCTGGCAGTGACTCTCACAACCTCCAAGAAAGAAAGGTTTACATTTTCAATCAGATATGACAGCATGGTGTGTTTACTTTTGAATTCCTTATCTCCTGCTCTGTTAATTGAACGTTAATCACACATAGGAGGCTGCAGCAGAGTCTAGCGGGCAATTCGCAAAGCAAGAAATAAGAACTTCTAATTTAAACATCCTGTGCAGGAAGACTGTGAGCATATCAGCTAGGGAAGGGGTGAGTAGGGCTGCATTAACAAAGTGATTAAACTCCTAAAAGGCGGAGAATTAAGCAGTGAGAGTGCAGTGGTCAGTAAATCATCTATGGGTTCTCTTAATGTGAAGCTCAAAATCTCCACTTGACTGTAGCAGAGTGAAATTTCAACCTTGGAAGCGTGCCTTCCATGGACGCTTGATGTGGCAAGTAACTTGTAAGGCCTTGCTAGTAGTGTAGAACTTTAAACTCTGACCTTTCGTGTTAAGATAAATTGACATGAAAGCCTTACAGTCGTTCATTAACCTAAGACTTAATTTGCTGACTGATCTTTTCATACAGCTCTATGCGTTCCTGACGAGCGCTAGAGAAGTATTATTGAGGTCTACTTTCCTGTTTAAGGAGGGAACTTGTGTTCCCTACTTAAACAGGAAAGCCGTTTTCAGCTGTTTTGGTATGTGTTGGGGAATGTTGGCCATAAGAATATTGTTTTATTTTCTGTGTAGCTTGAAGCTTGATTTGGCAAATAACTCCCTTCTCGGCACGGTATTCCAGGTTTAGTGATTGTTTCCTCTTGGTTTCTGCAGGGAATGCGTTGACCAGTACAAGCGGCAGATATTCATTGTGCTCTTCCAGAGGCTGCAAAATTCCAAAACCACCAAGTTCGTCAAAAGTAAGAACTGTTGAAATTCCCATGGAGTGCTGATAACTAACGTGGAATGAACTCATGAAATTCTGCTCTATTGCAGCCCCTTTTGTGTCCATTTTCTCAGCCTAACTAAAAGATATAGGTTTTTCTCTAAACTTCTCTTTCTCTCTTTAAAGGCTTTTTAGTGTTTTTAAATCTTTATTGCGTAAAGTATGGGGCCATCGCTCTGCAGGAGATGTTTGACAGCATTCAGCCAAAGTAAGTAATATCTCTTTACTTGACCATGTGGTAGTGTACCGCGTGGCAGCTCGTTCTGATGGTCTCCTGATGCATTCTTTCCTGCAGAATGTTCGGAATGGTTGTGGAAAAAATTATTATTCCCGAAATCCAGAAAGTTTCAGGCCCAATTGAGAAGAAAATTTGTGCAGTTGGAATTACAAAAATCCTAACAGAGTGTCCACCTATGATGGACACAGAATACACCAAACTCTGGTGAGTATAGTTCAATAGAGGATCCTCTTGCACATATTTGGCAAATCGTTTGGATTCCTTTGTACTTGCCAACCTTGTAAGACTTCTCTCTTGGTCACTTCTAACCAGGACGCCACTGTTACAGTCACTGATTGGTCTTTTTGAACTTCCCGAAGATGACACCATTCCAGATGATGAGCACTTCATAGACATCGAAGACACCCCTGGCTACCAGACTGCTTTCTCTCAGTTGGCTTTTGCTGGCAAAAAGGAACATGACCCTATTGGGGAAATGGTCAATAACCCCAAGGTGTTGTTGGCACAATCTCTCCACAAGTTGTCTACAGCTTGTCCTGGCAGGGTACGTTCTTTGAACCATATAATAATTGATATTTTAGCTGACTGCATGAAATAAATTTCACAATAATCCTCCTGCGTCTTTGTAGCTCAGAAAACCCACCTTAAAAAAGCATTTCACGCTCTGTAGGGAGTCAACAGATTGCTCTAGTGATTATGGTGCCTGGAGTACCCTATTGGCCCGTTTGGTAGCAGGTTGATCTTACATGAGGTTCATTAGGCTCTTGCTCCATACCCGCTCTCAGCCAAAAGTGAAAGCTCCTTCAAGGAGCTTCCCTTCGCTCTCCTGAGCTATCCTCTGCAATGCGGAGAACGGTCAACTGGGACTCTCCACCAATTAGCTAAGCCCTGCAAAGCAGAGAACGATCAGCTGGGACTCTCCACCAATTAGCTAAGCCCTGCAAAGCAGAGAACGATCAGCTGGGACTCTCCACCAATTAGCTAAGCCCTGCAATGCAGAGAACGGTCAGCTGGGACTCCCCACCAATTAGCTAAGCCCTGCAATGCAGAGAACGATCAGCTGGGACTCTCAGCCAATTAGCTAATCCCTGCAATACAGAGAACTATCAGCTGACCTTCACAGCCAATTAGGTAAGCCCTGCAATGCAGAGAACGATCAGCTGGGACTCTCAGCCAATTAGCTAAGCACTGCTATACAGAAAACGATCAGCTGGGACTATCAGCCCATTAGCTAAGCCCTTCAATGCTGAGAACAATCAGCTGGGACTCAGCCAATTAGCGAAGGCCTGAAGCACCGGGTTTACCTAAATGAAGAGAACATCAGGCTGAGACTAGGCCGGGAGCAGTGCCTGGCAGACTTCAGCGCTTGAATCATTACTAAACTTGGGGGATGTGCAGCACTCCTGGTACCATAGCCACCGCAGCACATTATAGTGGTTGTGGTGCTCAGTGGTTCTTTAATGTAAGCTGCATCAGTCTGGCTCTCAGACGTTATAAGTAAAAACATTTCCCTAAAGAGCCTTGTACTCTTGGCACCTACCTTTTGTCTAAGAGATTGTTTCTATCCTGTACTTCTCCTCTGACACAGTCTCTAATTTTCCAGGTCTCCTCGATGATAAGCACAAGTCTGAACGCAGAGGCACTTCAGTTTCTCCAAGGATATCTACAGGTTGCCAGCGTGTCTTTGGTTTGAGTTTGCACCTTAAGTGAAAGCGCGAACACCCAACACTTCAGTATAAAGTGCCGCTACATAGCACACTGGGTTTGTTCTTGAATCTTGCATGGTCAAAGTGTAGCCTGCCTTGGACTGTAACATAAGGTCTAAGCAGCATTCTTGTTGTATTTGGCTTACAGCTCTAACCGGGATTTGTACGGAATTCTTCTAGTAATCACTACAGAAATCCTCAAATTCTGTTTTCCATCTGAACTAAGAGATAAGGTTTGTTAATCATGTCCAAGGCGCTCTCTGATGTGAAGAGTTGATTTCAATCTTTTCATCAATATTCTCTTCCAAGGAAACGGCAGTTAATTTATTCCTCCTGCAGGGTCTAAGGAACCCTTTCCAATAAAGGCACACGTCATTCTGTTCACTCGTCTTTTTATGTTGATATCATCTTCTGGATTGTTCTTTCCTTTTTTTTTTCTATCTTCATTCTTAAATGTTTGTTCGAACTGTGAATAAATAATCCTTTGTTCAGACTCGTAGTGATGTACCATTTTTATATATTTCATTGCAGTGTGCCCCATCCACTTTCTTTGCATTCAGCTTTATTTTAAAAGAACATTTATCGCAGAGAGTGTATATTTGTATTGAGAGGGGTCAAAATGGTTTGATTTTTTTATTTTTTATTTTTTTTTTTATGAAGTCAACCTGTGGGCTCACAAGTGGAGGAAATCTGCAGCCTGCCCTCCACCTTGTGTACATGTTGGTTTCATTATATAAATCTAATAAGATAGTCTGCCACGTTTCTTTCTGATAAATAGCTTACCTCTGTAATTGTAGCGGCACACGTATGGTAAAGACTTTTAGAGAATCGTATGAAGTGGACATAAGCCCAACGGATTCTTTGACTCTGTATAGAGCAGGGGTAGGCAACTCCAGCACACCAGATGTTGTAGACTAGATCTCCCATGTTGCTTTGCCAGCATTATGGCTGTGAGAGCATTCTGGGGGATGCAGTCCACATCTGGAGTGCAAAAGTTGCCTACCTGTGGTTTAGGAGTGCGTCTGATTCCTTTCTTCAGGTATGGCATCGTCTAGGGGAGTTGAACCACTGAATGGAAAAAGACACCTCTTCCAGAGTGAAAGAAAATCCGTCCACATCAAGATCCCTACTTCCGAGACCAAACACAATAACGTGGTACATTTAAGCAATGGACCTCTAGACCTCACGATCACCTGGAAATAGCAGTGCCAGCAGGGGGAGTGCCTGGAATGACAGTCCCTCTGCTGCCTGTAATAAACAGTGTAAAATAATATATACTTAAATCATATCTATATTATATATGATCTAAGTGTGTGTATATATATTCTTACACGTTCATACACTAAGTGTATTTTAATATTGATATACATATAATTATATATAACTCAAAATACACGTAGAATGAGATTAATTAAATTTATATAATATATATAAATTAATGTATTTATATATTTTATATGTAATTTTGTTATTTTTTTAATATTAATATATTGATATCAAAATACACTCAGAATGAAATATATATCCATATTCATAAATATATGTATATATGAATAAAAAGAATTTTAAAAATTATGTATTTTAATTCTACGTATATATTTATGTAATATTACAATTTGCGAGACCTGCCTGACAACCCAGGCTGAAAGTCCAGGGAATTTAATTTGCTAGCAGTATATTTAACCCTGTAACTTTCCAAGACACCATAAAACCTGTACATGGGGGGTACTGTTTTACTCTGAAGACTTCGCTGAACACAAATATTAGTGTTTCAAACCAGTAAAATGTATTACGATATCAGTGAAAGTGACGATTTTTGCATTTTTCACACACAAGCTGCACTTACACTGACGATATTGTTGTAATACATTTTACTGTTTTGAAACACTAATATTTGTATTCAGCGAAGTCTCCTAATTATAACAATACCGTCATGTACAGGTTTTATGGTGTTTTCTAAAGTTACAGAGTCGAATATTAGGCCTGTTTCAGTTTTTTCACATTGAAAGTCGCCAGATTGGTTATGTTGCCTTTGAGACTCTATGGTAGCCCAGGAATGAGCATTGGGGTAATGCTCATTCCTAGGCTACCATACGCTCTCCAAGACAACATAACCAACAGTGAGCTGTCAGCCAGATATATCAGACATCAAATGCCTTTGGCGTGTGAATATACCTTCATCCCACTAACTTTTAAATAAATAAGTGAGTGAAAAATTCTGCAAGTCCTTTTTGATGTTTCCAGTGGCGAATGGCCATTTGCTATGTATGAGCAGCTTTCTGTATGGACCTCTTCCAAATTGTATTCTAATTAGTAAGTCTCCTTCAACTTCTCAAACTAGTGGGGGCAGCACGCGTTCGAGCAACCAATCAGAACCTCATATTTTATGAGTTGAGTTAACTGATTCAGCTACCCACAGAGAGCAATTGGGATGCACTGTCGAATCATCAACAACCAGGATAAATGACGAGATAAAGAGGTTTATTTAAGAAAAATAATGGAGACGGCTAACAAACGCTAACTTCTAAAAATACATTCGGAGAAGCTGTCCGTTAAAGCTGTTTAAATTTTACAGGTAACTTTCAGAGGTCGGGTGTCTAACCTGAACCCTGTCATACAATGTAGTGAGGCATATCCAATCTCCTCTACAATAATTCAATAAATTAAAACAACAACTTGGTTAACCTCCCAAACATCTAGTTTACTATATGTATCAATAAATACATCAAGGTGCCACAGACTTAAACCAACTTTAAACATTGCAATTTATTATTTACACCTTATTATACACCGGATTCTAAGACAAACCATATAAAAAAAAAATGTACACAACCCTGTTATGCAAATTAGTTGCAATGTAGATAATTATATTTACATATCGGATTAAGTTACAGAAAACTGTAGAACACAACTATTATATACAATTGTATCTTTTAGTTTGCCTAATTTAAAGGACCACTATAGTGCCAGGAAAACATTCGTTTTCTTGGCTCTATAGGGCCTCCCACCGGGCTCTAGGGTGAGGAAGGGGTTAATCCCTTACCTTTTTCCCAGTGCAGGGCTCCCTCGGCGCTGGGGACTCTCCTCCTCCTTTCCCCGTCATCGGCTGAATGTGCATGCACGGCACGAGTCGCGTGCGCGCATTCAGCCAGTCCGTAGGAAAGCATTCTCAATGCTTTCCTATGGTCGCTGGCGTCTTCTCACTGAAAATCACAGTGAGAAGCGCTTCTAGTGGCTGTCAATGAGACAGCCACTAGAGGCTGGATTAACCCATATGTAAACATAGCAGTTTCTCTGTTTACAGCAGAAAGGGTTAATCCTAGATGGACCAAGTACCCAGACCACCTCATTAAGCTGAAGTGGTCTGGGTATCTCTAGTGGTCCTTTAAATGTTCAGAGTGTTTATATGTCATCCTGTCTGTCCTAAAAGGTTTTGGTTTTTTAAAGCCAAATTACTATTTCAGGATTTTGTGCATCCCGCTCTGTGTTACATTTGTAGCGGAGAGCTGGTCTTACACAGCCTGTCTCCACTTTAGATCCCAGTAAGGCTCAGGAACAAGTATTATAAATCCACAGGGTAATATTTCTAGCAGGCAAAATACTCCAACAATATCCCAATCGCAATCCCAATGACTGGACGACACACAGCATCAGGAGCAGAACTAAACTTTTAATCACAGCAATAATTAGGACAGTAACCAATGGTACAGTAGTTCCCTCCCCTCAGTGTGACACTTAATCCACTTATTTCTGGTACAGTTTTCCCTGTTTTCTGGATGTATCCCCAAACTGTGGGGTACAAGGATCTAAGTGGCATCCCCTGGTAGCCCTGATCTGGGTGACCAACGTACTCAAAATTCACCCAGATCAGACCAGGGGTTCGGGAGTTGTGGGGAATAAACTATTTGACCGACCGCACACGAGGGGGTAGCCGAAAAGGGTTCCATGTGTTTTGGCCTTGCGGTCGGTCTACATTTGGGAGGTAAAACAGTCACTAATCTTTGCCATCCATTGCTAATAATGCATTCTCATGAATCCCCTCGTTCGTTAGATTGAATTCACCGAAAGAGGGGTTGATTTGCCCCTCCGTTCGGGAGTTTTGGAGGTCTCAGCGGTGTCCGATTTGAGTTCCAGACACTCGACGACCAAACACAGCTGAGAGTTCGTGCGTAAGATGGCCGCCGCCACGTGTTCGCTTACCGAATGGCGGCCACCCAGATATGGCAATAAAACACCGATTAACTGTGGTTAGAGAAGTGGGAAAGCCTTAATGAGGTACACACTTCTCTCTGGGGTGGTCTATTGATTTGGTAGTTTCCATTCGTATGAAATATGAATGGAAACTACCGAACAAGCATACAAATTCCACATACAATTCCAATTATACAGTAAGATAAACATAAACACACGAACAGTCTTTTAAACACAATCCTGGAAGACAGTCCAATGCCATCCGCTACAACATTGTTACAGACTCGCCTCTGTTGGCCTTATGAAAAATGTTTCCGTATCTGCAGCTGGTTTTGTTTGTGTTAATTAAAAGAAGTGCAGTTTGCGTCCGTGTGTTTGTGCTGTTTAACTGGAAATACCCGCAGAGTTAGTAAAGCTGTTGGGGTGAAAAAGATGTATATAAACCTTTACTGTTATGAAGAATTGGCAGAAACCAATATTCTGATAAAAATGTCCCTAGGTTTATTCCCCAAATAGCAAAATTGGAGCTAAAATATATAATCTGGAACAATTCTCCATCTCTGATATAGTGACAGCTTGGCTGTTCGAATCTCAGTTTTACCATTTGGAATTCTGTGAATAACTGTCTGTTTTGTGGTCAGATTTACAAACCGAGAGCGACCATACGTCGTCTTATGCATGTTCTGCCTCTAGGTGGCACTTACTTGAGTATTAACCCCATAAGGACCAAACCTCTGGAATAAAAGGGAATCATGACATGTCACACGTCATGTGTCCTTAAGGGGTTAAACATTTGCATTTGTTTTCGTAAGAATCACAATTCAGACGGAATTACTCAACTTTTCAAATGGTGCAATGACTGAATGGTGTGACGAACAAAATTCTTCCATGTGAGATTCCATGTGATACCCAGATTTAAGGTGCCAAATTTGAGAGAGTTTCTTAATTTGGTATATCACACATAGATGTACCAAATTAGGGCGTTATTTACTAAACAGTTGAAATACCAAAATTAAAAGGGTTTCTCTTAACTTTTATCTTTCAGCTCCTTCATAGAAAACTCCCTCATTTGGTATCCGTAAACGGCGATCCCACATACGGCTACTGCCCCCCAGGCCGCCCTAAATCATTTGAAAAACGGCCGCTGCAGGGCCGATCCTGGGCACCAGTAGGTGGAGGACGGCGCATGGAACAGACTGGTAGCCTACAACAGCGAGCCCAGCAGGTGGCCAGCTGGCAGCAAGGGAGAGTAGGCACCTGCTTGTCCCAGATGGCAGGTGCCTACTCTGCAGGAATATACCGGCCGCGTGAGGAAGGAGACAGGCGGCAGCGAGGGAGCACTGCCTCTGCTGATGATCTTCCTGCTCTCTCGCGCGCCCTTTCTGGTGATGCCGGGAGCCGGAATATGACATCATTTCCCGGCCCCGCATCACTAAACTGCGCGAGGGAGCAGGAAGAGTGTAGCGGAGAGCTGGTATTACACAGCTTACCTCCACTTTAGATCCCAGGGAGATTCAGGAACAGCAATTAGAAATCCATAGGGCAGAGTATCCAACAGGCAAAATAATCCAACAGTATCCCAACAGCAATCCCAATAACTGGACGACACACAGTATCAGGAGCAGACAAGTATGGAAGGCTCTGGCGATGATTGGATGGCCGAGGTGAGGCAGCGAGTGGCCCAGTATGGGGATGATTTACCCATGGAGGTACGCCGGGTGATCTGGAACCAGGTCACGGCCGAGCGAAACACAAGGCTTGCCCGAGAATTACGGCTGGCGAAAGAGAGAGAGTATGCTCAGCGGAAGGAGTGTTACAGCAGCCGAGTAGAGGCTGCATCCGAGGAGGCCGCAGGAACCCAAAGTAGGGGTCCTCATAGACTGGTCCTGTGAGGAACCACAACAGGCAGGGGGAGATGGGACCGAGGTCTCTCCACCGGGCCCACCGGGATGCTGGGGAGCCGGTCCAGATCCCCAGCAGCAGCCGGAGTTGCCAGGTGCGGAAGCAGG